CATTTATTTTATTTCAATGAATTTCAGTGTTTTCTCACAGGTTTTGCTGAGGGAAGGGGGATGAAAATACCAAACACAGGCATCATCTAGGTAATAATAGTCCAGAAACACCTGAAACACTGTTGGCTGTTTTATATTCCTATTATGAATTGATGGTAAAAGGACTTTGGTGTTCTAGAACAAAAATTTATGAAATAGTTCTTTTATCAGATATAAACTATGATATGTAAATAGGAAATTGATACCTTAATTCCTTATTAGCTGTTTGACCTAAACATAAATCCAAAGGGGAACCTTTCCTTCCACCACTTATTAAACATTAGTATTTTCTAGGGGCCAGTGCTATGTGCTTTCTAACTTTTTCTAGTTGTATTTTCCTGCCTGTTTCTTGCATATTTTTCTCTGTGTCAGAGGCTTTGTAACCCAACACTTCTCAAACCTAACATCTTAATTCACAGACTTTCTTTCCTTATCTCAGACTTTCTTTCCTTACCACAGACTTTTCTTTTCCTTATCTTCATAGTACATACCCCTTCTACTTGGTCACTTAACACTAGAAATCTGGAAGTCTAACTTGCTTTCTTTCCGCCTAAATTAATATAGGAAATAGAGTGAAAACTATTATAAATTATACCTTCTAAATATTTCTTCTCATGTATTCTCTCCACTTCAATTGCCATTGCCTTAATTTAGGCCTCATCATTCCTCGTGTAAATTACTTTCACCCATTAAGTCCCAAGTTTTCAATCTGTGAATATTTCAACAAAAATTGACACAGGTCCTTTAAAGTAGATTGGAAATCATAATCTATAGTATATGTATATTATAATTAATATAATTATTACATAATTACATTTTATAATTACATAATTATCTGCATATAATTATAGTGTTTTTATAGGTGTTTTGTATCTGGGACAGCAGGACAAAATGAGTTAATAACCTCAGTGAAAGTAGGTTAAGTTGTAAAAGCAACTCAAAAGTATAATGGTTTAAATAATATAGGTATTTTTGTTACTTAATAGCTGGGAGGTAAGCAGTCCAAGCTAGCAGGGTATATGCTCTATGATTTTCATCAGATGCTCACTTTCCTTTAGTTTTTTTGCTCTTGTCTCTCAAAACAAGGATTTGTAACCATTTTTGTGCCATGGACACTTGTCAGCCTAGTAAAGTCTATGAACCCCTTCTTGCAACCAAGTTTTTAAGTAAAATACATAGGATTGATTACAAAGGAAACTTGGAAATACAGTTATTAAAAATACATGCTTTTCTGTAAAGTGCTTTAAAAAAAAAAAAAAAATTCCCTCTCTTTTTTTTTTTTTTTGATAACCTTTTTATGTTGTACAGAGGATCAAACCCAGTGCCTCACATGTGCTAGGGAGGGAGCACTCTATCACTGAGCTACAATCCCAGCCCCAACATGTACTTTTTGAAAAGTTTATAATAAGAACTAATAACCTATTTATTGTTGTATTTTCAAGGTCAGTGTTACTATTAATGTTGTTTGAAGTTGTCTCCAACATTTATAAGGTGGTATTAAAAATACCTTATTTCTATTGATAGCAAAAATCATATACTGTTTTTACTACTGTGATTTATGCTTATATTCATGATTGAAGGAAACATTAAATTTCAGTTTAAGGTTACTTCAAAACGATTCCCTTAATTCTGTCTATGGATCCCCTCAGTATCTGGGAACTTCAAAGAACCTCTGCCCTAGACCGTTATACCTATGTGTATAGTCAAAAGTGCATCTTTGGCTTATCTGTGTTCCCAGTCACAGAAATAGAGGGAAAGTATTCTTTTTCTCATATAATCTCTTCTCTGTGCCCATTAGTTCCTTCCTTCAGTTACCTTGAAAATGTCTTATTTTTTAACACATAATGCAAAAAATTGTTTCCCCTGAGATTTTCTGCCTCAAAGGATTCCTCTCCACATACAGATAATCCCATTTCAGGTCTTTCAAACGGAAGCTTTTAGTCTTCCATGTAAGTTGGTTATAGGGTGAAGTTCCTACTTATACAACAATAACTATTTATTGTGCATCCATGAATTCAAGGCCTTAACTAGTATGAAGCATACGAAAGAGTACAGTCTATATTCTAATAAAACCTAGTAGTAAAGTTATAATCTAGTAAGTGGATGTCACAGAGAACAGTGAACAGAATGTGAAAAGCACCAAAAGAACAAGGTACAAAGTGCTAGTGAAGGAAGGAAACGAACTAAAATTAAGACAATCATGGGAGCTTCATGCTACATTAAGCTGAAACTTAAAACAGTATAGAAGATTTTAAACGTAAAAATGGATCAATATCACAAAGAAAGATGCAGGTATATTAGAAATTGGTCAGATTGGCTAAAATTTAACAGATAAGAAAAATGTGACAAAAACTGCATTCAGCTAATTATTATTCAAAAGTTAGCTTGATAATACTTTCAGACAAAAAATATAGTTGATTTAGAGAGCTTTATTTAAAAAAAATGCAAGAAAACTGAACCCAAAAAGGAAGGCGTGGGATGCAAGGGGCAATGATGGAAACAAACTGAATACCTTGGTGACCTAGATAAGCCTATGAGAGGGGAAATGTGGGAGAAGTCACTTACCTTGGTGAATTTGGCAATAATTTAGCCTCCTTCTCACTTTTCTTGGGCCTCTACACTTAACTCTGGTCTTTCCCTCCTTGATAGAGGTTTCACAGGGCCCAGCAGGAATATGGCGTTAGTGTGTTTCACTATGACTAGTTAGGCAGGGCTACCTAAATCTGGGGTTCAACAATTACAAGCCAATAGGCACCTAAGTAATTTATCTACTAACATTATCAGCGGTAATGCTTTTATTTCTGTTACCTCTTTTTTAAAAATACTTTTGTAGTTGTGGCTGGACAGCATGCCTTTATTTTATATGTTTATTTTTATGTGGTGCTGAGGATCAAACCCAGTGCCTCACACATGCTAGGCAAGCGCTCTGCCACCCTGCCTACTCTTATTAACTGTTTGAAGATTCAGGTAGGAATGTACCTAAAATGGTGTCTAGAAGGAAACTTACGGCTTCAGATGTAAGAATTGTAAAACATGACAAAATTAATGATCTGGGTGTTTAACTCTGGAGATTAGAGAAAGAAAAAACATAAAACAGAAGAAAACAATAAAAAGCACATTAGGAAATAAAGACATAGTAAAGAAAGCAAGAAAACCAAAAGCTGTTTAGCTAGTGATGGAAACAAAAAAATTAAATATTAAAAATGAGAAAAATATAGCTATAGCAAGACATTTTAACTCACAAATGAATAATCAACTTTGTGCAAGATCTAGATAAAAATATAAGTAACCATTCAAGAATAGAAAACAAGGTGGGCGTGGTGGCTCACGCCTGTAATCCGCTGGAAGCTGAAAGCAGGGGGCTCCCAAGTTCGAAACCAGCCTCAGTAATTTGGGGAGGCCCTAAGCAACTTAGCAAGACCCTCTGGAAAGGTAAAAGGGGCTGGGGATGTAGTTCAGTTGTCAAGCGTCCCTGGGATCAATCCTCAGTACCAAAACCGAAGAGCAGCGAAGCTGCTAGGTACATTATGGGCGCGGATCAGTTTGCTTCCTCGGTTCCAGCAGCAGGTAAGCTTAAGGACGTCTGCTGGCCCTTTGGTGCCAGGCAGCCATGCTGTGCTTGAGCTACTTATCACAAAACAGCGCTGAGGACACGTCTCCCGCTTTCAGCAGTTTGAACCTGGGATTTACTAGTTGAGGAACTTGCCAAAAGGCCAGCAGGAAGTAAATCAGGTTAGCTGTGACAGGCCCCGGGCAGTGACCATCGGCCGGCCGGCTTTGTGTCAGGCGGCGGCGTGCGGGGGTAACTCCTTGTCCCTGGAGTCGACGTCTTTGTTGTTGTTCCTTAAGGTTTTCAGACAGGGTGGATAAATAGGTGGAATCAGAGAAACGGTTCAGGAATGGGGCCGGCCCCGGGCGGTGGCCTCCTGCTGCGCGGTGGCGGACGAGGCCGCTGGCTCAGAGTTCCCAGGGCGTCCAGTCCCGGCTGCGCAGCCTGCCGGGAGGCCGCGTGCCGGCCTGCAGCCGAGGGCGTCGACGGCGCCGCGGCCCGCTCGCCCCACGAGGCGGCCGGGGCAGGGTGCGGTGCACCCCCCTCGAGCACCGCCCCAACATGGATTTCCCGCTCATCCTGGCAACCGCCGCAGGAGCTTTATTCACGGTTGCTGCGGCCGCTCTGGTGGCAGCGTTGATACTAAGGCGTCTAAACTTCCTAAAGTGGACGGAAAGTGAGGACCGAGAGAGCAGCAGCCACTCTAGCGAGCAGCCCGCCGTCGCCCGCAAGACGACAGCCCAGGTGAACCAAGGCACGCACCAAGAGCTGGGCAGTAAGGGACAAGACGCCCACGAGGAAGCCAAGGGAAGGGAAAGGTACGGCGGGCGCCCCCTGCCCGAGGGCGCGAGGACGCCGGCGGCGAGAGGGCGCCGGTGCCCGGTTCCCCGACCCGCGCCGGGTTTTCGCCGCTTGAACGCCCGGCGGGAGGAGAACGCCCCGCGCAGCGCGCACGGCACAATGGGCGCCACCTCACAGAGCCGGGCGCGGCGGATGGCGGGGCGAGCGCCACCCGTGCAGGCGCCGTGGGCCGCACTGGGCCCCTCGGGGCGGCGAGGCCGGCGGGTGGGTGCGCGGGCGGCGGGAGAGCCCCGTGGGGAGCGGGCGGGGGCGTGGCGGCCGGTTCCGCGGGCCCGGGGCGCCCGCAGCTGTCCGCGCCGCTCACCTGCCCAACCGCAGTGCGCGCAGCCGCCGCGCGCCCGCCGCCCCGCCTCCCCACCACGCCCCGCCCGGCAGGGACGCCCCCGCTTTCCAGATCTTTCTCGAACCCTCAGCTCCTCTGGCAGCCGTTGCCCGAGTGCTGACGGGAGCGTCCGAGGGCGCGGCAGGGAGCTGCCTCGGGCGCTGGGAGACAGCTCGCGCGCCCCCCCGGCGGCCGAGCGCGCAGGCGCGGGTCCTAGTAACCGCCGGTTGGAGGCGGCCGGACCGCAGTGGAGAGACGGAGGCGGCGGGACGCGGGAGCTGCGGCGCGGCGGCCTCTTCCCTCCGCGGTCGCCCCACGCCCTGTCCCGGAGGCTCCGGGTAGCGAGTGGGTCCTCTCCCCTTTGCCCCCGCAGGAGTCGCAGGCGCAGCAGCGACGGCCCAGCGAAGGACGCGGCGCCCGCTCCCCAGGCTAAGGCGCCACCGCCGCGACCTTCCAGCGGCGGGATGTCGGTGGTGGGCATTGACCTCGGCTTCCTCAACTGCTACGTGGCCGTGGCGCGCAGCGGCGGCATCGAGACCATCGCCAACGAGTACAGCGACAGGTGTACCCCGTGAGTGCCGCGGCCCCGCGGGGGAGGGCCAGCGCCCTGCGGGTGGCCCGCGCGCCGCCGGGCGACTGCGAGCCGGCGGAGACCCGGCCTCGGGGAGAGGGCGTCTCTGGTGTCGTCCGTGCTTTGATTCCTTTGCAAGAACATTCTAGAAAGAATTACCCCCCCCCCCCCACTTATCCATTAGATTTCTTTTGAAATTTTGGGGGCTGGCCGCCGGAATGCGGCACGGAACGCGCTGGAACTCCGGTTCCCCGCCCGCGGCTCGCCTGGCCCGCTCGTTGCCGAGGCGACTCCTGACTGGAAAGGCCAGGTCCTGGGGTCTCCTGGATCGCGGAAGGCGACCTCAGAGGGTCGGCTCTGCACAGGAGGGTGACGCGGCTGCGGACTGTCGCGTGCTCAGCTCCACACGGCTTAAGTCGCAGCGTACGTGTGACTGCCCGCAGAGGACCGGGAAACTCGGCTCCCTGGGCCAAGCAGAGGGTAACCGGGCGACCTTCGGCTTCAGCATCCACCTGCGGGAGGCTGAGGCCGGGCGGAAGCGCGTCCCAGGCGCTCCCGGGTCGGACGTCGCGGCAGTGAGAACCCGGCAGACCTGGGGTTTCAGACTTCACCTGCTAGTCGTTTAGAAGTCTAGATTTGCTTTGGCAGGTTTTTGTGTGGCTGAGATATTTTGATTTATGTGTAGGAAAAGGAATAACTAATATTTAGCTTTAAGGACCTGACCAATCCAGAAAGTTGGTGTTTGTGGCACTGGGGTTCGAAGCGGGACGCTTTTTTTTTTTTAAAAAAAAAATAACCACTGAGCTACATCCTCGTACTTCTGTATTTTTGAAACAGGGTGTTGCTAAATTGCCAAGATTGGCCTGGAACTTGTGATCATCCTGTCATAGCTAGGATTACAGGTGTGAACTACCACCCTGGGTTTAATCGAGAAAGTTTCTAAGTGGAAGGATCATGTTTTCAATTAGCTTGCATCACCGGCTGTTTTTGCCTTGGCTTTATATTGTCCTTTAATTCAGGAGTATATAGTCTGTTATTGACCAAAAATATTTCAGGGTGGTCATATACTCCTGCACTGTGTATTTTCTTAGTGGGGCAGTTGTTGAGGGAAGATGTACCTGGTCCAGGACATTTATTCATTTACAAAGTGTTCCTATTGTTTGAAAAGCAGTACAATAGAAGAACCTTTAACTTTTCTCATACACTATTTTATTTAATGACATGAGAAGCTAGTTTTGAAAAAAAATCATATTCTACTTGCAAATATCAAGGTAATAAACATTTTTAAAATGCAGATACATTACAGAAGGATTCTCTGAAAAGAAGGAAATTCTTAATTTAGTTGGTGCATGCTTTTTGATGTTTTATTCTTTTAACATTTGATTATTTTCCATAAGATCCCTCCCTAACTAAAAGGGACATTGGACATTTAAAAGTTGAAACAGTTTTGTGGCATTTTCTGAGAATCTACGGCTTCCTTTCCAGATATCCAGTCTGGAAATATCACATTGGATATTTGAGATTTAAGCTGCGTTGTAAATATTTTTTAAGTACAAAATGGAATTTTTGAATAGAGATGACAAAGTATATGAAGTATAACATAAAAAGATTGTACCAAATCAGACATAACTTTACTGTGTTTATAGGTGAATACATGACCAGTGTAAGTCCACATCATGTACAACTACAAGAATGGGAAGTTTACATCCCCCTGTATGTATAATATGTCAAAATACATTCTATAGTCAAGTATATCTAAATAGAACAAAACTTTTTTTGAGAATTTTTTTGTAAAAAAAACTTTTACATCATGTAATGTTTATTGATAACATCTATTTCCTTTGTTATTACTGGCTCAGGTAAAAGTTTTGAGAAAGAATAGGTATTTAACTTACTTGATTTTTCTCAAAACCTTGGCAGTATTTTTTATTTAATGGTTTTGTAACATTCTGGAATTTTGTTTTTGGTTTTTAAGAAAATTGAAGGGAAGAGTTTGAAGACTTTCTGCTTGACATTTCCAAGCCTAGTTACTTTAGGTATTTTTTTAAACTTTAATAAATAAATTGTCTACTTTTTACTTCAAGAGAGTCTACTAATGGTAAGAATTTGACTTTCTTTGTGACTTATTATGTATGAAGGTTTCAAAGAACCTAACCTTAGGAAAAAAAAAATGACAGTAGAAAACAAATCTAAATATACTATTCTAACAAAAATTAAACTATTGGGAATCAACCTAAGAAAAATTTTTCCTGTTCATTCAAGTGCACAGAATTTTTCAGTAGCACAATGGTGAAAAATTAGAAGTATCTGGAAGTATGTCCAAGTAATGGAGTTAGGAACAAGACAGATATAAGTAGCTGAAAGATGGCAAACTGGTGTTTTCTCCAAGAGATGAATTTTAGGATTGAATACCAACCATGCCAGCCATCCACACAGATTTCTATATTTGATATGTACATTTTTACTTGGTCAAAGAATGTGTTGAATCAAGGAATTATTTGCAAGAGGTGTTAAAGATATCATCAAACCTATTGATTTCTGCTATGTCCTGATTTTCCCGTTTTTCATTGAATCTCAGAACAGTAACATTCATTCCCTCCTCCATCTGATAATTTTTAACATTTTGAGAGAGAGAGAGTGAGGGTGTGTGGGGATGTGTGTGTGTGTGTATCTGCTCCTATGTCTCAAAGGTGTCTAAAACTTGGAATGATCACAATAGAATTTGTGATTGTTCCTCTCCAAATCTGTTGTTCTTGACAGTGTTTCTGTCTCATTGGATAGCATCATTATCTATTTTCTTATGTAAACTGGAAACCTAGACATTATGCTTTTCACTTAACCTATTCCCTCTGTATAGTCCAGCTCTGTCAATGAAAATGTCAGCCACAGACATAATTGTAAATGTTCCAGAAGTTACATTAGAAAGGAAGCTTATCAGTTCATACTGTAATCAAAATGATTTCCAACAAACTTTCTGCCTCTTTGATGCCATCACTGTTGACACTTCCTTGGGTAAGCCTTCTTAACCCTCTGGGTCAGTTCCTGCTGTAGTCTATTCTTGTAGCACCATGTGCTCCCTTTGTTTAACACTTAGTTTACTTTTATTTGTATGTATATAGCATTCTTTCCTTTAACCATTGTATCTTTAGCAACTAATAGTGCAAAGCTTACTCAACAAACATTTGTTGAATCTACTAAATGAACTTTTAAACTATTTGCCTTCTCTGAAAATTAAATGGTTCCCAACATAACAATGGCTTGTTCGGCCCTTGAGAACCATTTATCTGGAATATTACTTCTCTGTTGTGTATGATACACCAGCAGTCAATGTCCTCTGCATTATTTAGAACTTGTTAATGAATTCCCATTATCTACTGAATAAATTTCAAATTTATATTCTAGAATGTGAGGCCCTACTTAATCTGGCCTCAATACTATATTACCAAATTGTCCTGTGAAACTGCAAGTTGTGTTCTTCCTATCAAATAACCATTACCCATAGGAGCAACATTCAATAAAAACCTTTAGTATGTATCAGAGAGTGATCTATGCCATTGTTGTCTGGTAGAACTTCCTATTCTGTATGTCTGTTCTATATATATCCTGTTCTTTGTATATCCACTAGCTACATGTAGTCATTAAGCACTTGAAATGTGGTTGGATATGAAGAATTGAATTTTTTTCTTTTAGTTAAATTTTACTGGGCACATGTGGCTAGTGACCTCCATATTGGATAGCACAGAACAGGGCGGTGGGGTATACCTTATCTAAACCTCATGAAATTCATATTCTGATGTGAATATATGTCCAGTGAATAATTGTATTAGAAGATGATATACGATGAAGAAAAATTAAATTGGAAAAAATGGTATTAGATGTACTTGAGAGGAGCAGGAATATTGTTTATATAGAATTATCAGGGACAGTGTTTCTGATAACCTGTCTTTTGAACAGAGATCTAAAAGAATTGAGCGTGCAGGGCCATATTGGTGTATTTAGAAGTGTTCTGAAAGTGAGAACTGTATGTATAGCAGAAGTATGCTTTGTAGTCTAGAAATAGCATAGAGATCCATGTACTTGTCTTGAATTTATAGGGTAGAGCAACAAAGACCCCAGACCATGAAGAGAGTATACATTGGTTTTTGGGAAGACTTGAGCTTACTTTGCAAGTCAGCAAAACTGGAGGGTTTTCTGCAGGAGAGGCTCATGATCTTACTCTTTAAAAGAGTATTGCTCTGGGGCTGGGGATGTGGCTCAAACAGTAGCGCTCGCCTGGCATGCGTGCGGCCCGGATTCAATCCTCAGCACCACATACAAACAAAGATGTTGTGTCCGCCGAAAACTTAAAAATAAATATTAAAAAATTCTCTATCTCTCCCTCTCTCTCTCTCTCTCTCTCTCACACACACACACTCTCTCTTTAAAAAAAAAAATACTAAATACTAAAGAGTATTGCTCTGGCTGTCATGTTGAAAGTAGACTTATATGTCTCTGTTTTGTATGTTACTATGATAATATACTTGAGGCTGTAAAGAGTTTTGTAAAGAGATTTATTTGGCTCATGATTCTGGTGGCTGTTTTGTAAAGAGATGTATTTGGCTCCTGATTCTGGTGGCTGGAGGAGGTTCTAAATGGCATAGTGCTTGTGTTGACAAGGGTTCCTAGCTGCATTACAGCATGATAGAGAAACAGAAAGGGAACCATCCACACAGTGGCCTCATTTTGTAACAGCCTACTTACTGTCTTGGAGAACTAACTAGTTACACGAGATCCAACCTACTTGCTTGAAATGGGCTTTTTACTCCTTTCTGAGGGTGATGTTCCTATGCCCTAATCATCCCACTGGGCCCTGCCACTTAAAGGTACTGCTTTGTTGTCATTACATTGGGGACCAAGTTTTCAGCACACAAACCTTTGGGGGTGCAAACCATAGTTGTAATAACCTATGTAGCAGGAATGTCCTTTTCCTTAAGACATGTGAAATGCTTTGTCTCCTTCCAAATCTTGATGCTGAAGTTGTCTCTCTTTGCTTTTCCCTAACCTCTGTTGTATAGAAGTTATTATTCTACCTTTTGTTAATTATTAGTATTACTCTTAATCCTATATTTTCTATATGATGATTTTTTTTCTTCAATAGACTGTAAATCCTCCAAGGACAGGGATTGGGCTTTGTATATAGTGTCTTTCTTTGTGAGTTAAATTGTTTCCTATAATTACAACTGAAATCATGAAAATTTTCTTAAATCGTATATGAAATGGTATTTTTATGAAAATATTCTGTACTTGCCTTTATGTCATATATTTAAATGCAGAAACTAAATAGCAATAATTTGTGTGATGTCTGTGTACCAAGTATTGTTCAAAGAGTTTCCCTAGATTCACTCCTCTAATCCTCTCTTACCCCTATGAGCAGGTATTATCACTGTCTTCCAGATGGAAAGCCGAAGCAAATACTAGTTATGTAATTTCCACAAGGTTACTCAGCTGTTCAGTGGTGAGCAAGGTTTTAAATCCATGTAGCCTTGCTTTACTGAGTACACTTAATTTTTTTAATAGGTCATAGACCAGTAGAATTTGAAAACAGTTTTAGGAAGCAACAATACTATTCCTGTAATAAGGACACTTAAAAAATTCTTAACATTTATTCTGACCACCATTCCATTATTTAGGAAACTTTAAAATATGTAAAATTTTGCTGAGTGTGGTGGTGTATGCCTATAATCTACAGTATCTTGGGAGGCTGAGGCAGGAGAATTTCAAAATTGAGGCCAACCTAAGCAACTTAGTGAAACCCTGTCTTAAAAATAAGAAGGGCTGGGCTGGGGATGTGGCTCAAGTGGTAGCGCGCTCGCCTGGCATGCGTGCGGCCCAGGTTCCATCCTCAGCACCACATACAAAGATGTTGTGTCCGCCGAGAACTAAAAAATAAATATTAAAAAAAATAATTCTCTCTCTCTCTCTTGCACTCTTTAAAAAATAAATAAATAAATAAGAAGGGCTGGAGATGTAGCTCAGTTGGTAGAGTGCCCCTGGATTTAATCCCAAGTATCAAAAATGTGTAAAATTTTAATTTATATTAACATTCAAAATAAGACATTATTAATCTTTAAGTTTAGTTTTATACAACAAGAAAAATAATAGCACATTAATATAAAAATACCTTTAAAAATAAACCTTTTTGTTTTTCCTTATTTAGGGCCTGTATATCTTTGGGATCAAGAACTCGAGCCATTGGAAATGCAGCTAAGAGCCAGGTAAAATTGTTAGGATGACTGTTTTGATTTATAAGAAGAATTAATTGAATCATACTAAGATACCATGTTAGGTAACTGAGAGTTGCAAATATGACAGATCCTGACATCTTTGTATTTTTTTTTAAGTCAACTTACAAATTTTATTGGCTAATAGACAACTGCCACACATTCTTCTTACCACCATCCCACTGTTCCTGAATTTAATTTGCAAAGGGAAGCAGAGACCAAAGAGGATTTCTTAGGTACTCAACAAAATTTGAAGAAGTGGGAAAAAATATACTTAACAGTTACTGAAAATAAAACTTGCCTCAGTTAAGAGAAGATTTTTCTTTGTACATATTTTAAAATAGCTTTATTTTCCATTTAGGAACTGTGGAAAATACCTATTTATATTGTTTGGAAGGGTACCTCATTTCGTAATAGGTAGTCTTCCAGATTCTTTTCAAATGGTCTTCACATTTCCTATAAATTGATGCTATCTGGCAGAGCCTTCTATTCAGCTTTCTGACATTTTATCAAGAATTTGTAGAGGAGCAAGAATTCTTGCCCGATTAGTTTCCACAATGCAGCTGTTTAACACCATCTCCTCCAAAATGGTGTGTACTTTATCCAAATTAAACGTTATATCTGGTTCAGTCACTCGGCTGAAGTACTCGTCTAAAACTTCCACAAAATGTGGATGAATTCATAACAGCCATCTCATTCTCAGTGTCATTAACTCCAACCACAATGAAGAGAGCTGCATATTGCCGATATATCAGCTTAAAAACCTTATATTCAATGAAAGAGCATTGTTCATTGGATCGAGAGGCAGCTCTTTATGACTTCTGTTTCCAGAAGAGCACGCTTATTAATCTCCACATGCTCATAGTACTTAGAAAGTCAGATCTGGCCTTGTTTATTCACCACAAGGAAAAATTTTATCATTTTTTTTTTCCTGGCCAGTGTTTTTCCAAGTACAGATTAAAAGTTATAGCAAGGGATGGCTGTCATTGGAACCTATGTGGCTCCGGGATGATGATCCTGTGATGCATCTTCCTAGAATACCCCTCCCCCTTTCCTGCTGAAGCTTATTCCCCAACCCTCACTAGCCACATGGTACGGGCTTCCTTGGGGCAGCCATTTTGGCTTTTAGTATAGCATCTGCGGGGGCTCCTCCGGGGGCCTGTATTTTATTAGATGTAGTTTGTTTTGAATTGTATAAATTTCCTTGAATTAATTTTTAAAGTCTTTAGTTATAAAGTTAGGGTATACTGCTGTGTGACATTAATTTTTCCTAGTATAGTCACTTTCTATGACAGATACTCTATCTAGAAATGCACTTCAGTGACTAGTAAGCAATGTTTTTGTAAAAGAATGTGGGGGTTACCCACCAGGGTAATCCCATGTTGCTATCACTATTTGTGGAATTTGTTTAACCCATTTTGTCCTAGCATCCCAGATATAATATTTGCCCTGTGTCCTATTTATAGGATGATATACTAAGACACTAATCGATCAGGTGTCCTTTTTATAGACCAACTCACATTTTCATACTTAATGATAATAAAGGGTATATAAACCCTATATTATTATTTCCAGCCTACTTTAATGCATCTGTGTTAGTTTTGTTGAAATAGTTACAAAATGGAAAACTTTGAATTTAAGTAATTTCAACTGAAATGCTAATCAATAGAATATAACTTAACAATGTAACATTGCTTTTTCTTTTTTTTTAACTTCCATTCACCAAAAACATGTAACAGTTATTTCTTACATTTCATATGTATACCTGGGTTGTCTCTTACTTTTGAAATTTTCTTCAATGGGTTTTATTTTCCACTTAGGACAGAATAATTGACTCATTTATCTGGGGATGTTTTGGTTATGATGTTTGCCATACCCATCTTTTTATAATTGCCCTGTATGTGAGAGTGTTTTTATCCTGGCACGATTGCACACACCTGTAATCCCAACCCAGCAAGGAGGCTGAGGCAGGATTCCAAGTGTGAGGCCAGTCTGGGCAACCTATCAAGACTTTATCTCATAATGAAAATAAGAAAGGGGATCTGGGGTTGTAGCTCAGTGGTAGAGCACTCGCCTAGCATCTGTGAGGCACTGGGTTCGAGCCTCAGCACCACATAAAAATGAAATAAAGATATTGTCCACCTACAACTAAAAGATAAATACACACATAAAAAAGTGGGGGTTGTGGGTTTAGCTCAGTTGTAGAGTGCCTCTGAGTTCAATCCCCAATATTGGGTGGGGGAATGTTTTTATTTTGAGTTTTCCTCTCACATTCAGGCTGATCTAAGTGTATCATAGATAGTCAAAAGAAACCAACCCACGCCAGGTGGCAGTGGTGCACACCTGTAATGCCAGCAGGTCAGGAGGCTGGGGTAGGGGGTTTAAAGCCAGCCTCAATAATGGTAAGGTGCTAAGTAACTCAATGAGACCCTGTTTCTAAATAAAATACAAAATAGGGCTGGGGATGTGGCTCAGTGGCTGAGTGCCCCTGAGATCAGTCCCCAGTACTAAAAAGAAACCAACCCATAAAGTCAGTTCTTCTAAGAGCTTTCCAACATAGTAACGACATCATTGTAGTTTTCACCTCATAATTGAAGATCAAGATCTATTTGCCTTTCAGAGTCACTAGGAGGGCAGGTACTGGATCTTAGTAACAGTCTATAGTTTGAACTATGTACTCTTAAAGAAAAAAAAAAAGGTGTTGCAGACTACAAGACATTTACAAATTAAAATACTTGAACTTCACATCATGCTACATGGAAGGGGTTTAATTTACTTGCCTAAGAGCAAGTTTCAGCAGTGCAGGCAGCATACTAATACATGAGAGTACTCTTAATTCATTTCACAGTGAATTAAATATTAAGAAAAGAAAACTGTACCAAAAATAGAAACAGTTTAAACAAAAATAGAAATGAGAGTGGTAACAAGTAGAAATCAGAAATACTAATTCACTGGAGTAGAAGTATTGAGGATAATGAAGGGATGAATTATAGGTAGACTTTTATTATTGGAAAGTTTTAAATTTTGTTCCCTCTCTCTTTTGGAGACGTCAGAGGGGCATTTGGGAGGTGATAGTTAAAATGCATAACTTTCTCATTATAACTTTACTGCGAATTGGAAACCAGGAAAATGAAAAAGTATAAGTCTGAGCCTGGGTGTGTATATAAGAAAAAGGGACATGGTTTTAAGTATTAGGATAGTATTTTCTTTTACATTCATTAAGTCATTGATAAATAATTTGAGTGTTTACTCCCAACAGATAGTCACAAATGTAAGAAATACAATTCATGGCTTCAAAAAACTTCACGGGCGATCATTTGATGATCCCATTGTGCAAACTGAAAGAGTCAGGCTTCCTTATGAACTGCAGAAGATGCCCAATGGAAGTGCAGGAATTAAGGTAAGTTGTGTATTCCTAGAATACAATTATATCTCCTGACTGGATACAGTACATACACCATACTACCAAGAGATGGGCAGTTTTTGTAATTTAGTGAATGCAAAAAAAAAAAATCCAATTTTAATAATAACTTTTAAATTCAAATAATGCTCTTGTCAAGGAAGAAATTAACAACTTTTAGGGGACAAACCAGAGGCACATGTGATTTAGAAGAGTAGATCCAGAAAATATGTTAATTACTATAAGATTTTCTAATTTTCAAGAAACCTAATGTACTGAGAAGTGTGAAAGAAATTGTTCTTCCAAAAGATGGAGCCTGGATTTTTAATTCTATATCCTGAAACAATAAGTTTAAGACCAGTTTTTAAAAAATGAATTTATCAGAAACTGGTGGGATACCTGAAAACACACTTATCATTATGACCCAGTAAATGCACTCTTTTAGTATGTACTGAAGAAAATTGAAATGTGTCTATACAAAAATTTGCACATGAATATTCATAATAGCATTATTTATAATGGACAAAAAGTGGAAACAATTCAGGTGCTCTAAGCAAATAATAGATGGTTAAACCAAATAGGATATATGAATACAGTGGAATATTGTTTGGCCAAATAAAGGAAGTATTAATGTGTACTTATGACATGTATGAACTTTGAAAACATACAGTATGAGCCCGTTTATTTGCAATGTCTAGAATAGGGTGTATCCATAGAAGCAGAAAGTAGATTAGTGACTATTAAGGATGAAGGGGGAATTGAGCTGGGGAGTAAAAACTAACCAGTATAAAACTTCTGGGGGGTGATGAAAATGTTTTGCAGTTAGATGTAGTTATCAGTGCTATGTTGTAGGTGAAATTGAAGATCAAGGCTTATGGACTGGGAAACTAGAAGGGTTAAGACAACATTGAGATAGAAAATAAATTCAGGTATCCTGTAGATCTGAACAGCCCTGCTTAATGGTTATTTAAAGCAATTTTATTCTGTTCTAGGTTAAACTAATTAAAAATTTCTTTTCTTTTATTCTTTAACATGAAAATAAATAGTGCTTTGTGAATAATAGGCTGATATAAACAGAATAGTTTTAAAGAAAGCCACACAAAATTTTTAGTATCGAATATATTTATAATGAGTTTGTACCTAGGGGAAAAAAATTTTGTTCTTTTCCCCATAATAACACAGGAAGTATAATAAGTAAATATTTTAAACTTAATCGTTTTAAACAAATTCTGATTTTTTTTAGTTTAAACACATAACATTAGAATTCATTTTGACAGTTATAAAATTGTGGAATATAATTTGTTGTAATTCACAGTACTTCTCCTGACCCCAGTCCTCCTTCCCCTGTTCCCTTCCTCTACTCTCCTGATCTGTTAGTGTCTTGTGCATATACATAAAGGTTAGATTAACTATGGCATGTTTATATATGTACCTAGGAAAGTTAGGTCAGATTCAGTCCACTGTTTTTCTTTTATCCTGTCCTCCTCTTCCTCCTCCTCAACACCCCCCCCCCTTCTCTACTTTACTAATCTTTCTTTATTTTGATGGAATTCCCACATACTTTTATGTTTGAGAAGGTTTTGAAAATGCCAGTCAGTCCTGTGTTGGAATATCTTCATCTTTTGAAGACTTTTAAGATTTTCAGTGTTCAACTTTGTGAATTTTATCCAGTTATTTTTTTATACATGCATTTGAATATAGTTTGCTGTTTTTTTCACCTTTTAAAATATTTTTATGCAAAGGAATGCTATACTATGGTACCCCCCATAGACACACTCAGATCATGGTATTTGATTCAGTTTTTCTTTATTTTATTAGGGTTTATTTCTCTTTGGTTTGTTTTATTTATTTTTTATTTTTTTACCTACTTCCTTGGATTAAAGGCATTAATTTTACAGTACTTGTTTTTGAACTTTCTTATAAATGGACACAAGTGGATATCAATTTCAGGTATGATTCAAAGGAAATCTTTTTTTTTTAAAAGAGAGAATTTTTTAATATTTATTTTTCAGTTTTTGGTGGACACAACATCTTTATTTTTTTTTATTTTTATGTGGTGCTGAGGATCGAACTCAGCCCCCCACGTATGCCAGGCGAGTGCGTTACCACTTGAGCCACATCCCCAGCCCTCTTATGTGGTGCTGAGGATTGAACCCAGGGCTTTGCATGTGCGAGGCAAGCGCTCTACCACTGAGCCATAACCCCAGCCTCTCAAAGCAAATCTTACATCATTATATTTATATACACATCTGTACCCGAATACATTGTGCTGCTTTAGAGTTTTTTCCAGAAGTCTTCCAAATGTCAGCATTATGGAATAAAATTATTTACTCTGGGGATCCAGAAGTAAAAGATAAGAGCCTCAGTGAATTAAATAGTTATGTTTTGTGGCTTCTAAACTTAGCTTTCTGTTGCTTTTAAATTTTGTGATGGTCACAAAGGTTTGATACTTGACAAGTACAGGTCCCTCAGGATTCCTTGGTCAAGAAGCTTTTGTAAAGTTTTATTTGGTGTGCCTAAATGCCAGCCTAGCCTTAAATAATGTATAAAATAAGCACTTTTTTGGTCTAAACAAGTAATTTTTAAAATTTCAATCTTTAATTGTCCCAGAAACTTCCTTTTTAAAAAAAAATTTATTCTAATTTGTTATACATGACAACAGAATGCATATCAGTTCATGGTACACAAATGGAGCACAATTTTTCATTTCTCTTTGTACACAAAGTAGCGTCACACCATTCGTGTCTTCATACATGTTCCTAGGGTAATGATGTCCATCGAATTCCACCATCTTTCCTACCCACATGCCCCTTCCTCTCCCCTCCCTCCCCTTTTCCTTTTTTTTTTTTTTTTAATATGGAGTTTTTTTTCCTAATGATTTCATTTTCTGACTAAAGCTTTCATTTTAAATCCACGAAGGGTTCTTATTTTCAAAGGAAAAATTTTTTTCTTTCTTGTTTGTTCTTTAATTTATCATGCTTAGAAAATATGATATAGTAAAAATAAAAATTGCTTGGGGCGAGGTGGAGGATGTAAGACAGTACGGCCACTTGAAAATAATCTACTAGGATGTAATTGTATGTGTTGAAATAGTAGGACCTCAGAAATGAGATGGTACTGTTTTTAATGAAGTCATGATTTCAGAGTGACAGTCTTTTTGGAATAAAACTTTCTTAAGCCCAGGACTTTTTATCTTTTTTACTGTTGTATGTCACATATAGAATAGATGTTCGTTCACAAGGTATTTATTTGGATAAATAAATGACTCAAATAACTCAACTTTTGGTTTAAGGTGCGGTATCTAGAAGAAGACAGACCTTTTGCAATTGAGCAAGTTACTGGAATGCTGTTGGCCAAGCTTAAAGAAACTTCAGAAAATGCCCTGAAGAAACCAGTGGCTGACTGTGTGATTTCAGTAAGTTTTACTTCAGTAAATCATATTTTCACAAGAAATGTTAATCCATTAATGATAGAAATGTTTTTCCCCTTTATACTTTTCATCCCTTATCCAGAAAATAACCTTAAGTTCATTTTGACTTTTCCATTAAAAAAAAAAATTATTTGCTAAAGCTCTAGATTGAACTTAACATAATATGTCACTTGTAATTATCAGGGAAACTTAAAATTAATGTATGTGAATTCCAGCAACTCAGGAGGCCAAGGCAGAAGCATTTCAAGTTTGAGGCCAGTCTCAGCAACATAAGGAGACCCAGTCTCAAAATATACAAAATTTTTTTTTAAAGGACTGGGGATGTTGACGCACCCCTGGGTTCAATCTTGTGCCCCAAATACTAAGGTATGCATTACTGGTACCACTTAAAGACTTTTCCCAAATAACACCTAACTTCCATGTCTGAGGACCTTAATGTTTTATGGCATAGGTTGCAAATCCCAGTTGGGAATCTGAAATTGTGTATATTATGTGAATGTAAGGTTGTTTTTGTTTTTGTTTTTATTGTTGTTTTGGTATTGGGGATTGAACTCAAGGGCATGTAACCATTGAGCCACATCCCCACCTTTTTTTCAATTGTAAGACAGGATTTTGCTGAGTTGCTAAGGCTGGCCTTGAACTTGTGATCCTCCTTCCTTTGTCTTCCAAGTTGCTGAGATTACAGGCATGTACCATTGTGCCCAGCTGGAAAGATCTTTCTTGAAGGACTTTTTTCTAATCTCATGTGCTTTTTTAAAATTCGTACATTTTGTACAGGATGGTTGGGTTTGTTATGGCTTATTGGTACATGCATATCATTTGGTCAATTTTCCTCCTCACAAACCTCCCCTTACCCTCATCTTTGCCAGAACCCCGCCCCCTTCTAACCTATTGGTCTCTTTTAAGTATTCTAAACAATAAATATAATTGTTTACCTTAGCTTCGCTCTTGAGACCCCATTGAGTGTAGTTGGTTTTCAGTTTACATTTTTTTCACCCAAATGTGAATATTATTAAAACTTGGCTATATAAATCTTTTTCAACAGCATTTGGAAATTTTTATGAGAGAAAAACATTAGAGTTTAATATTTATTTTCTAGCCATTTAAAACTGGTAAATAAAAGAGATTACTATTGTTTGATTTTTGCTATTTTAAACATTTTATGTACATTAACCTTTTTGTCGGAAACACACTTTGAAGTAGATATTATTCATCCCAATTTTATGCCTAAAAATAAACATTAAAAAAAAAATGCAAGGCAACTAAGGCAAGGTGGTGCATGCCTGTCATCATCCCAGTGGCAGAAGGATTTTAAGTTTGAGGCCAGCCTTGGCAACTTCATCAGACTGTGTCTCAAAATAAATGAAAAAGGGCTGGGGGTGTAGCTCAGTGATATAGTTAGTACCCCTGGATTCAGTCCCAGTATTGCCAAAGAAAAAAGTTGTTTTTTTGTTTTTAATAAAAATTGAGGTGTAGGGATAGTTAATTCCTAAGCCAATACTTACAACTCTTTAGTTAATATTTATTGTCTCTTGAATGTATATATCAGAATGGTGCACATTTTTTAAAAAATCCATCTTAAGTTCAAATTCCTTCTTAATTTCACTGTACTTTTACTTTCATGTCAGAACAAAGTAATACAAACTTATGCTTAACTTTGTGGTTAGTATAGTAAATGCAATGTGAGCTCTACATGGGCAAGTAAATGAATATTAAATGAATCATACACTATGATTTGTATTTTTGTCAATAGCAAATCAGGGTAAGTCAGCTTTTCAAACAAAATTCAGGGTCTTTCCTTTTGTTAACCTATTATGTTTTTATAAGTGTCCTGTGTATGGGATGTTGCAACATGAGTTCTAAAATCAGTTAAATGAAATTTGTAAATTCAAAAAATGATAAAATTTGAGGGGCCCCAATTATTTTGTACATGAATATACTTAAATAGCGTTTTAGAAATTTGTGAGCTAAAAGTCCTTCTTAGTTTTGACAGAAGTAAAAATATATAAATCTTTATAAGCTTTAAGCCTGAATTTAATTTTTAGTAGAAATATATTTGTTTCTTGGTTATTGTAAAAGAAATATATATGTTCATCATAACTTTGTCATAATATGTAATTCCTCTCCTTGGAAGTAAGATCATTTTAAACTATGGAAATTTTATTCTTTTTAAAATTTGTTTTAATTAGGATTTTTATTCTTTAAGTTATGCATGTGCACACAAACACACACACAAATGAAATTGTGCTATATGTATGCCCCGCCTGCACACACACACACACCCGCCTTTTAAATGCAGTAATGATACACCATGACTGCAAATCTGTTTCTGCATAAGATTCTGGTATAGAGACATATGTTGAACTTAATTTTAGCAATCTTTTGAGTTTTCAATTTTTCATTTATTAAAGATGAACGAACATTGTTTTAATAGTTGAGTGTATTGGTCTGTTTTTTGTTACTTTATCAGGATACCTCAGCCAGACTCACTTGATAAAGAAAACAGAGATCTTAGGCTAAAAGTCTATAATGAGGTGGCCACATTAGTTTGGCCTCTAATTAGAGTGCCTAACAGTGTCTTGGCAGAAGTGTTTATGGAAGGCAGGCTCACATTGCTAAACTGGAAGCCAAAGAGATTGGGTCCCACAGTTCCTTCCTAGAGCATGTCCCCTCATTGACCTAAGGATCCCACTAGGCTCCACCTCTTTAAAGGTCCACAGTGAGAACTGAGTTTCCAACACATGGACCTTTTGGGGACAAGCAACACCCAAATCATAGCAGCTAGACTAACAAGGCAGTGTTTAAATTAATAGAATTTTGGCAGTCCTGCCATGTTACTAATTACTTTTAAATTAGTATTCATGTTAAGTCAAATCTTTATGGTACAGAAATGGTCAAACTTAAAAAAACTAGCACTAGTATTCTTCCTCATTTATTTAATTAATACACTTTGTCTTAAATTACACTCAAGTTTAATGTTTACATTTTCAAATAATAAAATCTATTACATCAAACTGATATACTTGATTATTGTTTTTAAATATCAGATTCCTAGCTTTTTCACTGATGCTGAGAGAAGATCTGTGATGGCTGCAGCTCAGGTTGCAGGCTTAAATTGTTTAAGGTTGATGAATGAAACTACTGCAGGTAAGCACACACTCTAATTTGAAAGTCACTGTAAGAAAGTACTGTTAAACAGTGTTTTTTCCAATGAGTAACAACATTTTTCTTTTTCTTTTTTGTAATATGCTGATTCTTATAAGCCAGTTGCTTTGGAATATTACATTTTGGCAGAGGTTAAATTTGTTTTAATTGCTTTAGATTAGATATGATTATTATACGGTTGTAGATAATAGGGAAAAATTTAACTTTGAAACTAATAGTATATATTAGGGAAAAAATTTAACTTTGAAACTAATAGTATATATTACTGTACTGTGTATTAAAGTACAGTGAGTGACTTATCTCATGTTTTCCAAGTAATTGCAATACTAGAATTAACCCAATTCTTTGTTCTTACACAGTTGCACTAGCATATGGAATTTATAAACAGGATCTTCCCCCGTTAGATGAGAAACCAAGAAATGTAGTATTTATTGATATGGGACATTCTGCCTATCAGGTCTCGGTTTGTGCTTTTAACAAAGGAAAACTTAAAGTAAGTAAATAAATGATTTGCTGTATTAACTTATTATTAAGAGCACAGACTATATAGAGAACTTTAATGACTGGGCTTATTAAATCTTGGCTCTGCCCTTTAAAAACTGTGACCTTAACCTTTCTAAACTTTAGTTTCTTTGTCTAAGGATAATATCAGTAACTGCCTCCTAGAATTTTTGAGAATAGAGCGAGTTAACACATAGGAAATGCTTGGAAGCCTGGCATATAGCAGAAGCTATATGTGTTAGCTATTTTTATCATTATTACTTTCTTGTTAAGGTGTTAAATCTGCTATCTGGGAACATAAAGTATCCGTAAATAAACTTACAGGAACTACTTTCTAAAATAATTCACATTGTTTTTAGAAAACTTTCTATCTGGGAGTCCTTATAGTTATATTCTATAATATAGCATTATTAACCTCATGTTTTTATCATCTATATTTGGTTTAATATTTGTTTTCATGTTGACTATTTGTCCAGATTTAGGCAAGTTCTCTCCGTTATGCATGTGAGTAGTGTACTTGGAAGATAAAGTGCTTTTGTTTATCCAACTCTGAAAGAGCCTTTTATCCTGTAGTATATAGTACTATAACAACATCCCTTATAATCCACAAATTAAAGGGAAATAAATGACTCATGCCAAATATGGAGTTGTTTTTTATGTGAATTGGTTTAATTCTTGACCTTTAACCTTAAATTTTAACTTAATTTAAAAAGCATTTTCTTTCTTTCCTAAGCTTTTCTCTTAGCTACCTTAGAGTATAGTGAACTGTAATTTGAAGATCAGAGAGCTTTTTGAAGACCACAACCCTTCTTTCCAGAAGAATGCATGCTTGTTCTGGTTACATACCAAGATAATTTTGCATAACACTGGACTTCATAAGCAGTCTGCACATGAATTTTCCATGCTAGTTTGTTGATTAGACATCACTCTCAGATGATGCTCACATCCTTTTGTGATGTTCCCATTCCGCCTTCACCCGCTCTTGTGAAGAAAGAGCTTAATCCCCAACAGTGGGTTTCACTTTTAGTATTATCTCTAAGTGTGTACTTATTTTACCCTGGGGCGGGTGGGGGGAGGGTTCTGTGGTGTTCAAGTTCTGTGGCTCATCCCTTCCACAAAACTATCTGGGAGCCTATTGCTCATAAAACTTTTCATAATTTTGTTTCTGCTTACTTATTTGCTCTCTCAAGTATTCTTAGGTTCTTATATTCTTATGTTGGAAAAATATGTTTTTTAATTTAATTTTTTTAAAATGCCTAAATCCTGACCTGTTAACTGACCAATTATATTTGAGTATCTTTAGATTTTCATTTTTTTGGGTGTTTTGTTCTTGTATATATGCTTAGAACTTTTCCTCTCAAAGTTGATTTTTTGGTTCAGTATTATTGTAAAATCAAAGGATGTGAGGTAATGAAATTTTAGATGTAATCAGTTATTTCAGAATTATTATGGTATGGATCTACCTTTTTGATAAGTTCTTTAACTTTGTTTTGTTATAATTTTAGAGATTTTTCTTTTCTCATTTTTTTCTTTAAAGAATCTATTTCTCAAAATTTAGTTTTGCTTTTTTAATTAAACAGGTCTTGGCTACTACCTTTGACCCATATTTGGGTGGCAGGAACTTTGATGAGGCCTTAGTAGACTACTTCTGTGATGAGTTCAAGACCAAATATAAGATAAATGTAAAAGAAAACTCTCGGGCCTTGTTACGTTTGTATCAGGAATGCGAAAAACTCAAGAAGCTGATGAGTGCAAATGCATCCGATCTTCCACTAAACATTGAGTGTTTCATGAATGACCTTGATGTTTCTAGTAAAATGAACAGGTACCATGTATTTTTCAATTTGAAAATTGTTTCCTTATTATGTTCAGATCACATCAGATTTGGGGAGACAGGGGGTTGTGCCAGAATTGAACTCAGGGGCACTGGATCACTGAGTCACTTCCCCAGCCCTATTTTGTATTTAATTTAGAGAGAGGGTCTTATCAAGTTTGGTAGCATCTCTCTTTTGCTAAGGCTGGCTTTGAACTGGTGATCCTCCTACCTTAGCATCCCAAGCTGTTGGGATTATAGGCGAGTGCCACCTTGTCCAGTCACATTTGATTTTTTAATTGTTATTTTAGAAGGTATGCTTAACTTTTTATCCAAATATAATGAGTTTTGTTGTATTTTCTCACAGGGCTCAATTTGAACAATTGTGTGCTTCCCTCTTTGCCAGGGTTGAACCACCTTTAAAAGCAGTTATGGAACAAGCTAGTAAGTGGAAATTGTTTTACTGTCAAAACTGTAGCATGTGGTAAAAGCAAATAAAAACTTCACTTTCTTTAGAAGACTTGTATTTCTCATTTTAGATTAAATTACTCATTCTTTAGTCATAAGATAGGACACTAGAATTCTGAGTTTATGAAAATATATCCTTGATCCTTTGATTGTTTACATCATAAAGCCAATGTTCTGTTTGGAGATGTGAATATATATAGAAGATTTTTAAATTGCCCATTTAACTTTAATTATTAATTAAATCATGGGGATATGATTACTTTTATTTATTTAATTTTGGTGGGCAATTAAAAATACCTTCAATAAGTCTAGTAGAGGAAGGAGAATGCAAGAGGGGATTGAGACTGGGAGGGAAAAAGGGAGGAATCATGAATTGAAACTGATTTCCATGTAACTATGAGTTTGAACAGGATGAACCCAACTACTATGTATAACAATAAAGCTCTAATAAAAAAGAAAAGGGAAAAAACTTTCTATAGAGGATACTGGGAATGTAGCTCAGTGGTAGAACACTTGCCTGGCATATAGGAAACTTCAATTCAGTCTCCAGTACCACTCATGTGAGTGCATGCTCACACACACAATCATAATTTAGCTGGGTGTGGTGGTGCACACATGTAATCCCAGGTACTTCAGAGGCCAAGGCAGAAACAAGCAAATTCAAGGCCGGCCTGGGAAAGTCAATAATACCCTGTCTCAAAATTAAAAGAATTAAGGATGTAACTCAAAGGTGGAATGCCTCCTGAGTTCAATTCCCAGTATCCAAAACAAAACAAACCAGAATGAAACCTCCTACAGAAGTTTGTAAGGTGAAAGTGAGAAAATTGAAGGAGGCTGACTACATTTAAAATATAAGAGGAGCTTTTCTGTCCTATGATGACTCCATCATATGGACCAAGTCTGGTATATATGACATAGTTAACATACATTAATTCTGCCTTCAGTTGTTTATATCTGCTATTTTATCTTCTTTTGAGCATAGTAAAATATTTACCTTTTAAAATCTACTTTCCAGTGCCATCTATTAGCAAATTTTGAAGGCTATCTTACTTTGCTCATTGAAAAACATCTTATTTCCAGACTTACAACGGGAAGACATAAGTAGTATAGAAATTGTAGGAGGAGCAACACGGATTCCTGCAGTGAAGGAACAGATCACGAAGTTCTTCCTTAAAGACATCAGCACCACCCTAAATGCTGATGAAGCTGTTGCAAGAGGATGTGCATTGCAGGTTGGTTATTTTATTCCAGAATGTGAATTTTGCAAACATGGGTCTTATGTCTGAAAAGGGGGCCTTTTTAATATAATGTATTTCAGCTACATAACAGCCTAAAGTCATTGGAATTATTCCTAATAAGTTTCTGTTGTTCTCATTCATATTGTTGAACTCTAAGATTAATATGCCTGTAATTACACTGAAAGAATGCTGATTTTATAGATTCTTGGAACTATGCCCATTTAAAATTCCTTGTGGAGATTTTTTAGTGTTCTTATTTCATTTATTTAAAGTTACATAAGAAGTACTCTGGCCCTTTAAAATTTTCACTAGTTATTACCAAAGGAACAATTGTTTTTAAAATAACAGTTTTACTATAAGGATTTTATTAGGCAGTTCAATCAGGGATAACTCTTGCTATGTATTTACTGATAAAAGTATGGTATACTTGTTATTTCAGTGTGCAATTCTGTCACCAGCATTCAAAGTGCGTGAATTTTCTATAACAGACCTGGTTCCCTATTCAATTACATTAAGATGGAAGACCTCTTTTGAAGACGGAACTGGGTAAGTTTTTTTTTTTTTTTTAAGAGCTTATCCCAAATCTTTATAACCTACTTTTTCTAAATTAGAGGATTAAGTCTACTTCTTAAAATTGTGTTAAAACTTTCAAAGTGGTAAAAAAAAAAAAAAGTGAATGTAAGAATGATGTAACTTGTAAGCCATGTGGGCATATGTGCATATCAATTTTATTATTCATATCTTATTATAATGCTGACTTAACAAATGAAAATCAGAATCTAAAAATGTTAAAAAACTTGAATTTCCTGTAACCTAAGTCCCTTACCCCATTTTATAGGTGTAACCATCTTTAATAATAAGAAAAGAGCTGTCCCAGGTCTTTTCTTCGAATATCCACAAATAAAAACATGCTTCTATTTAGTACACATAAGATCACCTGAACATCTGTAGTGCAGCTTGTTTCTTAAAAAAAGAAAAAGGTACCTTTCCATCTGAACAGAAAATAATTCTTCAGTAGTTAATAAATTGAACCAAAACACTACATTAAGTCACATTTCTGCTATATTTCAAGCACTTTTATTAGCTTTGCACACATATCCTTGTCCAGTTTGGAATATCTGAAAAATAGCAGTAGGAGGAGAATTGTTGAGCCAGAGTATACACACTGGAGGATTATAACTTGCAAGACATTTGAATGACTTTGTTTTGACATCAGTTTCAAAGCAAGAAGTATTCTGTAAAATTTAATATCATTTAAAGTTATAAGTTATCTAGGAATAAAATTACAAGAAAAGCATAGGGAGCTAAATTAGAAAGTAAATGTATCCAAATAAGTACAGTAAGAAAAAAGATATTGGTAGGTACTTGAAAACAAGGATGGAAAGTTATATAAATTGGAGTTTTTCAAAGTTTGTATAAGTAAGGTATTAGGATCATCATAGTTTTAAAAAGTGAGTTTCTGGGCTACTATAAAGGATAGTCTTAAACCTCATTTAAGGAATGGGAATTGTTGTGTGGATTTTAAAATTTTTTGGTCAAAAAAAAAAAAAAAAAAACTTCCTGGTCAGGTGTGGTGATGCATGCCTGTAATCCCAGTTTCTCTGGAGACTGAGGCAGGAAGATGGCAAGTTCAGGGATAGCCTCAGCAACTTACAAGGCCCTAAGCAACTTAGTGAGATCCTGTCTCAAAATAAAAAAAGGGCTGGGGATTTAGCTCAGTGGTATTGTGCTCCTGGGTTCAGTCCCTAGTACCAAACAAACAAAAAACCTTCATGTATTTGGAGAGGGAGGTAGAAAATACTTAAAAGGACAATATTACACCAATTGAGAAAACTGGGATTTGGATGATAGAATCAACAGAGAAATATACCTACTAAGTATACATTCATAGCAGATATCACTCTTGTTGAGGAGAAAATGCCCAAGGAGAGAGTGTGTACACTCACTCATAATAAGACAAAGGGGTAAAATGTTAACAGTACCTAATCTAGGTAAAGGATATGCAGTATTCATTGACCATTCTTCTGTTTTTGCATCCTTCTTTGAGATTATTTCCAAATAAAAGGGTTTTTTTTTTGGGGGGTGGGGGTTCTTTTTTGTTGTTGTTTTTGTTCGTTTGTTTCCTTAAGGGAACAGGAATAAGAAGGGTTTCATATGGTAAGTATTTTGGAAATCAGTGGGCAGGGCTTGATCCTCAAATATCAATCAGAAGAAGAAAACCTATAATCCCTACATCTTTAACCTAAAATATGCATATTCTCAGGAAAATAGTTATTCAGGTAATTTTTCCTTTTAGTAGTATATAATTGTCCTTTTATGGCAGACATTCTGAAAACTTGTCAAAATTCATGTTTGTAATAAGCAAAGTAGTTTTTTAACCTTTTTCATAGAGATCCTTGGAGTTGCTGCATGTGAATTGAGAATGAAATGGATCTGTAATTAGGTTAATAGGCACACTTTTTGTTTTCTAAATGTCTTTCCCACTGTATTTTAGGGAATGTGAAGTATTTTGTAAGAACCATCCTGCCCCATTCTCAAAAGTCATTACTTTTCACAAGAAGGAACCATTTGATCTAGAAGCATTTTATACTAATTTGCATGAAGTGCCTTATCCTGATCCAAGAATTGGTAAGAGAACTCAAAATATTTTTTCCATGAATTTTTGGCCTTTTATAAATAATGTGGAATCAAAGAAACAAATGGATGTTTCAGCTAAACCAGCTCTGGATTTTTAAAGATATTTGTACTTTTTTCTAAATAGGCACTTTAGTGCTCGGTTTATTTCTAAGATGACAGCAGGTTTGAGTATTCTTAATTCATTTTGACTTATTGGCCTGCAAACATTGTGTGAAGGTTACTTTTCATTGAAAAACTTTTCAATGAAATTGAAGTTGTGCTGCTAGACTGAATTTATATTCTGATTTTAAACTTTACTGGCAACAACTACAATGAATATTATTAGATTAACATGAAAGTGGGAAGATATGAAAATATCTATTTTCATTGTGTAATCTCTTCAGATAGTATAAAAATGCAATTTAATAGCATTTCAAAGAGAAGGAATAATTAAGTTTTTAAGTTTTTCTATATTGATAACTAAAAGAGAAAACTATAGCTTATTTCATATATGTCATTTAAAGCGTACAAACTATTGAGTGTTATATTAGTTTGTTACACTGCTATAATAAGTTCTGCAAAATAGATGGCTAGAACAATACGAATTCATTATCCCAGTTGTGGAAATGAAAGTCTGAAAACAAGGTATCCGCAGTTGTGGTCCCTTCTGAGGGCTGTAAAGAAAGGATCTGTTCCAGGCCCATCTCCTTTATTGGTAGATGACCTTCTTCATATTGATATCACGTCTTCTCACATATGTGTATGTGTGTGTTTCCAAATTTCTCCTTTTCATAAGGGCACTGCTCATACTGGATTAATGACATCCATTTTAATGACCTCTTTAAAATCCCTATCTCCAAATACACAGTTGTGTTCTGAGGTACTAAGATGGTTAGAACTTCAACTTATGAATGTTAGGATACAACGCAACTCATCAAAAGGTTATCTAGATTTTTTTGCCATCCATTTTTTTTTTGCCTGATATTCTCTCTTGTACTGTGTGTATCATTAATTTTGTTACAGGAAAAATACAAAAAAAGTGGAATTGCTTTATGAATTAACCTGGTTGATTATGATTTATAAAACTCAATAGTTAAGAGGTAATGTATACTAGGCTTGCTAGCGCACACTTATAATCTGGCAGCTTGAGAGGTGAGGCAGAAGGATCACAAGTTCAAAGCCAGTCTCGGCAAAAAGCAAGAACCTAAGAAATTTAGTGAGACCCTGTCAAAATACAAAATAGGGAAATAGGGCTGGGGATGTGACTCAGTGGTCAAGTCCCCATGAGTTCAATCCCCGGTTACCTCCCCCTCCCCCCACCAAATAAAAGGGTAATAATTTGTTTTCAGACTCAGAAATTGGATTTAGTTTAATGGCTTCAGAGTACAAGTGTTAAAATGTATTGAGAAGTTAAATATTGCCTTTGAATTAAATTTTCCCAGGTTAAAATAGCAACTCTTTTTCTACCATTGATTATCTTGAGCAAGTAAATCTTTTTCAGTCTTAATATCAGGTTTGTTATGATATAAAGAAGGTAGTAATGGGGAAAGCACCTGCCCCTTAGTAATTAGTATATAATTGTTTGACAAGACCTTAAAGATAGTAGTAAAATTAGTGAATAAAGAATTGAATGAAAGGTTGCTTGAGGAGTAGCTCAGGTCGACGGCTTGTCTAGCATATGCTGAGGCCCTATCTGAAACTCATGTACTGATCAAAGCTCTTTTTTCCTTAAGGGAGCTTCACTATTCAGAATGTTTTTCCACAGTCTGATGGTGATAGTTCCAAAGTGAAAGTTAAAGTTCGGGTTAACATCCATGGAATCTTCAGTGTGGCTAGTGCATCAGTAATTGAGAAGCAAAATGTGGAAGGGGATCACAGTGATTCTCCTATGGAAACAGAAGCTACATTTAAGGATGAAAATAAAGATGATGTGGTATGTAGAAATTCTGTCTCAAGATTTCCATGATAATACATACAATATCTTAATTATAAATGCTATTCTGATGGTTGAATACATTAATTTCTGATATTTTGTTTTGAATTTCTGCTATGGTCAGTGAAAAACTTAGATTTCTATTTAAATGATACATATTTTTGACATTGTAATACACTTTTCAGGAGATTTGTGCATCTTTCATAACATTAAGGTAGAGCATGTGAGTTTGAAATTATTTTTTCTAAGTTCTTCATTTCCATTAAAAGTATAACTTGCTGTGGCTAGGTATGTACAGATAAAACCAATTCAAAATCAATTTTGCACTGTACACAGATGCATACAAATAGACTTCTTCAGGATTTAGTTAGAGGATATCTGCAAAGGAATATGCTGTATATTCAATAACATTCAAGTAAAGATTAAAAGTTATGTTACACTGCATTGATTCTTAGTGTACTTATAAATGAAGGAATCTTAGGGGAACTTGATTATATTTCATTACACAAATTGTTTTTAGTGGTATTTGTTAGATTTTTTTTCCCAGTCATATTTGAAGATCTACCCTAGATTTTCTTGCCTTCTACCAAGTACTTCCTACAAAGACTGTGGCATCCCCCCTCATCATATTGCCCATGTACTATCTATTTATTATTACATATTCCTTGTTTAAATTGAGGAGGAGGAAGTGTCCTAGTCTATTAGTGAAGATAATTAATTTTTCGTAAGGGATCTCTAAGTAGATGTTCCTAAATATTCTTTTTATGATTTATACATTCAAGGGGGAAAGAATGGTAACTAATATTATGGATCATATATTAAGCATTATTGATGAACACATGTTATCTATATAATCTCTTTTTAAATCTCTACCATAGCTGATAAAATAGGTGTTGAATAAATCGTCAGTTTATTTTCTCATGCTTCATGATAATAAAGTTAATAAGTAAAATAATTTTAGTATGATTTTAGTATATTTTGTAGAATACAGCCTATGTGCTTTATTTCTTAGAAGCATTAAGATTATCTGGGATTTCTCTTTAATTTTGTATTTAGAAATTTTTTTTAAAAAAGCTTAAATATCCATTATAAAGCCACCCCCCCCAAATATGTACCAATTCAAAGCAGAATCTTTTTTTTCCGTTTTAAACTAAGATAGCTCTGATTTTCCTAAAAATTGATACACTATATATATCTGAGAAAAATTGATACCTCTCCTTACATTCATTATCTAGTCATACTAAGAAGTTACCTTAGACCATGTAACAGAACCAGGAATCAGAGCAACTGTATGTTGTTCATCATGCTAATGTACAACAATTTAAGTATTTCCCAATTCGTGTCCATTTGGGTTTTCTATTTATTTTTTAATTTCGTTGTAGATGGACACAATACCTTTATTTTTGTTTTATTTGTTTTTATGTGGTACTGAGGATCGAACCTAATGCCTCACATATGCAAGGCAAGCGTTATACTACTGAGCCACAACCCCAACCCTATTTATTTACTTTTTTAATTAAAATATTTGTATATAGTAAAGACTCTTTAGGTGCTTCAGACCCATTGATAAACAACCTAGAAAAGAGGTTCTCACCATTCTATAAACTTACATATTAGTCGTAAAGGACAGGAAAGAAGCAATGAGCTAGCATGTAAATATAAAGGAAATTAATGAGGATGCATGGTAAAATTACCTATGATAGTGATGAAAGTTCACTAGGAAGGAATAGGTATACTAGCCTTGAAGATGGAAAAGCAGTTTGTACAGAAAAGGAGTGGGTATTTTTATAGCAGAGGAAATAGCAAGTACACAGGCCACAAAATGGGAAACCCTTGTGTTTTAACAGATAGAAAGGTAACTGATGCATAGGATATAAGAACAGAGAAGGGGACAGTGGCAAGAAAAAGTGAAATTGAGAAGGTAGATCAAGGGGAAAATCTTATAGTTCATGATAGTGATTCTGGATTTTATTCTTAAGTGCTGTGCTTTTTTACTTATTCAGCAAATAACAAAAGAGTGCCTGAAATGCATGATTGGATATATAGCAAGGAGCTCAAAGGTGATCTCAATTCCCAGGTGTTTAAAAATCACAGAAGCCAGAATCTAGAGATTCCATTAATTCTCCCACTATTAATAATATTCCTATGAATATTCTTTTTAAAGTCATTACAAATGACCACCATTCTATATTAATTATAAGATAATTTTTTACATCTATGTAATTTTTTCATATACATATATACACACATATGCACATGAACTAAATTATCATTATGAAGGATAACATCATACATTCACTTTTGGACTTGGCAGTAGTCATATATATGTGAACTTAGTTTTTATTCCTGCTAGCATGACTAAGAGATTGCAGCCCTCTCGCCTTTCTGTCATCATAACCACTAAGGACCATTCAAGTCTTAGCCATTATAATGACTTTCTGGTAAGCTAAAATAGCATTGTATGTGTCAGTGGCTTATAGGAAAATACTAAAGACCCATTTTTAAACAAATAATGTGTTACTGATGCCCTTGGCAGAAAAGAGGATGATGCTGTAAAAAAAATAACAAAAAAACACAACAAAGGAAAACATTAACAAGTAGATAAAGTAATTTAGAAAGTTGGAGTCTAAATGTCAAGAAGTTTTAGAAATACATTTACCATATTGGGCTTAATTATTTTTTTCTGTATAGTCAAGAGACATAACTGAGGATGCATGGTAAATTACCTATGTGATAGTGATGAAATGACGATAGTGATGAAATAATCTCAACAGAGGAGGTTATTTTTTTCAATATGTACAAAGTAAAAATTTTAAGCAATAAAGCAGTGTGACCACTTAGTTGACAACATTTTTGTCTAACATGTTAGCGTTAATAAAATATTTGTGTCTTGTGTGGCCCCAACTCAGTACTTTTTCACCTCAACCATCACAGGATCTGGGGAGGGTCTAGTGTTAGAAAGAAGGTCTTAGAACATCAGAAATAATTGCTCTTTTTCAAAGAGTCGTCTGCTAATCTATTTTTCTTTTTTGCACAAGTGACCATTTATTCAAAAAAGCTTTCTGGGTATTATATATTTGCTCAATTCTAGATATAGAAGACCTAAATTATTCGGATTCCTATGTTCTAAATTTTCTTAAAGATGTTGGTGAAAGAAGGGTCCTCAGGAAAATCTGTTATTTACACTTATTTACCAAGTGGAGAGTCCATTTTGAGCAGAGGGTGTAGATTGAAAGTTTATTTTTCAGACATAATAATTTCATATTTTAGCTAGAACATGATAGCACACACCTGTTAATCCCAGGGAGAACCTGAGGAAGGAGAATTGCAGATTTGGCACCAGTCTCGGCAACTTAGCAAGATTGTTTGAACATTAAAAAAAAATGCTGGAGGTTGGGTATGTAGCTCAGTGGTCAGGGTGCCCCTGGTTTAGTCCCCAATACCAAAACAAAAAATTAATAATTCAGAGACATCTTTTATGTAGTTTCAATGAGTTTCCTTCAGTATTTTGTTACATTTTTAATATATAGATTGAATTTGTGAAATAAATTACATATCTTTTTCACTTTATCTTTCCATTTTCTTCCTTATAAACATTTTTCTTGTTAATTTGAACATTCTCTTTCTTTGTAAGCCAGGTCTTATGTATCTTTATAAGTTTAAGAACAATTTTCTGTTGTGTTTTGCAATTTATTTGGTCACAGGTGAATGCAAAACAAGATTTGTTCATATGGCATTAAATACATCTTTTTATTTTACTTATTAACGGATTTGGTTTTTGTTCTCATTTGAGAAACATGTTCTCACATCTCAAAACAGGCTTTTGAGCTCTAAGGTAGTTTCTTATTTATTTGTTACTGGGAATAACCCAGGGGTGCTTTGCCACTGAGCCAGATTCTCAACCCTTTTTATTTTTTTTATTTTGAGACAGTGTCTGAGGCTACCTTAGAACTTGAGATCCTTTTGCCTCAGCCCCCTGAATTGCTGGGATTAAGGCATGCAGCATAGCCACCTAAAATAGTTTATTTTTTTAAGAAAATTAATAAGACTCCACATATATTATCAGTTATATATTTTCTTTCCAGGATAAAATGCAGGTTGACCAAGAAGAAGGAGTTCATCAAAAAGTTCATGCTGAACATACCCCAGAAGAGGAAATTGATCATACAGGAGCCAAAACAAAGGTTTGATTTTCTGTTTCTATAGTTTTATCTTTTGAGATTGATATTTTGAATTATTTCCTTTATAATGATGGTTTACATATTGTCCCATCTTCTCAGATATGGAACATATATAAAAATTTTAAATTCAACAATAAATATACCACTTAATGGTAAGTTTGAAATAATACTTGACTATTGTATGCAGAATTGAAAACTTGGGACTTGATGGGTTAATACACTTCATACTTTTAATGTTAGATTTATGGGAAATTATGGAAAACTTACAGCCAGAATGAATATATTTCAATTTTCATTATTTGAGGCTTTATAATATGGCCCTAATGATATGTGTATAATCGTATTTTTCACAGGAAAACGGAACAGATATTTCAGTAACTTTCTCATTAAAAGTTATACAGTAGGGCTGGTGTTGTGGCTCAGTGGCAGAATGTTTGCCTAGCACATGTGAGACACTGGGTTTGATCCTCAGCATCCCATAAAAATAAACAAACAAAATAAAGATATTGTGTCCCATGTATAACTAAAATATATACATATATATATATTTTTTTTTTTTTTAAATCATACATTATCAGAAAGCTTGAGGTGAAACAAGTCAGATGAAGGAAACTTAAGTTTGCATTTGCAGTGCTCTGCAACTCACAGTTAACCATTCCAAGTGTTTGCTGCATAGAATATTTCTTTTTGCAGAAACATTTTGAAATGTAAATTTTGAAAGGATAAATTACTCCACTTTTTTCTTCTTCTTTTTTTTTGGGTACCAGGGATTGAACCCTGAATCACTGAACCACATCCTCAGCCCTTTTTATGAAATATTTTACTTAGGAACAGGGTCAGTCTTAGTTCCTTAAGAACTGAAATTGTTGAGGCTAGCTTTGAACTTGAGATCCTTCTGTTTCAGCCTCCTAAGCCACTCAGATTATAGCTGTGTGCCACCATGCCTGGTCATTACTCCACTCTTTGAGAGTAATTATTTTACCATCTAGTCATTACCTTAAAAAAGGAAAGTTCCATTGTGGCTATAACTATTCTATCATCTTCAACAGATTGTTCTAAATTGCACAGAATATATAATCTGTATTGGTTAGCTGTGTAAAGCCCCTCAGGTTTTAAATCAAGACACTCTAAATTATTTAAAACCTGAAAAGTGTTTTTCTACCTTTTCCAGTTTAACCTGGTTTTTTTTTTTTTTTTCTTTTAACAGCTTGAGATACAGTTTGCAGACTATACAATTCACCCTTTTTAAGTATGCAGTTGAGTGATTTTGGGAATATTCATGGAGGGTGTACCACTGTCATCATAGTTTCAGGGCATTTTCATTTCCCCCAAAACAGTGCTGTACTTATTGTTAACATTAATTCTTCATTCCCCTAACCTTTTCTCTGCCAGTCCTAGGCAACCATCAATGTGTTTTAGTTTCTATAGATAAGTCTTTCATGGATATTTCACCTGAATATAGTTACTGATGTTTTCCTGCCCTAAGCTTGCTGTCAGTGTTCATCCTAGTTGGTAGGGTGTGTTAATAATTCATTCCTTAAAAGGACTTAATCATACTGCATTGGATGAACATATACCACATATTATTTGTCCTTTCATCAGGAGATGAACATTTGATTTTTTTTTTTTTAACCATCATGAATACTGCTGTTAATGAAAAATCATGTACACATTTTTGAATGGGTGTAATACCCAGAAATGGAATTGCTGGGTCATACAGTATCTCTGTGTTTAAGGTTCTGAGGAGCTTCATAGTTCTCAAAAATCACTATATGTTTTACAGTCTCACTAACAATATATGAAGATTGTAAGTTCTCCACATCCTCACCAATACCTGTTGTTTACTTTTTTTAAATGATGGTCATCATAGTATGTGTGAAGTAGCAGCTCTTTGTACTATAGATTTACCTTTATGACCCAATATATGTTATGTAGAACAGATTTATTATTGTATTATTTTTAAAGTATAAGAGTAGTAGTTGTTTGACTTTTACATTTTTGTTTCACCTCTAAAATTACTCTTAAATTTATTTTTAAGCTAGTTTTAGAAATTTTCACTTTTCTTAAATTTTTGTTTCAGACAGCACCCTCAGAAAAACAAGAACGATTAAATCAGACCATTAAAAAGGGAAAAGTCAAGAGTGTTGATCTACCTATCCAGAGTACCCTATGTAGACAGCTGGGCCAAGATCTTCTCAACAGCTACATTGAAAATGAGGTATATAAATCTGATTGAATTTTGAAACGTGGTGGTATATTCTGATATTTTATAGTCAGTAATCTCCAAATTCTGGGAAATAAGTGAAAAATACCTGAGGAATTATTAAGCAGATCATTCATTCACATAATTTTTGATAAAATACTGAACTAGATTAATATCATTTACAATAATTTTATCTTATTTATATGAAAGATAATACTATATCCTCTAAAGAGAAGAACCTTTTTGAGACTCGGGATTCTCGCCCCCTTAAGTTCTGTCGTTAGTAGAAACACCAGCACATGTCACATGGTGAAGTTATGAGCAACTCCATTTTTTTAAATGCATATCCTTTGAGATTAAGGTTCTAGGCATGTTTTCTGACTTTAGTTGAATAGATTTTAAAAATCTGTTTTCATTAACATTTTCTTACATGTTTAATACTAGTCTCTTGAGGGTAACAAGTTTTATTTCTTCATCAGTAATTATATTAGAAGTAATTTATTTCATTTTTTTAGTGGTGGTTCCTAATTTCTTCAAGCTTGGCTGGCATTAAGAGGTCAGTCTCAAGAGTGCCTTCTATTTTACCATCAACTGTACGTTATTTTAACAAGAAATTTTGACTTTAAATACTTTTTTGTTGTGTACTTACATCAAAAGTACATTTTGTGTGAAGTAAGCATTCTTTGAGGTCTTGTATTATGTCAGGAGGCTAATTTTCCCAAAGGAATGAATTGATTGGCAGGTATCGTATATGACATTTTTCTTAGTTTTTAATTTGTATTTTAAATTATTTAGGTCAACGCATTGTAGTTTATAAAGAGCTTATGTTTAAAATACCACATTTTTCTTAAAATGACAACTTTGTTATCTGTAGATTATTAGTTTTTGATTATAATAATTTTTGTTAACAACTTTAAATACTTTTAATATCTTATTATTCCTCAAAACAAATATATGAAGCATAGCTTTCCATTTTGTAGATGAGAAAACTCAGGCCAATCTATACTAAGCTGCCCAAGGTCAGAGAGTATCAGACTCTCCAAATCTCAGCATCAGTCAATTAGTATCCCCTACTGAGACTCACATTTATTCAGTACCAGGCATTGTACTAAATATTATATATAAATTACTCAGTCTTACTAAAATCCCAGTAAGTTACAATTCCACACTTTATTTTAGGATCAGAAATTGGAGGTTAGGTGACTTTGTTGATCTCAAGCTGATAAACAGGGAAACTAGGGTGTGAACCTGAGTATATATAAATGACACAGTATGTTTTATTCAGCAATTGTTTTAAAAAATATTTTTTTGTAGTTGGAGGTGGGGACAATACTTTTATTTTCTTATCTTTATGTTGTGCTGAGGATTGAACCCAGGGCCTCATATGTGCTAGGCAAGCACTCTACACTGAGCTACAACTCCAGCCCCTTATGCCAACGATATGATTCTATACTTAGAAGACCCAAAAAATTCCACCAGAAAATTTCTAGAACTAGTAAGTAAATTCAGCAGAGTAGCAGGAATACAAAATCAGTCAACACCCATAAATCAAAAGCATTTCTGTATCAGTGACAAATCCTCGGAAAGGAAATAAAAACAACCCCATTTACAGTAGCCTCAAAAAACATAAAATACTTGTGAATCAACCTAATGAAAGAGGTGAAAGACCTCTATAACGAAAACTACAGAACTCTTTCGAAGAAATTAAAGAAGACCTTAGAAGATGGAAGATCTTCATTGTTCTTGAATAGGCAGAATTAATATTGTCAAAATGACTATACTACCAAAAGCATTACGCAGATTAATGCAATCCCAATGACATTTCTCATAGAAATAGAAAAAGCAGTCATGAAATTCATTAAAAATACTAGACCCAGAATAGCTAAAGCAATCCTTAGCAAGAAGAGTGAAGCAGGTGGCATCACTATACCAGACCTTAAACTGTATATACTATAGAGCAATAGTAACAAAACCAGTGTGGTATTGGCATCAAAGTAGATTGGTAGACGAGTGGTACAGAGTAGAGGACACAGAAACTAACCCACATAATTATAGTTACCTTAAATTAGACAAAGGCGCCAAAAACAAGCATTAGAGAAAAGATAACCTCTTCAACGAATGATGCTGGGAAAACTGAAAATCCATATGCAACAAAATGAAGATACTCACATGGCACACAGTTCACACATTTTAAAAAGTATATAGTGATTTTTGCATATTACAATATGAAGTTTTAAAAATTATGCTTTAATATAGCATAAAATTTGCCATATTAACTGTTCTATTTATTTATTTTAGTTGTAGTTGGACACAATACCTTCATTTTATTTATTTATTTTTATGTGGTACTGAGGATCGAACCCAGGGCCACACACGTGTGAGGCGATTGCTCTACCGCTGAGCCACAACTCCAGCCCGATATTAACTGTTTATAAATGTACAATTCGGTGTCATTAATTATATTCACAATGTTATATGAACATCACCACAATTTTCAAAAATTTTCATTGCCTCAAAACAGAAATTATGTAACCATTAAGGATTAACTCTCCCTTCTTCCCTTTTCCCATTCCCCAGTACTGCTTTCTCTATATCTGAATCTACCTGGTCTAATTAACTCATAGAGTACTTGTCCTTTTGTGTTCACCTATGTTGTTGTAGCATGTACCAGATGTTATTGTTTTAGTTGTAGATGGACACAGAAATATATTTATTTTTATGTGGTGCTGAGGATTGAACCCAGTGACTCACACATTCAAGTCACGTGCTTTACCACTGAGCTACAACCCCAGTCCCTATTTCATTCCTTTTTAAGATTGAATAATAATTCCATTGATTGTACATTCATTTCATTTATCCATGGATCTGTAAATGGACACTTGAATTGTTTTTATTTTTTTGGCTGTTGTGAATAATTGTAATTAACAAATACTGTTTTGAGTCCCGGCTTTCATTTCCTTTGGGTATCTTTGGAGGAATAAAATTCTAATTCTGTGTTGTGTTTTTTATGGAACCTGTCAGTTTCCATGGTGGCTGCAGCATTTTACATTCCCACCATTAATGTGTGAGGGTTTCAGTTTCTCCACATGTTCATGAATACTTATTTTCAGTTTCTTAAAATATTTTCCTCTTAATAAGTATGAAGTGGTGCCATTATGGTTTTGATTTGCACTAACTTTTGTTCTTACGACAGTTAATCTGAAACTTTTTGAATAGGGGAAGATGATAATGCAGGATAAGTTAGAGAAAGAAAGAAACGATGCTAAGAATGCAGTCGAAGAATATGTATATGATTTTAGAGACAGACTGGGCACTGTCTACGAAAAATTCATCACTCCAGAAGTAAGTCTAAATTTCATAATCTTTGAGAGCTATTTAAATCTTACCTGAAAATGTCAGTATGGATTATATTGATAAGTGTACCAAATTTGTTATCAATCTTCCTGAGCCTTCGGGAATATAATTCTTTTCCAAATTAAAGCATGGTGAAAAACATGTTAATGAATGAGTCAGAAAAATCATAAATTTAACTGAAAAATCATAAATTTAACTGAAAAATATCCTCTTTCCTTGATGACTTTTTTTTTAAATCAGGAAAGCATTTGTAATCAGTCTCTCTTAAATGTATAACTAGGACATGAGTAAACTGTCTTCAGTACTGGAGGACACAGAAAATTGGCTTTATGAAGAAGGAGAGGACCAACCTAAACAAGTTTATGTGGATAAGCTTCAAGAACTAAAGGTAAAGATTTTGAAGTTCCATATTAGGGTTGAATGAAATATTTGGTTCTTAAAAATTATGGTATAAAGGCAATGTACTTGTTTAGTTAAATTTATTTTTAATTGACAGGTAAAATTATATATATTTAATGGTGTACAACATGTTTATATGCATATGAATATATATATATATATATATATCTTAGAATGGCTAAATCAAGAGACATGAAAAATTGTTCTATTTGTGTAATATGAATTGAATTGTATTCTGTCAAATATAACATTGAATAAATAAAACTAAATTTAACTTAAAAAATGGAAAAAAGTAAAAAGAAACAGGTTGAATTAATATGTTTCATTTAACACACTTAAAAAAAAGTGGACTAAATCAGATTTGACAGATGCATTACTTAACATACTTTGTTTGTGATAACACTTAAAATCTACATAGTTTTCAGATATATAATATTGTTATCAGCTGTGTTCTTCAGCTTATCTCTTTATCTAATTAAAATATTGCATTCTTTCAACATCGTCTCCCCATTCGTCCCTCCATCCAATTGGTGATCACCATTTTACTATCTGCTTTGGAGTTGGACTTTATGGACCCATGAGATCATGCAGTATTTGTCTTTTTTCCCTAGCCTATTTTCACTTAGTGTAATGTCCTTTGGGTTAATTCAAGTTGTTCCAAGTGATTGGATCTCTCCCCAGTACTGAGGATCTAACTGAGCTACATCCCCAGCCCTATTTTGTATTTTACTTAAGACAGGTTCTTGCTGAGTTGCTTAGCGCTTTTCTGTTGCTGAGGCTGTTTTTGAAATTGTGATCCTCCTGCCTCAGCCTCCCAACCACTGGGATTACAGGCGTGGGCCACCATGCCTGGTTGGATTTCCTTCTTTTTAAGGCTGAACTGTATTACATTTCTTTGTCCATTCATGAATAGATTTTTGTCCCTTTCCTTTTCTGAATAATGATGTAATCAATATGGGAATGCAGATAATCATTTCAATATGCTGATTTTATTTACTATGGAAATATGAGAAGTAACTAGTGCTGTGTAACTGAGATAATATATAATCATAATACTAAAATGTGTTTAAAAAATGAACAGAATTAATCTTTTGCATCTATGTATTAGTGAGTTGTCTCTTTAAGAAGTGATAGAATTATCAACTTGATCCCTTCCTACTTATTGGAAGAATCACCCTTCACTTCTGTGATTTGGGGAGTAATAACACTCTGGCCTATTGTATTTTTGCAGTGCAGCTGATGGAAAAACCAAGTAGCCAAGATGTCAGAGATAGCACCTCTGCTCTTGAATGTCCTTTCAGAAAAAAATTTAAACTTGGCTACCATGTCTGCCTTTCCTAAGTCATTGGTATGATTTTGAGGAAAGACCACTGTTGGCCTCTTTGTCCATGCTGGCAATGCTGTGCAACCCTTTCCCCATTCTAGAAAAAAAAAATACCTCTACGTTTTATTGGAAAGTTGAAAAGAAATTTTAGTCATTTCTTGGAAGTGTGGATCTTTGAGTTACTCTGATGTGCATATGTACTACTTAGGCTATTATTGAAAAGCAGATTCTGATTTAGTAGATATGAGAGGGGCCCCATGGTTCTACATTTCATTAAAGCCTCCAAGTGATGCTGGTGTTGCTGGTTTATGAACCACTCTTTGAGTAGCAAGAAATCACATAGATGCTAGTGATGTGATTAATAAGGATTTTAGAATTTGGAAATTACAGCCCTTTAAGCACTGGGGATAGTAGGGTAAAAAAACACAAAAGATGTTACTTCAAAGTAAAACTAATAATCATGCAAAAATTATTTTCATGCCAATAAATTATTTCCAAAGGGAATAAGTAGCAACTAGAAAAATTGTTTATATCAGCAGAATTAAGCATTATCATAGTTTATATTCTCAGTGATTTTTTTTTTTTTTTTTTAACATGCCACATCCCTAAGGGAAATGTACATTAACTTTTTTTTTTTTCAGTACTGGGGTGGAGCCCCCGGGCACTTTACCACTAAGCTACATCCTGGTCCTTTTACTTTTTGTTTTGAGACAGGGTCTCCCTAAGTGCTGAGGCTGGCCAACAATGTGCACTTCTCCAATCTCAACCCCTCTAGTAGCTGGGATTACAGGAATGCGCTGCAACACCTGGCCCGTTTTTTTTTTAATATTGGGAAAGCCAAGCAGCCGAGGCCAGTGGACATAATTGCGAATCTTACCAGTACTTAACCTTGATTCTTTGCCTTAAGTATATTAAGAAGCCATAGAAATGAATGTTAACAGAATTTTTCACATTTCTGTGGTGGTAGTGGTTGTTGTTGTTGTGCTGGGCCTTGAACCCGGGGCCTTGTGTATGTGAGGCAAGCACTCTACCAGCTGAGCTATATTACCTAGTCCCTAGTTTTGTTTTTGAGGTGACCTTTAAAAAAGTGAAGTATCTGCTCCTCTTTGAAAATTAAATTCACTGAATGCATTATGATATCCTGGAACAGAGGTGAAATCTGGATAAAGACTGGGATTCTGTTCAATATTAACTTGTCAGTGTTGAATTTTTTTTTTCAGATTTGACAAATGTACCATTAGATATTACATTAGAGGAAAGTAGTGATAATGGTTGGCTTTCTGTTATTTTCACTTTTCTGTAAATCTGAAATTACTGTTAATCTACTCTCATTTTTATCTTAGTATATAAAAGAATTTAAGAGAAAATAGTTCTTTTTGTCCTTCATGTGCTTCCCTCTCAAAAGTTTGTGTAGGTGGTTTTAACATTGAGAAACAAATCGAAGCACTTAGAAGAGAAAGAAATTAGAGTATGCATTTTAATCTAATGATTTTTATATATATATATAATATGCACACATATATAAACGATAGCAGATATTAACTGTCAGTAATAATGTTGCATATACAGTTATATGGTTATAGAGTTACATTAATTTTGAAACTAAGTTTAAAATCCATGAATTCTATATGTACTGTAATATAGTCCTTATGGTTTCTTTCTCTAATAGTTTCGTAAAGTATTCTCACCTATCTTTGAAAAAAAAAAGTAAGTTTTGATTGGGACTTTGGATTTAAAGAAGAATCAAGAGGTAATTGTATAAATGAGAAAGAAATAAGGCGCTTGTTAGGCATTCTTCCTTAACAATGAACAAAAGCCAGTGGAAGTACTTCTTTGTAGGGAAATAGCGGGAACATGTTTTAATATGGCCATTATATTATTCCAAAGAGCCAAATAAATTTTATGTTAAAGCTCTTGTTCTTTTTAACATTTTTCTTTTATTAATAGAAGTATGGCCAGCCTATTCAAATGAGGTACATGGAACATGAAGAGAGACCAAAAGCTTTAAATGACTTGGGAAAAAAGATTCAACTTGTCATGAAAGTGATAGAAGCCTATAGAAACAAGGTATTGAATTCATAAGGACAATGTGTAATGATGGTGTGTGTGTGTGTGTACCTGGGAAAGGTGGGATCTGTCCAAAACTTCTCAGCCACAGAGCTGTAGTAGTTGTTGCTGTCCATTTCCAGGGACTTTGTATAACCATACTTAAAACTTTTTTTTTTTAATTGAAGACAGTTATTAATAGAGGATTCTGATACACTTAAAATCATTGGCTTTTGTAGATTTTCCTCAAGCCACTATATACATTAATCCAGTGACCAAATTATTGTGGTTTTTTGTAATTGTCAATGTATCTTTTATTTATGTATATGCGGTGCTGAGGAATTAACCCAGGGCCTCACACATGGCAGGCAAGCATTCTACCACTGAGCCACAACTCCTGCCCCAAACTTATTTTTTCCCACAATTCAACAGGCCAGAAATACAACATCAAGGTGTCAGCAGGGCTTCTGTCCCTCTGAAAACACTGGAAGACAATCTGTTCCTTGCCTCTTCCAGCTTCTGATGACTAGGTGTTCCTTAGCTTGTCGCTGCATCACTTCAATCATTTTGCATGGTCACATGGCCTCTTCCTCTTTTTTTTTTTAGTTGTAGATGGACACAGTTCCTTTATTTATTTATATGTGGTGCCAAGGATTGAACCCAGTGCCTCGTACATACAGGCAAGCACTCTACCACTGAGCCATAACCCTAACCCCGCAAATTGTTTTCTTTTTAAAAAACGATTTTCATTTTTATATTTTCATACAGTGAAAAAGAGATTCTTTTGGAAACATTTTTTCCCCCGTGGGACTATGAGAGACTGAACTCTCATAGTCTTTACCTTGTTCTTTGGCTGCCTTTTTTTTTTTTTTTTTCAGTTGCTTTTGGTCATGTTCACAGTTCATTAATCATCCTTGGTCCCCTATATATACCCTTTATTCTTTTTAGATACATACTAAATCTGTAATACTTTAACTTTCCACTGTTTGTAGGCCTGAGAGATATATTCAAATGGAGATATAATTTATGTAACTATAACAGAAAAATTTAACAAAATTAAACATACCATTTTCCTCTTCTAAACCAGTGGTTACCAGATTTTATCTTTGAGAAGAAAATTAATAAATATGAATCTTTGCAGTGTTTAATATATTGTCTTTACAGCTCTTCATCTCTTTGTTGTAGTGCAGCAATGGACAGTAGGTAAACAAATGGATGTGGTCGTGTTCCCCCAAAAAAGCTTTTTATTAAAAACATAGCTAGCCAGGCACAGTAGCACACACCTGTAACCCCAGCGGATGGGGAGGCTGCGGCAGTAGGATAGAGAATTCAAAGCCTGCCTCAGCAAGGCGCTAAGGAACTCTAAATAAAATACAAAATAGGGCTGCAGATGTGGTTCAATGGCCTAGTGTCTTTGACTTCAATTCCCAGTAACCCACCACCACCACCAAATTAGGCAGTCACTTGAACTTGACCCATGGGACAGGTTTACTGGTCTTACTTTCAAATAAATAATTCACTTTTATCCCCCAGTTTTTTATCATTGTTATAACTGCATTATTGTGTAGGAGAGACCAGCACCAGAAACTTTTCAGATATAGGAGCTTACATTTATCAAGCAGTGGTGAATTTTAAGCACTGTTCTTGGGGTACCTCATGTTATTTCCACAAGGATATATCCCTGACAGCATTAATACTGCTGTCTCAGTTTGCATATAAGCAAACTGAAATGCTGAAGCAATTTGTTGAATATTATATAAGTAGTAAATGATGGGGAACTGTGAATTAAACCTAGGTGGTCTGGTATCAGCCTACAGATTTTCAGCAGCTATACTATTTTACCTGTTACACAATGTAGAAAGTTATTCTGTTTTAGAAGAGATCAATGAGGTTTGTAAAACAGAAATTGCAATCCAGGTAGCCTAAAAGTAAAAGCCATACGCTACTTGTGAATAAGTCTGCAAATAACTTTCCGTATTTACTTAACATCACAAATAGCGTATAAAGAAGGAAAAGAAAGAAGGAACAGGCAGACAACAGAAAATGCCAGGATTTAAATTCTGTGGCTCAGTACTTTCTAGGCTTTGGCTGTCTTCTTGAGTGTGTGGAGAAAGTAAGGCACTGTCAGGGTGGTGATTTGTCAGAGAATGGTGGACTTCCAGTGGGACACAACATGGCAGAAGAGAACTGCAAGTGGTGAGGGCTCAAGATATAATAATAACTGGAAGAGAAACATTCTAGCAAAATGGACTAGTTGCAGCTGAAAAGTCCCAGAGGAGAACATGTTGGAGAAATAGCAGGAAGGCCAGTGTGGCTTAAAACAGTAGGTAGAGAGCTTGAAATAGTAGGTATGGATGCCAGATCATGAAAGTCCTAGCCAGCCCAGAGATGTGAAATTGTTGGAGGTAATCAAGCATATTAGTAACCTGACTTATCTTTTTAGAGGGTTCAGAAGTAGACAAAGTTAAGACTCTGTTCAAGTAATACAAGCAAGAAATGGTGGAAGCTTGTATACAGATAATACAGGGGCAAGAAGTGGTCAGATTTTCACCTTTATTTGGAAACTAGAGCTTATAAGAATTGTGGTAGATATAATGTAAACATATCAGAGAAGTAAAAAAATCCTCTGAGGATGAAAGGATGATGTTTCCACTTACGAAGTTGGGGAAGACTGAGAGAGTAGATGAAGATAAAATCGGGAGTTCAAAACAAGAGGTAGGTATTGAAGTTAGACTCCTATTTAAGAGTTCAAGAACGAGGTTCAGGCTAGAGAAATTTTTGAAACATTTAGGTAGAGAGATGAATGAAGATGAACTAGCAAAGGAAACTTAAGTGATCCATGATATATGAATAAATTCAAGAAAACATGGCAGCCTGGAAACTGAGTCAGATATAGTGGGTATGTGATTTGTAATCTACAAGCAGAACTTCTTGGAGTCTGAGAAAACCAGTGGCTTTAAAATGGCATCTCTGTCTTCCTATTTGGGTTTATTGAATTCTCTTTCCCTTGATTTTCTCAGTTCAGTCTGTAATTAATCATATCATCTTGCTGTGTGTTATCATGCCACTTCTGGTTTTGTAGCTATCAGTCTAATCCATGACTTCTTAGATTGTCTCTATTACGTAGCATTCTCCTGTTCAGGAACCTTAGCATCATGATACTGTATGTTCAGCATTTTCTGTCTAGCCTTCTATGTGCCTGTCACCTAATGTCTCCTATTCTCTAACAAACTCCATTCCATTACAGTGCTTTCTTTTTTGTTGAATATTCTCTACTAATCATTCTTTTCTAAATCTGACTTCTTCAGAAAACTTCTTCTAATCATTTTAGCTTTGTTATATTTGTATGTGGCTTCTTCACATGAATATTTATTAGATGTGCAATCAATAAGAATCTAAATTTTTAAAAAATAAAATTTATCTTTTAGTTGTAGTTGGGCACAATACCTTTATTTATTTTTATGTGGTGCTAAGGATCGAACCCAGGGCCTCACACGCACTAGGCGAGCGCTCTACCACTGAGCCACAACCCATGCCCCAAGAATCTAAATTTTTAAACAGAAATTATCAATTAACTGGTGCGTACCAGAAAATAAATTAACATTAAGTAAAACTTGTTTAATAGGATGAAAGATACAATCATTTGGATCCTGCTGAAATGGAAAAAGTTGAAAAATATATCAGCGATGCCATGATTTGGCTGAACACTAAGATGAATGCACAGAATAAATTAAGTCTCACTCAAGAACCTGTGGTTAAAGTTTCGGAAATTGTTGCGAAGTCTAAGGTAAGAAACAATTTTTTTTTTTTTTTTTTTAGTTGTTAGACTTTTATTTATTTATATGTGGTGCTGAGAAATGAACCCAGTGTATCACACATACTAAGCAAGTGTTCCACTGCTGAGCCATAGCCCCAGCCTCAAATTCCCTTTTAATGATGAGTTCAAGGATTGAAATGATTAATAAAATCATACTTCAAGAAATAATTTGTAGCCAGGCATTGTGATGCATCCCTGTAATCCAACAGCTCAGGAGGCTGAGGCTGGAAGTTCTAAAGTTATAAGCCAGCCTCAGCGACTTAGTGAGACACTGTCTCAAAAAAAAAAATAAAAGGAGGTCTGGGGGTTTGGCTCAGTGGTTGAGTGCTCATGGGTTCCATCCTTAGTACCCCAAGAAAAAGATGCAGAAGAACTCAAAAAATAAATTTAAGGCTAATCTCTTATTATATTAAATTTGTTTTAAGTGATTCTAGGTATAGAATATCTGTTCTTTTTATTAATTTGTCATGCAGGGCTGGTGTTTAATTCAAGAGTAAAACAGTGAAATAAAGCAGTGTGATGACTTTTGACAGCTGTAAATTCAAACTCAGAGATTCGGCGAGACCTCTGAGTCTTCATTGCAGTATAGGTATCTTGGAACCAGTTTGAAATTTGTGAATTCTGTGGTAAAGTCTTGTTTTCAAAAGCTTGATCTGAGATAAGCTAGGCAGATTAAATGTCAAAAGTTATCATGGAGGAGCTGGGGATGTGGCTCAAGCAGTAGCACGCTCGCCTGGCATGCACGGGGCGCTGGGTTAGATCCTCAGCACCATATAAAACTAAAATAAAGATGTGTACACCAAAAACTAAAAAAAAATTAATAAATATTTTTTTAAAAGTTATCATGGAAAACTTTATTAAAAAAATCAGCATCCAAATAGAAAAATTAGTAAAAGGTTTGTTGCATTAGCAGTTGAGAAAAGAATAAACAAAAACATATGAAATAGAGTTCATCCTGACAATTAACCTAAAAATTCCAAATCTTTTTTGGCATATATATATATACTTATTTATTTATTGTGTGTGTGTGTGTGTGTGTGTGTGTGTGTGTGTGGTGGTGGTGGTGGTGGTGCCTGGGATTGAACCCAGGGGCCTTGTGTGTGGGTGGCAAGCACTCTACCAGCTGAGCTATATCCCCAGCCCCTTGTTGTATTTTTTTTTTTACAATCTTTGCAAGAGTTGGCAAGGATGTAGAGAGATGGATGATTTCCCCTGAGCAGTTAGGTTAAATTTGTTAGAACTTTCCTGGGACACTGTCAGAAAATTTATATAGGAATTTAACCTGTATATAATTTAACATGTCTAGAAATGACAGTTCTAGGAACTGCTACATAAATAAATGGATGCATCTATATAACACTATGTAGCCATTGAACATAATGGTTTAGATACAGAGATGTATCTATTTAGATATAATGTTCAAGATATTGTCAAATAAAGAAGACTTTTTTAGAGTACTATGAGTAGTTTGTTACTAAAACATTCTAAGATTTTACTTTCTTGGTATCTCTGCACCAATCTCTTTGACCATAGTCTTTCAGATTTTCCAATTTGATTAGTCTTATGTAATAATTTTCTAAAATATGATGCATAAAAAGCAGATAGAAGACACCTTGTATTCATTTAAATAATTAATGTTCAGTTTACTTTTATGGCTTTTTTCTTCACCTATTTCCAAAAAATAGTGTTGTTAGTATGTGTATTTATGTCCATTATTTAAAAGTTATTCCTACCAAAGTAAATGGTATTTAAATTATGAAATAAGTTTTAGAAAGGTTAGATACAAAAATATTTTGTGAGGTCTGGTGGCACATGCCTGTAATTCCAGGGATGTAGGAGGCTGACAAAGGAGGTCTGAAAGTTCAAAGCCAGCTTCAGCAACTTAGTGAGGCACCCTGAGCAACTTGGTGAAATCTTGTTTCAAAATAAAAAGGGATGGGGATGTAGCTCAGTGGTTAAGTGCCCTTGAGTTCAATCCCTAGTACCAAATTTATATAAAAACCATTTTAGAATTTGATTGCCGCAAACATTCACTAGTCAGAAAGTAAATCATTCATGAAACTGTTGAAATAATGGTATTGTGGCTGAGCTTATAAATTTAGGAATTTGAAATTTTGTGAAATTTTAGAAAAATTATAGAATTTTGAAAGTTAATAGTAACTTAGTATTTTAAATATTTTTTCTCGTCTTTAGGAGCTAGATAATTTCTGTAACCCCATCATTTACAAACCCAAACCAAAAGTAGAAGTGGCTGAAGACAAAACAAAAGCTAATAGTGAACATAACGGACCAATGGATGGACAGAGTGGAACGGAAACTAAACCAGATGCAACAAAAGACAGCACACAGCATACTAAATCATCTGGGGAGATGGAAGTGGACTAAGTCTTAATTTTACCTTCATATAATTCAAATAGCAAATAGTGCAAGTAACCACAGGGTCCATTCATCTTTTACATCTGGCACACAAAACAGATGTTCCATTGTTCTTAACTACTTTGTCATTTGTTTCTTGAAGTAGTTTTGCAAAGTGAGTGCACCTGTCATTTCATTACTGCTTATGTGAAGCTTCAGCTGAATATAGATGTACAAGTCAGTTTTAGCTTTCCTGATGTAGTTTATATCAAACATGCAGAATTGGTATGTAATTGGCAATAGTCTACCTAAACCTCACTTCCTTTATTCAGGAAAGGATACCGTATTGCACTATTGTTGCAGAAGCATAGATTTAACTGCATTGTAATTTTGAAAAGCAAAAGTTGATGTGGTTTAAAGCCACTGAGGGTACGGGCCTTTTTCTAGTTATTGTATTGTTATAATTTAAATATTAAAACAAATAAGAGGTTTCTGAACAAATTAGTCCATCTCATTGGTATACCACAAGAACTCAATTTTGTTGTCATCACATAAATGAACTAAGTCACATGTGGAAAGAGAAAATGCACAATTTTATGTTAAACTGACACCAGCAGTTTGCCTCTTTAGTTAGTAATGTGCATTGATGTTTTCTTAGAATCTCTTCTTTCACTTGAAACTGTTGATTTACTTGTCCTGAAGACGAGCTGCTGCTGAAATAATGCTAGCTTAAAAGAGAAGCCTTTTTGATGAAATTACATTATGGGGAAAATGCTGTTGACCTACTCAGACATGCATCTGTGATCTTGGTACCTCATTTCAGTTTTAATAGTTGTGTTGGTTTTCTTAATTGATTTTGTTCATATCTTAACACAGGGTAGGGAGAAATGGCACAATGCATTGCACAATATTATCATTGATTTACTGAATGTTACAATATAAACACTATTAAATAAGCAGTAATACTGAAAAGGAGCACTTATACCATAAGACTTAGGAAATAATGCTTGTAATAAACTTAACTGTGTTACATATCAATAGGCAAAATATATAATGTTACATAGTGTGATATGATGTGATTAAATTATAGTTCCTGCTGTTAAATTAACTTTTGAAACCTTGGCTCCAGTTTTGGTGCTTCTTAATTAAATGGGAGAAGGGACAGTAAATTTAGTATCATCACCAGATTTGTTCACATCATTCAATTCTGTCCAGGGTCTTCAAACTGTCTATGGAAAAAGACTGAAGTCATATGTCAACCTACAAGGGAAAGCACAGATAAATGCATGGGCCTTTGTGTTCTTAATGCCAGTCAACTAGATTAACATACATTGATATTTTGAAAGACTAATTTTATCCCAAATCTAAGTTAAATATATCCCAAAATTAATGTTTGTAGTAGTAACAGAAATAGTATTAAGTTAGTAAAAATTGAGACTATAATATCTTTAGGGATAGTCATTATTTCTCAGAACTAGTTCTCTAAGATAGAGATTTTGTTTCTACAATGTAGTTTCCACGGAAAGAGTACATACAGAGTAGTACATCTTGCAGATTTTTCAATTCTGCCTTTTTGCAGGAAAAGTCCTCTTTTTTGCATTAAGCCATACTGTCTCAATATAGTTTTTAATATCTGCATTTTTCTTTTTAATACTTTTAAAATGAAATGATAACTTAAAGTGACGAAATATATTTTTAAAGCACGTATCAGTTGCTTTTCATTTGTATGGAAATATATACATTCATTTCAGAAAAAGCATGACTATAAAAGGGGATATATAACAGTACAAAAGATAAATAATTATTAGTGTGTTTAGAGTATGGTTTTGAATAGTGTACAGTTCACTCTAATTTAGTCTGAATTGCAATATGCAATAATCATAAAAAATTTTTTTTCAAACTAAAAATCTCTTTTAGAAGTTATTTTGATGCATAGCAAAACAATGTTATCTCATGTAGTAAGCAAATAAGTATGCAGGGAAATAAAGATATAGATTACCTTATAGTACAAATTTTGTCTTTGAGAAACCAGCTCTTAATATAGGCAAGTTGTACCATGATTATAAAATTGAAGGTGGTTGTAGAAATAACAAACTTTGTGATATTTTTACTTCATTAGTGATAGACTTTTTAATTTATTAAAAAACACCCCCAAAATGCAGATGACAGAATTGAGCTATTGGAATAACAGATCCTAGTTTTTAAATTGTAGTAAGTGATCTACAAAAAGCAAGAGGAGTGTTGTATATACCAAATGAACATTTTAAAAATAAAAAAAACAAGAGAAGCCGGGGCATGGTGGCACATGGCCTGTAATCCCAGCAGCTTGGGAGGTTGAGGCAGGAGGATTGTGACTTCAAAGCCACCCTCAGCAACTTAGACCCTGTCTCTAAACACAATATAAAAATGGGATGGAGATGTGGCTCTATTTAAGTATCCCTGGTTTCAATCCCCAGGACCAAAACCAAAAAACAAACTGAAGATTCTTAGATTTTGGGGTGAGGGTAGAGGACATTTTTAGTATTATGGTTATTTCCTTGATGCCTTTAAAGTGTAGGAAAAAAAATAAAGTGAATTAGGGAGCTCAGTAATCATCGTGACAGGGTCAAGAATTTTATCAAAATGAACACGTTTTAATTTTTGCAAAATCCATATGAAAGGCATTGAATTTAGCTAATTTTGACCCAAAGTAGATAGAACCATCCCTCCATTTTTATAAATTTGAAATGTAATGATAAAATGTTTTAAATAGAATTTGGTAGTCCACAATTAAAGCCTTTCCACTGATTTTACCTATTATAAGGCTGAGGTATAACTCAGTGGTAGAGCACTTCCCTTGCACAAAGCCCTTGACATCTCCAGCACAGCAAAGAAAAAACTTACACAGGGCAGATCTCATTGTGATGTACTTTTCTATTATTGATTTGATTCTGTTTTGCAGTTACTAGCCTATAATTTTGAAATTTTCCTTTGCTTTGGCAGTGCTGGAGATAACCCAGGGCCTTCCATGTGCTAGACACAAGTGTTCACTACTGAGCTGCATACCCAGCCCCTTCATAGAAGATTTAGAAGTGATTGTAATTTTTGCTGGGGATTTGGAATCCATGGGTGCTATACCACTGAGCTACATCCCTTACTCACAAACTTTGTTGAGTCTGACTAAAAGTTGCCGAAACTTGTGATCCTCCTGCCTTTGCCTCCTGAGTCACTGGGATTATAGGTGTGAAGCCAGGGCACCCCATTTAGAAGTCATTCTCAAATGATCAGAAAAAATAGTTTTCTTGGTTTTTAGAGTTTTAGATTAAAAAGTTCATTTTTATAATAAATGTTATTTTGTGGTTAAGCAAGGCCCCTGGGTTTCAACCGCAGCAATGAAGGAAAGGAAAAGAAAGGGAAATCTTTCCTTTTTTTTTTTTTTTAAAGGAAATTTTTGAAGTAGAATTTAGCTTTGTAAAAATGAATGACATAGGTAATTGTTGTGCTATATCAATAATTATTTGAAATCTTGTGGCATTAATTAAAAGTAAGCCACTGAGTTTTCAAGTAAAAAGAGGTTTATAAAGTTTAGTTCTATTAATAATATTAATAAAGATCAGTTTATTTAAGCAAACTAATCTTATTAAATCAGTACATTGCAGAAGATGGACTTTTTGACTAAAAAATACCAAATTAAACATTTCTTTTTTTTCTTTTAGTTGTTAGACCTTTATTTTACTTATTTGTATGTGGTGCTGAGAATCGAACCCAGTACTTCACCCATATGAGGCAAGCACTCTTCCACTGAGCCATAACTCCAGCCCCTCTTTGGTTTTTATCAAAGTATGATTTTATCCAAGATTTTGAAATAATTCCCAGGAAGCGTATTGATTTTCTTTTCACTAAAAAGTAAGGTTAATTCAACTCGAAGACCATCACTCTAAATAAAATGAGAAATTTCACCTATTTAACGATTATTTGTTTTAAAATGCCCTAAAATCAATATTCTTTTATATACCGAGTACTAACAAAATAGTTTTGAATTCATAATACTGCTAATGTCTGTCTGTCTATACATTTTAGATGTATATAAATTAGGGAAATGAAATGTATAGACATTCATTAAATAGAAGAGTACTTGAAATTTTAAGAATGTTAAAAAATTGCTAAAGAAGAAAACCTAAATGTCTATGGAAGTGGTCAATACTGACAGGTGGTTAATAGCTTTTTCATCTTCTGGATCCCTATGAATACTTCCAGCATAATGTTAGAATGAATATTAAAAGAAAAAACAGGATTTGTCAAAACACACTATTAAAAAACTTGGAGCTATCAAAGTAAAACTAATTAATCATGAAGATTTGATTGAGTCTGTAAGGCAGTCAGAGTCCATATCAAAAAAATTAAAATATGATCTTTACTCTGGATTCTGTAACTTATGTCCTGTCCTAAGTCACAGGATGACTATTTAGAAAATCTTTTGATACCTATAAGATCAAATGAAATTCAGCATGTTAGATTAGTCACCTGATATGTAAACTAAGATGTAAATTCTTAATTTTTATTGTTTCCTTGTTTTATTCCCTTGTCCAGTTCTAGACTCATTTACATATAACAGTTCTGCTTTTCTTAGGTATACTTTTGTCCTTCTGGATTATCCTTTACATCTTTCATGGCATTTAAAAATTTAGGATTTTATCGAAATTAGCATGTTTCACTGAATAATTTTGATAGTTAATTTTAATACTTTTGTTTCCCTGAATAGTCATTTTAAGAATTTTTGGACTCTTAATTTGATAATCCATGTTATAAACTTCTATATATAATGTCTCAAATTTAGCAGTGGTATCTTTCATATTATATAGATTTTTTTTCATCTCAAATTTAGTTGCATTTTTCATTTTCATAGTCATATAGATGTTTCATATTCTTGCCTTAGCATGTTTTTAAATAGTTCTGGACCAAAATAAGTCAGTATTGTGAGTGTATTTTAAATAACCAACATCTCTCTCCTTTAAAATCCTTGATGTGACAAATGACAAAACAAGTCTGAAATTGAGTAGACACCTTCCATTCTTTGCTGCTTTTATTAAATGCATTTTTTTTTTTAAGTATTTTGCTTTGTACGATTTAAAATGCTCTTAAAATAATATGAACCCATTTAGGATGCAGATGTTAAATGTCATTAGAAACGAAAATAAGAGGGCTTGGGGGCATGACTCAGTTACAGAGTACTTACCTTAAAGGTCCTGGGTTCTAACCTCAGGAAAACAAACAGAAGCTTAACAAAAAGGAAAAGTGTTGTTATATTCCTTGAAGTCAGTTTTTATGGATTGGTGTCTTGGAAGGACAGTCATATTACAAGTGGCTAACTTTTACTTTTGGTAGAAAGAAGCCACTATTGTTTAATATCACAATATAGATAAACAATTTTCATGAAGTTAATGGTTTAGTAATCAAAACGTGGCATCCAACTCATTTTTTCTTTTCTCCACCCATTATTAAAATGATTTATATACAGAATGATTCTGACTCCAGTCATTACTGTAAGATACTTTAAACAGTTTAGTTTCTATTAGCTAATAATGCCTTTTTTAATGAGAACTCCATCACATTTGATTTAATTTCTGTCTTCTATACAAGCAGAAAATTGTAATCAACTAACACCTCTATAAAAAGTAGTGGAGTTTTACATGTGATAGACCCTTTAACAGATATTCAGACCACAGCATTCATTGCCATCTCCACCATTATGGTCAAAATTTTTCATTTCTGGTTTTTGCTTAAAAGCCTGATTCTCATCATTGGACACAATATAATTGTTCTCATGCTGGGTTCATTTCATGTCTTACAAATATGCAAATCTAAATAGTTTGTCCAACAGATGTTCATTCAGTAAATGTAGTGCTAACAAAGTAAGCAAAGATTGGTATGCAGCAATTCTTTGTATGAACTTCACATTTTGTCAAATAGAATATTAAAATTGACATGTCTTAAAGGATCAAGATTTACAGTTTGGTGCCATAGCTGTGAATCATACTGAGACCCCAGAAAATTTCCATTGTTAACATTGTTTTTGTACCATCAGTGCAAGTGTCGAAAATTGGCATGATTGGTTTTTGTGGATACCTGAAAGCATCTTAGTGACCCTTAATGTGTCCACAGGCCATCAATGAAAACCACTGCTGTATAGTAGTAAAAGAGCATGTAATTTATAAGGAAAATGAAATCAAAATGTCAAGAAAAGGTATCTTAACCCGTGGAAAATAAAAAGCATTTCATAAGGTATTCTGAAACTAAATTATAAATGAATGCACTGAGTATTTTCAACATTGATTGAATAGAGGTTTCTAGCACCCCCACTCCTCACCCCCCATTCACAAGGCTGCTAAGTGATGTGTGCATTGGGCACTGTAAGGTAGGTAAGTATGGGGGAACACAGGAAACCAGCCCAGAGATGGACTGGAACCTTATAAAAGATTCTGAGACAGGAGAATGAATTGCCCTGGCATCTTACACCCTGACTTCACAGCTGGGGGAGGGGGAATTTCCCCAAGGAAGGGACAGGTAGAGTCCCACCAAACTTGGAGACACTGGCAAATACTAGCTATTGTAACACAACTGGCTCATGCCTGCTTATGTGAGGGACATGCAATCTGTAAAGTAGCTTTGCTTTGAAACAGGAGTTCACCTCACCTTCCAGTGTATCCACACTAGCCAGGAACCACTGAAGGAATTACAAGAGAAAGAATTTCACAGTGTGCAAAAAAGCAAAGTCATAAGGGCAGCTCCCTTACATTAAAAGAGCATTTAACTACAGAAACCCTATATGTCAGGAGGGAGTGAAATAATCCAAGTTTTGATAAGGTGCAAAACAACTCAGACCCTGCCTCTAAAATACAAAATGGGGCTGGGGATGTTTCTTAGTGGTCCAGTGCCCCCCTCCCCCCCAAAAAAAATAAAAGTAGTGGTCATCCACAATTTCCAAACCAGCAAAAACTATCCTTAAGAAACATAAATGAAGATTTTTCCAAGAAAACCGGACCAAACTTAAAAAGAAAAGGGAATCCTAGGTCCAGAATTGAAAGATAAATACCATTATGATAGCTTATGAAAGTATAAAGCCCATTAGAAGAGCCAATATACAGAACATTCAAAATAACCAGAAGAAAATCATCAAAATGAAATAAACCTTAACTTTCAATAATCTTGAATGTAAATAATTTCTCCAATTAAAGAACAGATTTTTAAATAGATCAAACAATATGCTTCCTACATGAGGACTGAAAAGGGGAAATGATACTAGCAAATGGACACCTAACCTGAACACACTTTTCATCTCAGAGACAAGGTTAAGATAATTATAAATTTGTTTCCTTCAGAGGTTAATATCAATTCATTTCACAGCACCCAGTTTATTATAAACTTTTTCTAAAACAGACTTAAAGGATGAGATGGGCTCAAATACAATGGTATTTCACTCATCAATAGTCCTGACAAAAAACATCATCAAAGTTAAACACTGCTATACAGCAAATGGACCTACAAGGTACTTGTAGTACATTAAATAGCTCACGGAACTTCCCCTAGGATAGAATATATAATAAGTCATAAAAAGTTTTAAACCTAGTGCCTTACACTTGCTAAAAAAGGTGCTTTAGTATTTGAAAATAAGAAATATTTATCTGATTTGCTTATAATGGAGTAAAACTAGAAATCTTCAACAAAAGAAACTTGGACATTATACAAGTATATGGAGACTACACATACACTTTGGAACCATTTAAAAATGCCTTAAAATTGACCAGGCATGGTGCCACACACCTGTAATTTCAGCAGCTCCAGAGGCTGAAACAAGAGGATCCCAGTTCAAAGCCAGCAAAAGCAAAGCAATAAGCAGCTCAGGAAGACCCTGTCTCTAAATAAAATACAAAATAGGGTGGGGATGTGGCTCAGTGGGCTAGTGAGTTCAATCCCTAGTTGCCGCAGTCTGGCTGGGCACAATCAGGAGCCACTTGTCAAAAGAAACTAACTTTATTTTTAGAACCAAACACGCCAAAAAAACAGCATCTCAGGAAAAACCCCTCAGAGCCTCAACTGCCACCACCGGCTAATGCCGCAGTCTGGCTGGGCACAATCAGGAGCCACTTGTCAAAAGATACTAACTTTATTTTTAGAACCACACACCAAAAAAACAGCCTCTCAGGAAAAACCCCTCAGAGCCTCAACTGCCACCACCGGCTTTTCACAAGCCTGTCTCTCCCCCCCACAAGCTTCTCTCCACCTCCCACAATCCTCCTGCTCTTGAGGCCGATTGGCTGGGTCACGTGGGCAGAGCCAAAAAGTCCCCCAATGAGCAGCTCCGTGGTCTGAAAGGGCAGGGAAACAGTCCAATGAGCATCACCGCAGAGGAGCCAATCAGCTAGATGTTGCTGGGGCCAAGGAGCCAATCAGCTAGATGTTGCTGGGGCCGCTGTGAGCCAATCATCAGCCGGCAGCTGGATTGCTGGCAGCTGGAAGTTTGCTGGGGCCCCTTCGGCTGTGGCTCTCAACACCTAGTGCTAGAAGAAAATTCCTTAAAACCAAAGAAAATGCAAATAAACACACCAAAACCTGTAGGATACTGGAAAATAGGAGATATATAGCAATGAGTACCTATATCAAAATAGATTTCAAATAAACAACCTAAGCATGCGTCCCAAATACTTAGAACCAAACCCCAAAGGAAAGACCAAATCAGGAAGTAATAGGCTAAAAAAAATGAATGAATCTTAGAAAAGATGAACAAAACTGACACACCTATTAAGCTGCAGTTAAAATAGTATAACACTGGGACAGGCATGAAACAGAACTGAATATAAATTGTGATATTACAATCAGACATGAATAACAATCTAATCATGAGGAAACATCAGGTAAACCCCAATTAGGGAATGCTATATAATTAGCCTTCACACCACACACACATGGAAACTGACAATAGATATTTTAGCTGTAATCATTTCACAATGTGTATAAAGTCACACAACAAAACGAGTAATATAAATTTTATTTGTAAATTATAACAATTCTGGAGTGACAAGAGAAACATCTCAATGTTATAAGAAATCCATCCATATTAAAGAGACTAAAGGCATGGCAACTTTTATGCAATGTGTACTAAACTGTAATAGAGGAAAAACTGCTTAAAACAGACATTATTGGAATAATTGACATCAGAACATAATAATCAGTGTCAAACATCTTTATTTTAAAAAATGATCCTTGTTCTTTAGTAATTCATACAGAAATTTGGGGTAACCTATTTTAGAATATTTCATAAATATAAATAGTAGGCTTGTAGTAAACAGAATGTTAAATGGGTCAAAATGTTAAGAATTGATGAATCTGGGCTGGGGCTGGGGCTCTAATACTAAAGCACCTTTTTTAGCAAGTGTAAGGCACTAGGTTCTATCCTAAAACTAAAGGTATTTTTTTCATCTTCAACTATTTTTTAAAAATTGATGTATCTAGCCAGGCACAATGTAGCATGCCTGTAATCCCAGCAGCTCAGAAAGCTGAGGGAGGAGGATCATGCCAGCCTCATCAACAGGGAGGTATTAAGCAACTCAGTGAGACCCTGTATCTAAATTTAAAAAAAAGGGTGGGGGGGAATCCGAATAAGAGACAATTCAGGAATTCTATATAACTATATAAGATTAAAATTATTTCTAAATATAAAGTTAAAAAAATGCTTTGCAGGAACTTCTGCCAAGTCAATAGCAAAAGCAAGTCTGGGTTCTTGGGAACTCAAAGAGAATTGCTCCAGAATTATAATGCATGGCGGCTGGGGTTACAGCTCAGCCTTGAACACGTAGGCCGAAGGGTTCAATCCTCAGCACCACATAAAAATAAATAAATAAATGTATTATGTCTACCTTTAAAAACCTTAAAAAAAAAAAAAAAAGAATTATAACAAGGACTGCCAGAAATGAAGGGGGAAAGCTGATTTTTCTCTGAACAGAGATTTTTCTTATAGCTTCTCTGTAGACAAACTTGAGTTATTCATTAATGTAGAAGTCAGCTCTCTGCCAGACCCACGCAGCATCAACAAACGACCTCAAGTAGGGGTGATGGGAGATGGAGAAAAACAGAGACATTCTGAAGTAAAGCTGGGACTAGGTGGGACACTGGGACACTCTGATGGGGGAACAGTGACCCAGAACTAGCTTTGCAAGTTTATTATAAAGGGTCTCATAATTAGGAAGTTTAACTAGAGGGGCAATGTAAATTGTTCAAGTATTGTGAGTTACCAAGAGTCTTCTCTGCACACTAAAAAGTTACAGAAGTAGAACTATTTCTGCAGTTACCCTACTGTTGCAATGCTAGGAACATCCTGCTGCATCCTTGCCTTTTTGGCAAGGAATGTTTCCCATACTTGACTTTTGCCAACACCACAGGATCAGCTGACATCAACCAGGGGCTCATCTGCTCTCCACATCTCCACCTTTCTTATTTTTTAACTGCAATTGATGCATGTCTACTTGGAGGTATTGGAACTGGGATTTGACGAGACTGCATTTGACTGTGAGAAAATAATACAAAATTAAAAATAAGGAAACAAGCCCTATAGGATACCATGTAGTATGTTTTAGCATATTCCAAGGATTAAAACCATTTAAGTCATTTAACAGTTGTTTTTGTTTTTTTTTCCAAAATTGGCAGGAGATAACATAGGAATCTTGCTTTTTTGCCTGACTTGGATCTAATGGTGTAGGTGTAAAAGATATAAACTAACACTTATGATTTCAAATTGCTAATAGATGTATCTTTATTTTTTCTAACCCCACTGGGAATTAACATGTAAAACAGGTATTACATAAATAAACTGATAAGCAACATGGCACTGTAATTGTCCTCTGACCTTAAAACTATGTGATTACCTAAGTTTATTACACTAGGTTTTAAAGCATTTAACTTAGCTTTAAGTTTATTATCAATATTCTCCTGATCTTACAGGGTTCTTAATGTATTTTGTGTCAAGCATTGACAAAATGAGTTGGATATCCTGTACCAGAATGTCAGAGGCAGTGATTGTAGAAACAATCGCAATATAATTAAAGTCACAATACCAAAGACTATAAGTCCCATAGCACAGAAGATTGAATCAGCTGATTATGAAGTTCTTGATAATTATAGCCCTGTTATCTTTTTTGGGGGGCGGTGGTGGTGGTGGTAAACCAGGAATTGAACTCAGGGGCACTTGACCACTGAGCCAATCCCCAGCCCAATTTTGCATTTTATTTAGAGACAGGGTCTCTCTGAGTTGCTAAGTGCTTCATTTTTGCTAAGGCTGGCTTTGAACTTGTGATCTTCCTGCCTCAGCCTCCCAAACCACCGGGCTTAAAGGTGTGCACCACCATGCCAACCTAGCCCTATTATCTTAATATCAGTCATCCGTGATGCTGGTGGAAAGCATAAGAAAGGAAGGCTGGTATAAAACCAAAATACGTTGATTTTTGTTATATTAGTCACACAATTAGTAAGATTACAGTTAGTACTCGTTACAAAATAGTGATCACTGCCCATTTTTGTGATATTAGTATTTCCTGTTAATAATGCATAAAGAGACTGAACACACAACCACAAACCATAAAATGAGTTGGTGGTACAATCACTGGTTAGATGTGAAAGCAACTGACTAGTAAAATTAACAAAATCTAAAATAGCAGCTAGATGCCATAAATTCTTCTGAATGCCTCCTGATCTTGAGGTCAGATTTTACTAACAAACCCTCCAGGGGTCATGAGTTCATTATGAGAATGTTCCAAATCAAACTTATGAGGACATATGACTTGGACTGCAAATATGTCTTACAGGAACTAAATTAGCACAATCTCGCCACTGAGGAAAAGTTCCCAGTTCTGAAGTGCTGGAATTTGGGCAATAAGGGAACAGAGGGTGTTGTCAGAGTTCTTATTTAGGAAAATCTATTTTGATAATAGTTTCTATATATTTTTTCAAATCCTAAAGAAGGACTGGAAACCGGCAACACAAGTACCACCATAGGATTCCTGGGACATAGGGGCCTCAGCAGTATACCCAGAATAAGAAAATTAAAGAAATAAGAGGGAAAATATGAAAATCAGATTGACAACCCCCCATGGCAGACTAATTTGTAAACACTGGAACAGATCCTCCAGCCCAGGTAGTGGGATTAATTAATGGAGGATCTGGAAAATATGTCCAATAAGTTTCTCGTTACAATACATACCTGACAACTTAGAACAGCCAGCATTGCCATAAACATGGTAGCTGGTGTCTCAGGGACCCCCTGCTTCTCAATCACTCCCTGAGCTTTGCTTGCCAAGTTCTGGATCTGACTCCACGTCGGGGGATTTACGCGTAGTGTGCTTTTTGTTGCTCCTTCCTTTTTCTTGCCTCCTTTGCTTGGCTGCATGTTTAAAGGTAGCTGTTGTGTCGGTACCGTTATTGATGGTGTGATCTTCAGTCTTTTGGATTCGGGTTCGTGTTCAGTTTTTGGATCCATGTTGATGACTCCTCTCTCAGATACCCAATCGGCTTCTCAGCACCTTCTGGAAAGATACAGTCATAACCTCTTCCCGTCATTACTGGATCCTGCCCATTCTATTTTCCTGATGGTAAATCTTTCTACCATACCATTCCTGCTGAACAAGCTGAACCAGAGACTTGGTGTCTCTCAGCTGCAGTGCAGCCCTTCTCATTACAATTTAAGAAATTCAAAATAAAAAGAGCATGATGCAATTGATTCTGTGGAGATGGATAATACCTATCCCCCCCTTTTTGTTTCTGAAGTTGAATTTCTAACATTCTATTGGCACATTCTACTATTCCTGGTCCTTGAGTATTCTATGGGATTCGTATCTTATGAATAATATAAGAAACACAAAAGCACTGAAAAGAACTGGTTTGCCCATGACTGCAAAATCAGCCAATAACTAATGACCTTTACCACTTTCTCCCATTTGTGCTGTAGCAAAAATAATAGAATAGGTGTCAACAGACACATGTACCTACTGTTGTCTTCCACACTCTTGTACATGCAGAACTTCCATCTGTCAAATGTGATTTGGCTTAAGGCCCCGAGCATTTATCCCAGTTAATAAGACTGGGGGGTGAATAATACATTGAGGGTATTGTTTAGCTGTGGTCCAAGCCTGCTCCCTAGAGAGGTGAAATTCTTTGTGCAAACTGGAAGCATTTTGGTGATGTAGGGCATGTGATGCCTGAGAGAGGAATAAGGTGATACACATTCTACTGATGCAACAAGATGATCTATAACATTGTTTCCTTCTACAAAAGGTCCTGCGAGACCTGAATGAGCTCAACTATGTCCAATAAAAAAAAGCTAACATTGTTGCATAGAGTTTTGTAAAGATTTAAAAAGCTAAAATAATACCTCAGAGTTAATATGACCAATAGTGGCTGTTTCAATTACCTGAGTTGCCCCCACTGCATAAGGACTGTCACTGTAAATATTTATAGATTCTGATGAAAAGGGTTGTAAGGCAAAAATTTTAATCTGGCCTCCCTGAGCTGGACCCATCAGTAAAAACCATTAGAGCCTGAGAAATTGGTTTAGTGCAAACAATTTTAGGGAAAACAAAAGTTATAGAAATTTTATCAAAGTGTAATAGCTATCAATTTGGCCAGAAAAATTAGCAGTAATCCGTCAACTTGCAGAATTTTGTCAAAGCCAATCTTGTTGTGCAGTAGTAAAACGAACTACAATAAGGGAATGCACTAGCCCTAAGAGTTGCTGTACTCATTGAGTTTTTGAAATTAACTGAGCAACTAATCATGAAAATGGCATTAAGGATTTAGGAGAACGTAGCAGGTGAAGCCATTTTATAATTTTTGTTTCCTGCCTAAGAATTCCTGTAGGGATATGAGTAGCAGGAAAAGTCAGTACTTGAATAGATCTATTTAGATTGACCATAGTAAGCTGGGCTGCTTGAAGAGCAGTGTTCCTGAGTCAGTGCAGTTTTAGCTTCTGAAGTCAGTTGTTGAGGAGACAGAGGTGGATCTCCTTTGAGGATAGTGAACTAACTAACTTTGATGTAGTTAACTTTAAAGAGGGACGTAATCAATCAATGTCACTCAGAAGTTTTTGGAAGTCATTAAGAGTACATAAAGTGTCTATTCTAATTTGAAGTTACCAAGAGGCTTCTTTGCAGGCTGGGGAGTTGGTAGAGTGCCTGCCTCACATGCACAAGGCCTTGGGTTCAATCCCCAACACCACAAAAAAAAAAAGGTTTCTTTGTGCACTAAAAAGTTTCAAAACTAGAAACATTTTTGTAGCTATCCTACTGTTTAATTTTAATTTCAAAAACAGTATCAAGTGTGAGGAATACCCTGCTGCACCCAGGAAACCCACTGTCCTGGAATGTCACTGTTAGCATCAGAGCTGAGGGTCAAGATTATTAATATCTTTGCCTTTTTGGCGAAGAATGTTTCATGGGATTGGCTTTTGATGATCCCGCAGGATCAGTGGAGACCCGGGGCTCATCCACTCTCCACAGCTTTCAATTTAGAAATAGACAGAAATTTGTGCATTTATTTTAGAACCTTCCTGAAAAAAACCATAATTGTCTTATCTGCAAACAGTGCATCAACCCTACCCTGGAGAGGTTTCTTTTAAATATTCCACAATAAACTACTATGATAGAATTCTTCAAGCAAGCACCAGTTGCCAACTATTTCCTCTCAAATAGAGACAAAATGGAAGGCAAGCTGAGAGGTAAGGCACTGGCAGCTTTTGAGACAAGGGTTACTTCAGACCCTAAGAAAAAAATCCACTACTTCTGATCATCTGCATCTGACTTAACCCTGACATGACAATTAGGCAAAAGAACAGAACCTGCTGGGCCTGGTGGCACACACCTGTAATCCCTGCAGCTGGGAAGACTGAGGCAGGAAGATTTCAAGTTCAACACCAGCCCCAATAACTCAATAAGGTCCTAGGCAACTTAGTGAGACCCTGTCTCAAAATAAAAAAGGGCTGGACATGGGGCTCTGTTAGAGTCTGTAAACAAGTCAAAATAACACCTGGCATTTAGTCAGGGGAATGTTAGAGTTCGTAAACAAGTCTGGATGGTGCCTGGCAAAATGCCAGAGGGAGTGGTTTGAGAAGTAACAAAAGCGAGTCATTAAGTGTAGAGATTCCTGATTGGTTGACTGATGTATCTAGTTTATGCTAATTAGATAAGCTCTGTGGAATGTATAAATACTGCTCCTGTCCTGCAATAAAAGGCTCCCACTCCTGCGGTATCAATCTACGCAAGTTATTCGTCACCCCCCCTGGTTATTTTGCTGCAGCCGGACTGCGGCAGATGGTGGCCCGTATGGGGAGCCCCGGGACACTCGGGGGTAAGTGACGAAAAAAAAAGCTGCCCGTCCATAGATAGGACGGGAGCAATCTGCTCGTCCCTAGGCAGATAGGGCGAGAGGAAAAATGGCCATTTTAAGAAGATGGAGAAGATTGATACAGTATGTTTGTGTCTTGTTTTGTCTCAGTGTATTGTATTGTCTTTGTGATGAAAATATGGAAGGGGTGAGAAGTAAATTACTAAGGAAAGGAGGCACCCCAGTGGAACCAAGAATAGTTAGGGCATGTGTTGATAAGAGCCCAGGAACTCTAGTCAGAAAGAAAAAGAAAGTTCAGAAGAAGAAGGATTATCAGGAAAAAAGTTGCAGCAAAAGGCTATTACTAAATACTTTTCGTTACCGGAGGGTGCGTGAAGCAGAGAGGCGGCTGCCGAGTGTGCAAGCCAGTCACAGTGCAGCAAGGATTTTCCAAGAGGCAGCGGCGACTGTCCCTTCCCCGCCTCCTGGCCGGGGAGCTGGCTCTTCCACTGCCACGAGCCCAAATCTAGACCTGACCTGGAGGCACAGTCTCCCAGGCTCTTGCTCCCTGTGCCCAGTAGCAGTTTGAGTCCGGGACACTCCCCAGGGCCATCTGGGGCTGCCCAGGACGCTACAGCCGACAAAAGATGCTACTGGCGTCCCTGATGTTTGGTCATTTTCAATGCCAATAACTAAGCTACAATGGTTCTCCCACACCTGAAAGCTGATGAGTAATGAGCACTATTAATACTTATTTCAAATGCAAAAAAAAAAAACCTTGAGATAATGTACTAAATTGTTCAGAAGGTTGTTTTCTTAGTAGAATGCTACAGGATTTTCTTTAGCCATCCGGAGTTCCTGCCTTCGTCCCAGTGCCGGTAAAGACCAAGGTGGAAGAATTTCCAGTGTTGCTGAAAACCGGACAAGACTTTGGCTGAGAAACAGACGAGACTTCGGATCAAGCTAGCTGCCTGCAGAACTTACCTGGACTGTGATTTAAGCTAGCTGCCTGCAGAACTTACCTGGACTGTGATTTACCGGGACTGTGAGTTAATCTATTGAGACACTGCTTTACCTGGACTGAGACAACAAACTGTAATCTATAACAAATTGTAACTCGGTATCTTTACTAGCAGTGTCATTGCTGGTATAATTTTTCCAAGGGCTTCTTGCATGGAGCCATCAAGTGGCTTGGTATTGTGGCATTTTGTATCCTCTCTTTCTGTTTGTAGCAGGTTATTTATGGTGTTTCTGTAAAAACCACTATGGTCATTATTTAAATTAAACAAAAGGGGGAAATGTTAAGAGTCTGTAAACAAGTCAAAATAACACCTGGCATTTAGTCAGGGGAATGTTAGAGTTCGTAAACAAGTCTGGATGGTGCCTGGCAAAATGCCAGAGGGAGTGGTTTGAGAAGTAACAAAAGCGAGTCATTAAGTGTAGAGATTCCTGATTGGTTGACTGATGTATCTAGTTTATGCTAATTAGATAAGCTCTGTGGAATGTATAAATACTGCTCCTGTCCTGCAATAAAGGGCTCCCACTCCTGCTGTATCAACATACACAAGTTATTCATCACCCCCCTGGTTAGTTTGCTGCAGCCGGATGGCAGGGCTCAGTAGTCAAGCATCTCCAGATTCAATCCCTGGTACTCCCCAGAATTCCAGAACTCGGGCCTGACCAACCTCCCTGAGAACGCAGTCCATTCTCCCATTTGACCTAACCTGTGTTCAGCCCAGCACCCCTGGTACGTGCACGGAGGACGACGACCTTCGTTCTCTGTGTCCAACTTGGATTTCTTCAGTACACTTCAAGGCAACTGGAATCTGCGTCCCGGGCCTAGGTCACTCCTGTCTGGCTCGGAATAAACTACCGTGTGGTTTCCCGGAACGCAAAAGTGGTGTCCTTCCCTCGAATGCCTTTTCCAAAGCACCGTGCTCATTAACCTGCTATGAGAAACTTCTGCCGTCAGCCGGGAGGTCTAAGAGATTCTCCTCAATCAAGGTGATGATTTTTTTTCCTGTGCTTTTTCCATGGAGTGTACACCTGAGATTTTAAAATGGTTTCTGTGGTTTTTGTTTCGTTTTAAGGTATTGGGGGAAAAAACCAAGGCCTCGCACGTGCAGGGAGACTTCTCAACGAAGCACACCCGCGCCCTCACGGCAGTTTTGAGCCCTCCCTGGAGGCGGCAGTACCCTTCCAGAGGTGAAGCTGCGGACTTACCAGCAGTAAACCTCGCGTCTCTAAGGCCTGCGGCTCTACGGGTCTCACTTGGGTTCTCACCAGGCAGGACGGCAGCGCACTCCACAGCCAGTCGCGACAGCCTGGGCTTCCGGCGCTCCGCTCTTGTACCGGAAGCTGCGGCGAGCGCAAAGGAGAGCCTGTCGCGCACGCGTGAGGGAAATGCCTGTCGCGCATGCGCGCCAGCCTGTCTCTGCGGAGCGACGTCTCCTGACGTCACCACCAGTCTCGCTTGAACAGCCACCGGCGGGAGTTTTTCAAAATGGGAGTGCAGAGGCACCGCCCAAGCCTCGGATGGTGTCGAGGAATTCCTTCGGTGGCTTTAGCTTCGTCGCCCGGAGCGGCGGCCTAGAAGGTAGAGCCTGATGGGCACCACGACCGGCTGGCTGCCTGGAGCTCCACCTCGAAGGGACTGTGAAAAGGGACCTGACCCGGGGAGCGCCGGCCCGGGCCTGAGAATATGGCGACTTGCATCGGCGAGAAGATCGAGGTGAAGGGAGTGGCGGGCCGAGGCTGCGGATCGGAAGGGGGCGAGCGAAGCCCACGGCTGGGGCGGGGCCGGGCCGGGCGCCGGGCCGGCGGTGGGGAGGGACCCAGCCTCTGGACGCCGCTCGGGCGGGGGCGGCACCGGTGGGCGGCGTCCCCGGCCCCGCCGCGTCCGTGGTAACCCCGCTGGAGCCGCCGCGCCGGCCGGAGCAAGGCCGCCTCCCCCTTCTCCCGGGGGATGGCGGTTGGCCGCGGCGGGAGCTGTGGCGGGGCTCCCAGGTGTTGGCTGGAGGCGGGAGGAGGTGCAGCCTGTGCTGCGGTGGAGTCGCTCGGGTGTGCAGTCTGGCCGGCCTGGAAGCTGGGGAGTCCTGCAGGGCATCGCCATGCCTTCCGCCGCAGACGCCTGCTATATCGAGGTGGAATACCTTCCTGGATTTTGCCAAATTCTCCTCTCAACCCTTTGCATCCCATTTTTCCAGGCCCTTCGTATCATTCTTCCTTTCTACTCCTGAGAGTCATCACACATAATATCTAATTTTACTTTTTAAGGATTTTAAAGTCGGAAATCTGCTCGGTAAGGGATCATTTGCTGGTGTCTACAGAGCTGAGTCCATTCACACTGGTTTGGAAGTTGCAATCAAAATGGTAAGACTATATTAATCAACTTTTTTTTCTGTACTTTGCAAATAACTAAAGGTGTTCTACTAGAGATGTCACAATTCCGTACTGACCAACCTTTTCTTTGATTATGGTGTAAAGAATACATCATATAGGCAAAAGACAATATGGATAAATTCAGCAGTTCAGCTTAAGGACGTTTTGGGGGAGCATTAATTTGCTTAAATGTTTTATCTTCATTAATGTTCGGTAGACAGGTGTGTTTCAGTTATGCATACTTGGAGTCAAGTGTAGAAATCAAATAATTTTTTTATAATAATACATTTGTGTGTAGTTCTGTATTACAGTATAAGTATTAATCCAAAATACTATTCTCTATTGATAGAAGTTAATCTAATAGGAATAACATAAACATTAGCAAATTGAGAATTATTTATCTAAACTAGTTGGAAAAGGGAAAGGAAATTTGGAATAAAGTTTGACTAAAGTTGGATTTTTCTTATGGATAGAACAGTTGTGCTATTAAAGTATTTAAATTGACAGAGGGTACTAGAATGCATTGGACAGATTTACTTAGTGTCCACTCTACTAGATAAACAGAGGAAAAATAGACCCAACAGAGTAAGTTGATCTCAAAGACATATATTAAAAATCTTCAAACTATTTTAAATTAAAATATACTTTCTTTTCAAAGGTGACTTAGTTCCTTCCTTTGCCACTAGTAATTGAACCCAGGGGTGCTTTACCACTGACCTACATCCCAGCCCACTTTTTTTTTTCTTTTTGAGACAGGGTCTCACTGAGTTCTTGGGACTGGCCTCAACTTGCGAGCTTCCTGCCTCAGTATACTGAGTAATTGGAATATGCCACTGCACCCTGATCAAAGATGACTTTTAACAATTTATATTTGAAACTTAACCATCAACATTTAAAACTTTTCTGTTTTTTCAGATAGATAAAAAAGCCATGTACAAAGCTGGGATGGTACAGCGAGTCCAAAATGAGGTGAAAATACATTGTCAATTGAAACATCCCTCTATCTTGGAGGTAAGATACGATTTTATAGAAGCAGCCCAGGATACTGAATTTTTTAAATTCTAATTTATTATACTTTTTTACATTTCAGCTATATAACTATTTTGAAGATAACAATTATGTGTACCTGGTATTAGAAATGTGTCATAATGGTGAAATGAACAGATACCTAAAGAATAGAATGAAACCTTTCTCAGAAAATGAAGCTCGACACTTCATGCACCAGATCATCACAGGAATGTTGTATCTTCATTCTCATGGCATATTACACCGGGACCTCACACTTTCTAACCTCTTACTTACTCGTAATATGAATATCAAGATTGCCGATTTTGGGCTGGCAACTCAATTGACAATGCCACATGAAAAGCACTATACATTATGTGGAACTCCTAATTACATTTCACCAGAAATTGCAACTCGAAGTGCCCATGGACTTGAATCTGATGTTTGGTCCTTGGGCTGCATGTTTTATACATTACTAATTGGGAGACCACCTTTTGACACTGACACAGTCAAGAACACATTAAATAAAGTTGTATTGGCAGATTATGAAATGCCAACGTTTTTGTCAAGAGAGGCCAAGGATCTTATTCACCAGCTACTTCGTAGAAATCCAGCAGATCGTTTAAGTCTGTCTTCAATATTGGACCATCCTTTTATGTCCCGAAATTCTTCAACAAAAAGTAAAGATTTAGGAACTGTAGAAGACTCAATTGATAGTGGACATGCCACAATTTCTACTGCAGTTACGGCTTCTTCCAGTACCAGTGTAAGTGGTAGTTTACTTGACAGAAGACGACTCTTGATTGGCCAGCCACTTCCAAATAAAATGACTGTATTTCCAAAGCATAAAAATTCAAGTGACTTTTCTTCAGGAGATGGAAGCAGTTTTTGTACTCAGTGGGGAAATCAAGCACATGAAACCAGTAACAGTGGAAGAGGAAGAGTAATTCAAGATGCAGAAGAAAGGCCACATTCTCGATACCTCCGTAGAGCCCATTCCTCTGATAGATCTGGCACTTCTAATAGTCAATCTCGAGCAAAAACATATACAATGGAACGATGTCACTCAGCAGAAACACTTTCAAAGTCCAAAAGATCAGGAATAGAAGAAAATGAAGACCGATATCCACCCACAAATAGCAATGTCAATATTTTTCATTTCTTTAAAGAAAAGACATCTCGTAGTTCTGGATCTTTTGAAAGACCTGATAACAACCAAGCACTGTAAGAATATCATAAGTATTTTATTTTCTGTAAACATACTAGCACAAATATGAAGATGCATCTAAATAAAGGGGTTACTAGGGCAATGAATAATTAATGCTTTTTTTTAAACTGATGCTTCTGAGGCACTTATCAATGATGATTTTCATTTTTTATTACTAAAGTATTGGAATATTAATTTAGAGCTATGATTAAGCTGTCCTTCAAAAGTGAGTGTATGTGTTGATGAATATGTTTATTACTCTGTTTAATTCTTGGGAGTTTTTAGTTTCATATATATATGCAAAACACCATGTATTAAACAAATCTGATCCCTGAAGTACTCTAATAATAACTACAAACAAAAAGAAGTTGAGCCTGAGTGATGAGTAATTATAGTACTAATACTATTTCTAACATGAAAACTAATTGTTTTAATGATTTTTTTTGCATGTCTCTTAATTTTTTTTATGATTTTTATGCTTGAATTTTTAAAGGGCAACAGCCATATAGAAACATCATCACAATGCCCTGGTATTCTGGCATGGGAATTCAGCGTTTTAGAGACAATGTAATTATGCAAATATTGTTTTCTACAGTTATCCTAAAATTTTTTGGAATTCACATTTGTCTTTATTCTACATTAAAAAGTTGGCTAGGTACTGGGGGTAAAGTACCATGGTAGAACACGTGGTAGGCCATAAGTTTGTTCCCTAGTGTCCCCCACAAAAAGTTGCCTAATCATTTTTTTTAATTACTTTAACTTTTTATTACTTGGGGATTTTTTTTTTTCTTTAGTTCAAATCATCTTTGTCCAGGAAAAAGTCCTTTTCCATTTTCAGACCAGACACCTCAAACTGAAATTGTACAACAGTGGTTTGGAAATCTGCAAATGAATGGTGAGTTTTAAATGTAGTATTTAATTAAAAACTAATGACTTACACACTTTTTAGCACTGTAGTTTCCTTGTTTTTGTTTTTTGTTTGTTTTGTTTTGTTGGTGCCAGGGATTAAACCCAGGGGTACTCAATCACTGAGCCATATCCCCAGCCCTGTTTAGTTTTTATTTAGACATAGGGTCTTGATAAGTTGCTTAGAGCCTCAGCCTTCCAAGCCTTGGGATTCCAGGTGCCAGTGCACCTGGCCATTATAGTTTTCTTTTGGGGCTTTTTAAAGAAAATAAAACATCTTACAATAAAGCTGAATTATTATAGTAAAACTTGATGCTTTTAATATTTACCGTAAGGTCAGCTATTATTCTTAATACTCAACATATATGATATATTTGTTATATTCTCACAAAAACATGAGGAAGATACTGTTGTTATTCTTATTTTATAGCTAAGGAAATTGTACACAGAATTCAGTTGCACAGCCATTAAGTACAGTGCCAGGATCCAACCCAAGTAGTCTGTCTTAGAAGCTTTTCTCTTAAGCCCTCTCTTGAAGACTCTCCATAATAAGTACCAAGTCAGTGCCTATAAAACAATTAAAAGATGTTTGACTTTATTTTTAAGTAGAAGCCGATATGGACACTATAGTCAGCCAGTTGGATTTCACATCTAAATACATGGCTACTAAAACCTAGATATTTTCAAGTAGCTGTCATTCGAGTCATTATTTTATTTATAGATGCAAAGTGTAAATATTAACCCAGTAAGTCCCACCATCCCAAATGTGGGACACCTATAAAAACTGTAAGTTGAGCAACAGACATGCCACTTACTTTGAAATAAATATTATGTTTTTAGATGATTCTTTTGAGAAAAGTAATATGGTGAATGATTAGAGCATTTGAAAACATGTAAAGGATATATAAGCTTAGATTATGATTTCCAACCTATTTTAATGCACATCTGTCAATTTCATTGAAATATTGGCAGAATAGAAAACTTGGGACTTAATGGTTAAAACATTCTTAATTAATGAACATAACAGATTCACAGAAGGTGGGATGGGGAATAATAATTTAAAAAAAAGAGAAAATTATAAAACATATGGAGAGAAGGAGATCATTTTTTACTAAGTGTTGTATTACCTCACAGACAAAAGAGTGCATAGTGGCTGTAATTTAAGCAGAGTGTTATTTGTCATCTCAAGAGTCTATTTGTTTTTTTCTTTTTTCAAAAGAAATGTATATGATTTCCAAAATCCCCAAAGGAAATTAATCTTTTCCTATGTACTTGAAAATATCCTTGGAAATAATTCAAGTTTTTTTTTTTTTTTTTAATGGTAAAACTGATAATGTACGTCTTGCTCTACTTCTGTTGTATTTACAAGTATTTTTACTTGACAGTATGGATTTGTCTGAGATGGAGAAATAACCTTTTTTTTTCTTTAAAGTAATGTAATGAGGCTGCTATAATTTTAAAGTATTTTTGGTACAAAATATTTTTCTGGCCGGGCATATGCATCTCCAGGGGCTGAGGCAGGAAGATCATGAGTTCAAAGCCAGCCTCAGGGGCTGGGGTTGTGGCTCAGTGGTAGGGCGCTTACCCAGTGTATGTGAGGTACTGGATTCAAGTCTCTGCACCACATGTAAGTAAATAAACTAAAGGTCTATCAACAACTTTAAAAAAAAAAAAAAGCAGCCTCAGCAATTTAGGCCCTAAGCAATTCACTGAGATCCTGTCTCTAAATAAAAAATATTAAAAAGGGATAAGGATGTGACTCACTCGTTAAGCGTTTCTGGTTCAATCCCCTGTACCAAAAAAAAAAAAGATTTTTTTTCTGTCATAATGAGAGTTGGAGAGATGTTTTTCACTTGGTTTGTATTTTGCAGTACTGGGGATTGAACCCAGGGCATTGTACATTGCCAGCAAGCAACCACTTAGCCAAATCTCCACCCTTGAGAGTTGGAGGGGGGTGGTATATATTCCCATGTGAACTCTAGAATAACAATTTAAAACATAAATTGGTAAAATTCTTAAGAACTTCAAAAAATGTGGGTATAACTATATAACTATATATATATACACACACACACACACACATATATGTAAAATATTATTAATATTAAAGCTATTCACATGGTGTTTTTTTCCCTTAGTTGTATACCTTCTAAGCAAAGATAGGATAGGTGTTCCTTAGCTTAAATAATAAATTTATATTTTGTTTTTTATTTAGGTAGAAAGATATGTGGGAATTCTTCTCAAATATGCTTTTGTTGGAATATAATCTCACATTAGAATTAGCAGTGACTAGTTTTTGCCTTGATTGAAAAGTAGATTGCTTATTATATCTTTTGTGATCTGGTTTAAAATACCCTTTTAAAGTCACTGACTTTTTATGTCATATATTAGATTATAGAATAATTTCTTATTTAAAATAAAATTTTCTTATGCATATTTAAGGTATATAAGAGCATTATACATATATATAGTAAAATGGCTATTATTTTGGAACAAATTAATGTATCTATAACCTCACATATTTACACAGACTGTTCTCCCTTTGGCAATAGCAACTAAAATCTGCTCATTTAGTAAAAATCCTGAATAAAATACACTATTATTTTTCTAAAACTTTTTTTTTTTTTTTCCTTAATGCAGAGGGTTAGAGATGTAGCTCAGGGATAGAGTGCTTCCATGGCCTACATAATAATCTGGGTTCAATCTTCAATACAAAAAAAAAAAAGTGCTAATATAGTCAATGTAACCTTGTGACTTCTTAATTATTTACTAAACTGCTTTTTTCAATATATATGATAGCTCATTTAAGAGAAACTACTGAGCACAACAGCATTAGCCCAAAGAGAGATTTTCTTATACATCCAGATTTGCAGAAAAACATGTCAAGAAATGCTTGGAGAGATACAAGAGCCAAAAAGAACTCTGATGCTTCTGATAATGCAGCTTCTGTAAAACAGCTGAATACTATGAAATATATGACTAGACTGCGCAATAAACCTGAGATAACTCAACAAGAACCTATTTTTGGCTTAGATCCTCTTTCAGAACAAATCAAGACTAGGGGTATGGAGTCAACAGTGGGATATCAGAAACACACATTGCGAAGCATTACGTCTCCTTTGATTGCTCACAGGTTAAAACCAATCAGACAGAAAACTAAAAAGGCTGTGGTGAGTACATTGTTTTCCTAAGTTACTCTTTGATACTATTTTAAAAATACATTTTTGAAAACATGACGTTTTAGTCCCCTATAACATCCTGGACTTTGGAATATGTACATGATAAACTTATATAAAAAGAAAAAAGATTGAATATTCATGGAAAGATAGCTTTTGTTTCCATCTAGCTTTTTATGAATAATGAAATGATACTGATAAGTTTTGAATTTTAAATTACTGTTTTTAGAAAGTAGATTTGAATATAAAACATTTAAAAATAATATTAGCTGTATACTGTTCTAAATATTAGTTTATGCACAGTTCAAATCAGTGAATTAATATTAACCTTTGGTTTTAGTTTTTATTTCTACATTTAACTTAGGCTTAAATACCAAGAGAAACTAAAAAGAAATTATACCTTGATGTTTTAACAACTAAAATTATTTAAAAGAAAAAGAGTATGTACATTTTATAGTTTAAAACTTGTGAAGTGGGAATGGTGATTTTTTTTTTTTCCATGTTCATCCTATTTGTTGGTGTTTCCCATTTCCCCCAGTCTTGCCTTTGTTTGGCTTGCTATTATCTTTTAAGTCCTTATTCTCCGCCCTGCCTTCTGCTTTCTTTCTATTCACTGTTTATCCCTTCCCACTTCATTGTACATTCTCATCTTTGCACCTTATGGCTCACAATTGTGTTCAAATATACTTCTGGTCTGGACTGTTGGAGTGAAACAGCTATTTCATTTTGACTTTAATATTTGTTTCTGCTATGGTTAAGTAATTTTCTCAAGTATCATGTGTGTCAGATGTTTTAAATGAGAAAATTTTTATTGATTTTTTTTTTTTTTTTTTTTTTTTAAATTTTCTCTTTAGGTGAGCATACTTGATTCAGAGGAGGTGTGTGTGGAGCTTCTAAAGGAATATGCATCTCAAGAATATGTGAAAGAAGTACTTCAAATATCTAGTGATGGGAATATGGTAATGTACAGTTATTTTATTATCTCGAGACTTCACATCTTCCCCTAAGCTAAGTTTAGCATTGTGATTCATTTGGAGATCTCTAAATTTTTTTTTTAAAGCAGTCTTCTGATATGATAGTCCCTATAATTCAAAAACTGAAATAGCATGCCAAACATGTTTAAATAAATTAGTTCCATTTTAAAAATAATTGTAGGGCTGTGGATATAGTTCAGTACGCAGCTTGCCTATCGTGTTTTAGATTCTGGGTTTGATTCTCAGCACTGCAATAAACAAAATTTATAACTAGTATCAAAAATCTGAAGTTTGATTTAAGTTTAAAAAGAAAATTAGAATAAAATGCTAGAGAATTCCATTTTCTATAAAATAATGTTTAATACTGTGCTTGAACCTTTTTCATATTTTGTTAACAAAATATAGTGCTCTAAGTTATTGGTATATAATCAAAAGTCTTAAAAACTTTTTGGCAGATCACTATATATTATCCAAATGATGGAAGAGGCTTTCCTCTTGCTGATAAACCGCCCTTACCTACTGATAACATCAGTAGGTACAACTTTGACAATTTACCAGGTATGTAACCTTAACAGGAAATAAATTTTGAGAGTATATATACTTAACTCTGTATATTGGTATGATAGGTTATGAATATTTTGGTTTTAGTCATGTTGGAGGTTATGTTCTTGTACTTGGTATCTGGTCCAATTTGATATACCTTATTAATTCGTTGTTTACTATTCATATTTTGTGTTATAATACTACTTTATTCTGCTTAAAAGTAAAAACTAACTTTGGAATATTAGTCATATACCACCAATATATAATTGGTGCACTTATTTAATTAGTAATGTGGCTATAGTCACATTAAAAATTGCAATATGAAGTATCTATTTTTTTGATCTTTGAAATCATGTGCTACATACATTTTCATTTATAATTATAGTTAATCAAAGTTAACTCCTGATGCAGCTTCTGCATATTATGAACAGGGGGAAAGCACTGAACAATAAGATTTAATTGAGATGCCTTTCAGAAACAAACAAGAACCTATTAAAAATCACAACAGGTAGATAAAACTATATCAAGTCAATATTTTCTTCCTTAATATTAACTAATTTTTCCCCTTAGAAAAATACTGGCGAAAATATCAATATGCTTCCAGATTTGTACAGCTTGTAAGATCTAAATCTCCCAAAATCACTTATTTTACAAGATACGCTAAATGTATTTTGATGGAGAATTCTCCTGATGCTGATTTTGAGGTTTGGTTTTATGATGGTAAGTACTATTTTTTAAAACATGTTTTTTCCTGTAGTTTGTAATTTGGTAGTCATGTGCTTTTGTTTTTAATTCATGACAAGTCATTTTAACCAAAGTTTGTTTATATATACCTTCCTATAAATAATTTATATTATCATCTGTACATATATTAGTCCTCTTTCGCTACCTCACTTCATTTTAACTGTACCTACCTTGATTGATGATATAAAAATGTCATGAAACAGTATCCTTTTTTTAATTAGAAACTCAAGTGGACATTTACCAAATTATAAGAATTATAAATGGGGCAGAAAGATTGGGTTTAATGAACATTCTGTCTTAAGTATTCTATAAAGATGATTTACTTTTTAAGTCACACATCTTTTACGGGATACACATGACACACATAGCTGTCCATCAGCTATGTTTGTAAGTGAATATAAATGATATCTTGATCTGAAAGCCATTAAATACTGGTATGATGAATAAATAAATCTAAATAAATTGAAAAAGAGTATTATGCTTATTTTCTAGGAGCAAAAATACACAAAACAGAAGATTTAATTCAAGTAATTGAAAAGACTGGGAAATCTTACACTTTAAAGGATGAAAATCAAATTCATAGCTTAAAAGAGGAAATAAAAATATACATGGACCATGCTAATGAGGTACATACCTAATAGATTTTAATACTAATTAATTAATTACAAATTACTTAGGTCAAATATTGACAGAAAACACTCTTCTTTTGAAATAGGCTCATCGTATTTGTTTAGCACTGGAATCTGTAATTTCAGGAGAGGAAAAGAAGAGTGGGAGTGCTCCCTTTTTCCCAATAATTGTGGGAAGGTAAATTTTTAAAAATTTTTTAACATGGCTAAAGTTTATAAGATTTTTTTTAAAAAGTTTGGTTTACTTCATAAACATTCTTTAGACATCTGTAAATTGCAAGTTTTAAAGGAATATATTTGAACATTTCTTTCTTCTTTAGAAAACCTGGTAATACTAGTTCACCTAAGGCCCTGTCAACACCTCCTTGTGTGGATCCAAACTACGCAATAAGAGATGCACCATCTTTGGGTAGATTGATCATGAATAGTGCTACTACTCCAACCCAGGCACCCATACTTAATCCTTCTGTAAGTAAATCTGTGTCACTTCTGTCCATACCCCTTCAGGGACCACCTTATGCCCTTCATAAAAAATTAAATACCTCATGAAGGACCCAGGTTCTATTCCCAGCACTACCCCACTCCCCTTAGCCCCCCAAGATAGAAGAGGCCTTAGTATACCTACCTTTTTTTTCCAGGCTACTCCTGAGGCACTGTATCACATACTCCTTGCTTGAACTTCAAAGGCCTTCTAAGTCCTTTAAACCAGCCAGTGAGCCTTTCACACACTGTTAATTTGACCTTTTGAGATGTACATAGTTGTTTTATTTTTACTAGTAAAATATTAACTGCCTAAATATCTTATATTTACTCAATGAACTATCATGTCAATGAAGACTATATATACAGAAAAATGCAATGTTAAAAAAATGGATATGTGTGTTTAGTCCTACCTATATATATACATATTGTGATATGAAGCTATGAAAAAAATCTCTTGGGGAAAAAGATCAAAGCAAAAGAAAATAACAGTTGTATTATTTTCATTTCTGTATTTTTCTCATTTTCAATAATGTGGTTGTATTTTTAATTTTTTTGTTTTTTAAAAAAAATTAAGCTAATGAAAATCCAGTAATTCTTATTTTTTGCTTAAGTTGGCTTATAAAAACAGTAAAGAATAATATCTTCCTGTTTTTACTGTTTGTAGATAGTTACAGCTGAAGGACTTGGCCATACCACTACAGCTTCAGGAACAAACGTCTCTTCGAATAATCTAAAAGATTGTCTTCCTACATCAGCACAACTTTTGAAGTCTGTTTTTGTGAAAAATGTTGGTTGGGCTACACAGGTGAGAAGTTTCTACCAAAATGACTTTTCTCAGTATGAATTTCTTTTGGTTTTCACACTGATTAGACAATCACCCAAAAATATAAATTCTTTTAATGGTTTAAGTAGAAGTTTTTATTTTTTTATATTGGTTAAATCATTAAAACATTTTAATGTTTTATTTGCATACAGTGGAAAACTTTATTGTTAACAGATTGCCTATCAATTGTTTTTAAAGTACAGGTCATGATAATGGTTACTTGTGATTAGTGCAGAACAATATCCAAAATATTGTGAGTTTTAGAAACTATTTGTAATCAATCTGACTAGAGTTAACTTTAATTTGGCAAAAGAAGGAAAAGTTAAAGTGTTTAAAGTTAATTCAACTTTGAGTTTCAAACTCACAGCATGAACCCGTGTGTATATTATGTGAAGGCTTAAAATGTGGAGATTTAAGCATGGCTTATGTCCCTTTACTTTCCACTTAAGAACAATGCACCCTTATTACTTTTGGAGGGTAGGTCATATCTGTTGAGTGCCTGCTTTTTGATGTCATATTTTTCATACACATTATATAGTTTATCAAAAAAAAAACTAGTAAAGTTATCCCCTTTTAAAGATAATAAAATTACAGTTCATAATGTTACATTGACTGGGATGATCCTAAATTATGCTATTTGTTGGTGGGCAGAATATGAATGTAAACCTAGGTCTCTCGGATTCCAGTGTCCGTGTTTGTTTCTCTATATCATGTGCCTCCCCATTTAACATGAATCACTAAAAGAAGTCTCAAAGGCTATAATGTAATATTTTCAGGCAAGGAAGAAACTCTAGGGGCACTAGGACAAAGAAACGGTTAAAATACTGTGTGAGGGGAGGGGGTAAACACATACAGTGGAAATTGGTGAGAAATGGGATTCATTTACAATAATTTTAATATTATAGTACTTAAGCTATTAAAGGATTAACCCAGAAAAGACATGAATATTCTCAATGCTAAAACTATTCCAGTCCTAAATCTACAGTTACTGGAGAGAGTTTCAAACTATAGAAAACTTGTTGATATGTTCAACTTGAGTACCTTTTAAGAACCTCAGATCCTCTATTGCAGAGTCAATTTGTATGCTTATTATTCTTCTAGTTAACTAGTGGAGCTGTGTGGGTTCAGTTTAATGATGGGTCCCAGCTGGTTGTCCAGGCAGGAGTATCTTCTATCAGTTACACGTCACCAAATGGTCAAACAACTAGGTAAGTTTTTAAAAATACTAGTTCAGATAACACCATTTATACATTTCGCTTTCTTGCTATGCAAAAATAATAAAATTACCGTCTCGCTTTTTGAGACAAAGTCTGGGTAACTTGTGGAGACTGGCCTTGAATTTTCTATCCTCCTGAGCTCCGGAGTCACTGGGATTATAGGCATGCACCACCGCTCCCCTGGCTACCATTCTTCAAAGTGTTCATTATTCTTAGAAGATCGTATCATGTTTCTAATGCCTATTTTATAATTATCTACATTAATGCAGGTCAATTGGTATGAATAATATGCTCCTAATCCATTCAAGTTGTTAGATAACGTGTAACCCCCTTTTTTCAAGGCTATTGGGAATTTAACCTAGAGACTTGCATATACTAGTCAAGTGCTCTACACCTGACCTACATCCCTAATACCTCTGTGCAGTTTTACTCCATAGTCTAACTAGGTTGGACCTTTGCAGAAAATTCTAATGAAGTTGAAAGTAGTATACCTAAAAAAAGCATAGAAACATATCTATCTTTTAAAGATAACTTGAGGGCTGGAGCTGTAAATGGCAGAGAATTTGCCTAGCATGTGTGAGGCTCTGAGTTCAATCCTCAGCACCACATAAAAGTAAAATAGAGGCATACTGTCCATCTACAACCACAAGAAAATAAACAAAAAACCCAGTTATGCATTTGGAAAATAAAATTTTAAAAACTTGATTATTTTTCCCAAATGAAATGGTATATCCCCTGATCTAGTGATTAATGAATGTAAACAGTTGGCCTTCCATATACAGATTCCACATCCACAGTTCAACCAACAACAGGTCAAATATATTTGAAAAGATTGTACTGAATGTGTACAGAATTTTTTTTTTTATTCACTAAATAATACAGTATAACTATTTAGGTAAAATTTACATTGCATTTGATATTACAAGTAATCTTGAGAGGGCTTAATGTAAATGGGAGGATGTGTATAGGTGATATGTAAATATTGATCCATGTTATGGAATGGAATTGTGTATTCTCAGATTTTGGTATCTATGGGCATTCTGGAAACTGTCCCCTAAACATGCCAAGTGACAACTTTTTAAATTCACTCTGCATGAATATGTGTGCTGGGCATCATGCCAGAAATAAGAAATCTGTCAATAGCATGAAAAAGTTTCCATATTTAAAACATGACTTGTTGGGCTGGGATTGTGGCTCGGTGGTAGAGTGCTCATCTTGCACGCGCGGGACCCTGGGTTGGATCCTTAGCACCACGTAAAAAATTTAAAAAATGAGTGAAATAAAGGTATAATTTTTTTTTAAATATAAATAAATAAAACATGACTTGTTAGAAAGACCTAAGTCATGGCGGTGCTAACAGAAACATGCTGCTTCATGTGGTCTTTCTGTTGTAGTAGACGTGTGTAGGGCAGCTGTAATTTGTGGCTATCATGCTTTTTGTGAAATGCATGTGTATGTGCAGTAGCATCACTTAAGTAACTGCTCATAGGAATCGTTAAAAACACTTTAAATGCTCCAGGAAGTGGAACGGTGCAGATGTAGAGTGGGTGGGATACATGTTCACAGATGAATGCTGCAATTCTACTGACAAGGTCAATTGCAAGTTCTTAACATCTAATAGAAATGTATTCATGTTTAACTTAGTGTTTCCTTGAGAAAGCATTCAAGGAATGAAACCTTGTTTCAGAAAATATAGTTAGTTTGAGTTTTTTATTTTCTTGTTGTTATTTAAATGTTTATAAATTGTTCTCTTTTTTGGTACCAGGGATTGAACCTAGGAATGCTTAATCACTGAGTTACATCCTAGCCCTTTTTATGTTGTTTTTTGTTTTGTTTTGTTTTGTTTTGTTGTTTTAACTTAGAAACAGGGTCTCACTGAGTTGCTTAGGCCCTTGCTAAGTTGCTGAGGCTGGCTTTGAACTCATGATCCTCCTGCCTTATCCTCTCCAGTCACTGGGATTACAGGCCTGTGCCACCATGCCTGGCTAATTATTCTATTTTAAGAAGAAAAAAAATGGGTATGCTTCACTAGATTGAGGTGACTAATAAATAATTGTGTTTGATTGTTTTAATATCTTTATTTATTTTTATGTGGTGCTAAGGATCAAACCCTGTGCCTTACATGGGCGAGACAAGTGCTCTGCCACTGAGCCATAACCCCAACCCCACGTGGATGATTTTTCCTGAGATTTCTTGTCATTGAAGAATAAAAAATATAATATGGGTTTTGGTATTCCTTAAGAATGGAGAGATGATTATGGTTTTATCTTTTATTCTTTTACTTCACTTAGGTATGGAGACAATGAAAAATTACCGGAATACATCAAACAGAAATTACAGTGTCTTTCTTCCATCCTGTTGATGTTTTCTAATGCAACTCCTGGTTTTCATTGATTGAAAAGATACCTACATTTAATAAATAACTTTTTGGTTGGCTTTCAAGTAAAGTGACTTTTTATTTAATATAACTTCTTCAGAAAGCCTATTAAAGAGAATTTTAATCTGTACAGTAAAGGATGTGTACTAAGAGAAAACTGAATGAAATTTGAGTCGACAAATAATTGGTCGCAGAGTACAATAGGATGCCTAACTTTGCTCTGAAAACATACCCTCAAGCTTACTGAGTATATTTGTATTGAATGTTTTTTTAAAAGCAAAAATATAAATGGTGTGTGGTGTATTTATGCTTTTATTGTTTCTCTACTTCCCAGACATGTTGAGAATCATGGACAAAATATGCTATAGTTTGGAATTTTTGAACATGTAAATAATATGTATTTGTTATAAGTAACATATGTAAACATGTATAGTTGTTTTATATTTATTTTTGTAGCACCAGTGTCTGCTTAAACATTTTGGCAAATGCATTTTATAAAAAAAATAAATATAACAAGAAGTAATTTTATCTTTTGACTTATTTAAATACTTTAAAATAATTACTACAAACTCATTTTTAAATTTTCTTGTTTAGGAAACAAATTTTATAACTTAATTTTCTAAGTTAAATGTTAAACATATTCTCTTAAATGAATGTATATGTATATTTTAATGCAAACATTTTAACACTGAAGAACTTAACGTTGTAATTAATTGGCATGAAGAACTATTTGAGAGTGGGATAGCCATTCCTAATGAAAGTAGAGCCGGGCAGTGACAGTGGCTCGAGAGGCTAAGGCAGGAGGATCACAAGTTCCAGCAACCCTGTCTCAAAAAAAAAATAACAAGGACTAGGGATGTAGCTCAGTGGTAGAGCCCCTGGGTTCATTCATCACCAACCCCCATAGGTGTGTGTATGAATATATATATATATATATATATACCCTCATGTTTCCTCCTAGGTCATTTTTGGGGGGTGTATATTGTATTTATCTTCTTTTTTTGGCACTGGGGATTGAACCTAGGGGCACTTAGCCTCTGAGCCGCTGCACACACACACACCCCGCACACTTTTTTTTTTTTAATTTTGGGACAGTATCCCACTAAGTTGCTGAGGCTGGCCTTGAACTTGGGATCCTCCTGCCTCAGCCTAGAGTCACTGGGATTCTGGTGCACCTGCACACAAGTTCAAGACATGAACTTGTTGGATCTTGGGAATTATTTATCTTAAACTTCGGTAGATAATGCCAATCTTTTTATATTTCTGCAGTATATGAAAGTACAGATTGCTCCTCATCCTCACCAGAACCTGGTGTTGTAGTCATTTTAAATTAGTGCCAATTTGACAAGCATAGAATAGTACAGAATATTATTAATAACAGAATTGTACAAATGTACTATTCTGTGCTTGTCAAATTGGCACTAATTTAAAATGATTCCAACACCAGGTTCTGGTGAGGATGAGGAACAATCTGACTTTAATTTACATTTCCCCTATTACTAAAAATTGTGCTTTTTATTGAATGACAATCTACCTTTTCACATTGGGGTGTCTGCATTTTCTCAGTGGCATCTAGAACTCTAGGTGTGCATCCTTTGTCAAGATACATGTCAAAATACCTTCTGCCATCTGAGTTGGTCACTTCATTGTGGTTGAGATTTTAACTTGATAGGATTATTTAGAAATTGTTGACATTACTAGAAATGTATTCATAATGTTTTGTTTGGTATTTTCTTTAGAATTAGGGCTTTCAATTTAACAAGGAATCCTGATTGGTTTGGTTCCCCTAGCCTCAACTAACAGAATTTTGCTCCTCATCGCTGTACTCCAGCTTCCTCAGGTCGGCTTTTGGTTCTGGGACCTCCAAGATGATCTCACCTCTCGGGTTCCTATAAGTCCTGCCTGTCCCACTCCTCACCAATCCCAATCATCCTCTTCCATCAGGTCTTAGGTAATCATTACTTCATTAGAGACATGCTCCCAACTTTCCTGGTCCTGGTTCCCTGTTACTCTCAGAGCTCCCTACACTCCTGTTTCCTCACACGTCACTTTTCCTCAGTCATACTCGGCCATGTAACATGAAACTCCTGCCTCCTGTGAGGAGGGGCTCTGTATATTTTTCCTGCTCCATATTCAACAATTACATAGTAATTGTCATATAGTGGGTGTCCCCTTAAATATGTACTGAAAGTATGGTTAAAATTTTAAGGCTAAGGTACATAAATTTGTTTATTAGAAAGTGAACATTCACAATACAACAGACAAAATTACACATGAATCTACAATAGTACACAGAATTTCTTCTCAAAATAAATTAATTCTTGAACAGATGCAAATAGTTTATCCTTGTCCAGATAAAAAAGTTATAAACTTTATTTCACCTTATGTAAGAAAATACAAGACAAGCTTAGCAAAATAGAATATTTTATGAAGTTATAAATCCACTCAAAATATGCTTAGGTCTTCAAAAATATCTTTTTCTAAATATGTTCTTTTGGTTTTTCCTGGTACTGGGCATTGAACCCAGGGTGCTCTGCCACTGAGCCACATTCTTAGCACTTTTTGTTTTGAGACAGGATCTTGCCAAATTGCCTAGGTTGGCCTGAAACTTTCAATCCTCCTGCCTCAGCCTCCCAAGTTGCTGGGATTATAAAATGCATATGCCACCATGCCTGGCAATGTAAACCACTCCTAGTTTTTCATAATTTAAGGACTCTACATCATCTTTAAGTTATACTCATTTTGTCCAATGGAAGAGTTAAACTAAGTTATTTAATTATTTCTCAAACTACTTCCCTGTTCTTTCCCAAAACCTGTTATTGCCCTATCTTTGGTGTTAGACCAAGAAAGCACTGTCAATAAAAAAGAAGGTGGCAGTCAGTTTTGCAAGGTTATAGTTTATCTGAATTGTAACCAAAGAATAACTTTAGAAGCTGGGAATTTTTCTTGTCATATTCTTGTTAAAAACATGCTATATGTTTTATGATAAAATTCTGGGGGAGAGGTGTTAATTGTTTGCCAAATATTTCTGCTAACAAAAGTCACTGGTACAGGTAACTTAATTTACCTCACAATTAGTAATCTATTAATAATCCAACTTCATGGTTATTTTCCCTTATGAAAAATATAGTGGTTAAGAACTAGACGAAAGACCTAGACAAGTAACTTCTCTATGCCTTCATTCTTCCATCTCTAAAATGGGAATAACAGTATCCTCACCCTATAGAATAGTTGTGATAAATTACACGTTACCAGGAATATGGAAAGAATTCCATAAATATTCGTTATTATTATCATGATTGTTATTATCTATCGTGCACACACTACCCAAACCAAGGGTGGAGTTTGCTCTTTATGATTAAAAGTGAGACAGAAACTGAGAAGCTTCAAAATGAAAGGTAAAGGTGATTCCAGGATTTCACCAAATTGCCAGAAGCTTGCTGATGACCTGTAAGCAGAGTCCTGCTAGGGAGGTGGAGAAGAGTGAAAAACCTCTAAAACATAACTGTACAGTGAGTTCGAGAACATTAAGCCTTCCATTAGAGCTGATGAAATTGGGTGGAGGAGTATTTCTTACTGTAAAGTGCAGATTATGTATTTATTCTTAAGATTTGGAAATGCTTATAACGTAAAATAGGAAACTTTTGGAAGGATATTTACCACTATTTTTGCAGTTTTGTTATTACCACGTGTACAGTTCCGTACTAGTAACTTACCAGCATCCTATGTACCAATAAACTGTTCGATGAAAGCCATTCTGCTCAGATGCTTATTAACCTGAATTGACAGGGCTGTTAGTTCCCATCCAAATTTAAAATCCAACTAAAATTCTATAGCTCTTTAACAGCTCTGCAGACAAGGGACTGTTGTGTTCCCTCTTGTAATTTAGATGGGCAATATTTAATCACAGTGAATTTTTCTCTAAAGCTTAAAGGAGTTGGGATATAGCAATAATTTTAAGAAATCATGTACTGTTGAATACATGGATACAAAGTGAATTATTAGCACTTCCAAGAATTAAATAGTGTAACTCCACTAAAGGCCAAGATATCCATTTTGACCTCTTCATTTTTCAAATATTAGCATTTTTCTTGCTCACATATCAATTTAGAGTTTAGTGAAATACTGAACTAAAATAAGACAGAGATGCAGTATTACAATAAAGATTTATATAAGACAGGAAGGATGGCAGGCATGCTAAATGGAGAATTTAAGGGTCATGATTTTTACTTCGCAAGGAAATGTAAGAACAGAAAATGTGTTTTTATAAATAAAAAGTAGTTGTCTTTAAATTAAAATACCTCTTTAGGCAAAAAAAATTCTATAATTTCATTCTATAATACAGCTAATTGGTACAGAACTTGTCCTGGTTCCACTGCATATTCTCTCATTATTTTAACGACACTTTTGTAGTCTGTACTAAGAGTGTAGTTTTCACACCTATAGACCACTGCCACTCACTGTTTAGTTCATGAAATCCCAAAAGGGCATAATAAGAAAAATATAGGAAATTATGACTCAGAATGTTTTATGTGTCCTACTATTCACAATCACATGTAGAATCCCCTGTTATTTACATATGTTCTTGTTTTTCAAAATGTGCAATGTCTCCACAGCCTGTATATGGTGACTGGATCGTAGCAATTGTGGGGCATAGCTTTCGACTAGGAAATGCCACACAAATCAAGTATGTTCCACCATAGTCTTAGCTACCTTACTCCTGAATCCTCCCACATCTTACAGAAAAGGCAATGAGTCTCTTGTAAACCGCTCCGAGGAGTGTGATGGTGAGCAGGATGATCACACACACAAGGCTGAACGCCCATCGTGGCCCCAAGTAAGTATACACGTGACTGATGAACACAGGCCCAAGAATCCGGGCTCCACTTCCAGAAGCTGTCAGCCAGCCCATATACACTCCCTGTGGAGAGTGAGCAGAGGACAAGCAGAAAAATATTAAGGGTTAGTAATTTTAAAACAAATCTTGAATAATGAACTTTGTTCATATTATAGTCAGTTTAAAAAAACATTTTTTTTTTTTTGATACTGGGGATTGAACCCAGGTCCTCACATATGATAGGCAAGCACTCTACCACTGACCTACATCCTCAGCCCTAAAGGAACAAACTTAATATCAGGTGAAGCCCCGGAAACAAGATAATTTATTCATATGCCATTTAAAAATAATATTTATTTTGTATTTGCTGCATGCCAGATGTTGAGTTAGGGGTTTATATATATATTGTTTCACATTTTTACAACGTTTGTCAATAAGTGTTGTTCCTGCTTAACAGGCTAAAACTCAGAAAGTTGTGTTTGGGCCACCCATCTGCACCACTTTATATCATAATACCACTCCTACAACTACATATCCCAAACCCTAACCCACACAATCTACCCAAGAATATTCAGTGCAGCATCACGCTTGATAACCCCAGACTGAAAACAACCTGAGTGTCCATAGTAAATCAACTAAATAAATTATGATACATTTAATAACTGGAATGGGGATCAGTTAAAGTATAAGGTCTTATACAGGGTAAAAATCTTTCATAAGAAAGATTACTTTTCATAAGAAAGATTACTCTCCCCCTCTCCCCTCTCTTTCTCTCTCCCCCCTCTCCTCTCTATTCTCTCCTTCTTACTCTTCTCCCTCTCAGCCTCCCCCCCCCCCACCCCCTTCTCTTCTGCAACTGGCCACTACGGTCCTGCTAATAAAATCTCGGACAGGTTAAAAAAAAAAAAAAAAAAGAATAACATATTAATGTAATTACTTCTTTCCATGATAGTGCCTAAAGTTAAAAAAAATAATAATTAATTTGTAGAAAAACTACATATATATGTACTATAATCTATTGTGCCTTTTTTAAAAGGCATTGAATAGCTGTTTGAATAGGCAAAGAAAAATATATTGAGGGTTCAAATGAAGTTAATAGCATCTGGTGCAGTGAAGATAAGGGGAGTCTTCTTTTTCTCCTGTTTACATTTTTAAATAATTTGAATTTTATTATAACAATCATATATTGCTTTTGTAATTAATATTTTTTTCTCTCTTTTGGTACTAAGGACTGAACTCAGGGGTGCTTAACCAGTGAGCAACATCCCCACCGCTTTTAATTTTTATTGTGAGACAGGGTCTTGCTAAATTGTTTGGTGCCTCACTGAGTTGCTGAGGCTGGCCACAAACTTGTGATCCTCCTGCCTGGGCCTCCCCAGTTGCTGGGATTACAGGTATGTGCCTCCACACCCAGCTTTTTTTTTTTTTTTTTTGAGATAGGGTCTATGTTGGGCTCAAGTGAACCTCCTTTCTCAGACTCTGCAGTAGCTGGAATTATAAGCATATGCCATAGCATCCAGCTTATGCCTTTATTCTTAATTTTGAAAAACTGAAAATATAGTATTCAGGTTAAAAACAAACCCAGGACTGGAGGTGTACTTTATTATTGGTAGAGAACCTAGCTCACATACTTGAGGCCCTGGGTTCAATACACAGCACGGAAAATACACCCCCCCCCCAAAAAAAAAAACCCTACCAAAATATTTTATCTATAGATTTTTCTCCTTGCTGATTCCAATAAAGAACCCTATTTGAGTAAAGCTATCATCTTAATTTTAAAAGGAGGTAGATAATATTTTTATTTTGTGGTCAGGGCTGGAGTTTTTGCTCAACAGTAGAGCACATACTTAGCATGTTTGAGGCCTCAAGTTCAATCTCCAGAACTACCAAAAAAAATAGAATAAGAGTTAGAAGCAAAATCTGAAAATAGTCTAAATGATAGCACAGCTGAATGTGGTGGTGCACACCTGTAATTGCAGCTACTCTGGAGACTCAGATAGAAAGATCCCAAATTTGAGGTCAGCCTCAGCAACTTACCATGACCCTGTCTCAAAATAAAATAAAAAGGTAGAAAGCCTCTGGGTTCAATCCCGGTACCGAAGAAAGAATAAATGGAGTACAATGTTTCCATTAAAATAATTCACTAGCTGGCTTAGTGGTGCACACCTGTAATCCAGTGGCTTGGGAGGCTGGGGCAGGAGAATCTCAAGTTAAAAGCCAATCTCAGCAACAGCGAGGCACTAAGCAACTCAGTAAGACCCTGTCTCTAAATAAAATACAAAATAGGACTAGGGATGTGGCTCAATGGTCAAGTGCCTCTGAGTTCAATCCCTGGTACAAAAAAAAAAAAAAAAAAAATTCACTAAAAGAAAATCAAATGGCATGGAAGAGTATTCACAACATGTTATATATTTTTGATGCCATTTTTGTGTTGAACACTCATAAGCATAGAAGCATAACTTCATCAAAATCTTAGTAGTAATTGCCTCTCTGATAGTTTTCTTTTTGCTTCTGTATTTTTTTCCAATTTTATATAATGAATGAGAGAATTAAAATTCTTATTTATTCATTTTTGCAGCTCTGGGTACCAAACCCAAGGCCTTATGTATGCTAGGTAAGTGTTCTACCACTGAGCTATAACTTTGGTCCATGAAATTCTTACTTAAAAGTTAATTTTGGAACTGGGCACGATGGCACATGCCTATAATCCCAGAAGCTCTGGAGGCTGAGGCTGGAGGATGGGAATTCAAAGCCAGCCTCAGCAAAAGTGAGGCACTAAGCAACTCAGTGAGACCCTATCTCTAAATAAAGTACAAAATAGAGCTGGGGGTGTGGCTCAGTGGTTGAGTGCCCTTGAATTCAATCCTCAGTACCCCCCCCCAAAAAAAAGTTAGTTTTAGGCTGAAGGTATATGCAGTTCAGTGATATAGTGCTTGTCTAGCCTGTAGGTTTGATCCCAAGCACCACAAAATAATAATCTAAAAATATACATAGCCTTTGTAAACTTTTAAGATATTTGTGCTTTTCATCTCTTAGTAATGGCTTCTGGAGTCAGAAGAAATTAAGCCTAGATCCAAACGTGGCTACCAATTATGGTTCCCTTACTGTTGCCTAATTTAAGAGTTTCAGAAATTTATGCTTCAAATTTTTTTTTTCAGTGAAAATGATTTTGAGCTCATAATCACTAGCATCCTAATCACATTAGCATACTGTTTGTGAAGTTTCAGTAAATAAACCTTATAAATACTTGACAAAGGTTTTTTGCTTTTTAAAACTTAAAATGCTAATAAATGTGGTAAAAATCCCCCAATGTGCTACAGTAAGTATGTCTTATAATTGCAATGTCAGGGAAGCCTGCTTACCTGAGGCTTTGGTCCTAGAATTTTTGAATATAATGTATAAGACATAACATTACAGGCTGGATAGCCTATTCCAACCAGCACAGCTGATGTGAAGAACTGGGCCAGGTGGATCACTGGGGTGTAGAGGCACCAGGCTTGCTCAACTGGGCAACCAACTGGCCGTTCATTATGATATTCTCTTGCAGACTTCCAAAAACCAATCATAATTTCCCCAAATGTGGTATCAGGGATTGAATTATTATGTAAATCTGTGAAAACAAAATTAGTATGGTGTAGGACTTGCTAATTTTAGCTAAACACCAGGAGATAATGTTATAGAATCATGTACCTTCCCACTGTATTTTGGGGAACTGACTTCCCCAAGGTAACAAGATAAAGAAGCCAACCCACACAACGATGAGTCCTCCCAGTAGAATAGCTCGCTCACCAATCCTGTCAAAGAACAGAAATTCTGTAATTTTAAAATGAAACATAGTAACAAAAGTTCCATTACTTGTATAATTAAAACACTATAAAATTTTGATACTTTTGTGATACTTGTAAATGCAATACATAATTTCCCACTAAAAGCAACCAAGACTTCTATAAAAAAAAATAGCCAATTTCAGGTCTGGGACAGGAAATCCAGAAGTTGAAACTAGAATATCTTTTCCTACTGGAAAGCAAAGAAGCTATTAGTGACTATGAGGTCATGAAAATAGTACTCAGCCAATTTGAAGAAGTTGGCCAACAACTTAGCAATATGAACACCAAAAAGAAAAAATAATAATAATGGGAATTAACTGAAATACAAGAAAGTGTTATAATCTATAAATTCATACTATCCTAAGATGGAACACTCTCTGGTCACTTTTTGAGGATGCCACAGAACCATCTTATCATTTTAAATAACAGTTAAATTAAAGGAAAAAAATCAAACATGTATCCTTTCTTATGCAAACTGTACTGTACCTCACAATAATCAAAGGGTTGGTGAAGAGAAGGTTTTTTTAGTAGAATGTATTCTAGTAAATAAATGTTTTATGGAATTAAAATACAGTTGTCCCCCAGTATCTGCAAGGGATTGGTTTCAAGAGCCCCTTGAGGTTACCAAAATCCAAGGACACTCAAGTCCCTCATGTAAAATGGCACAGTAAAGGGTAATAACCTACAAACATCCTGCTCTGTATTTTAAGTCATCTCTACATTACTTATAATACCTCAAAATATAAATGTATATACTTTTATACTATATTATTTAGGAACTGATGTTGAGAAAAAACTCCAGGTTCAGTGCAGATGCAATTTTCCCCCCAAATATTTTCATCTGAGTTTGGTTAAGTCTATGGATGGGGAGCCTCAGATCTGGAGGGCAAACTTGTCAGCACTTAAAAAGGACCCTTGGATGGATTCAGGAAATGATCGATCGTGACTTACATCATAAGGAGAGAAAAAAGACACGTTATATTTTTTCTCAGGTAAGAATATCACACCACTTATTTTCTTGCCAAAAAATGGAACCCAAATCCCTTTAAACTTTTAGATCTAAGTACAGATCAGTTTTCAAAATATAGTAAACAAAGGGATATTTTACACACTAGCAAGATCCAAAAAGCGGAAACTACAACATAAACATCCTGGCCTCAATTTGTAAGGGGGGAAGAAGAGAAAGACAAAGGGAGGGAAGAAACCAGTCAATGAAAGAGATTGAATCAAGAAAGCAAACCGAGGAACAAACTAAATTCATGTGAAATAGTCAAGAAAACACAAACTCTGTCTAGATATGTGACAATTTTCAGAAATCACTGTTCACTTTTTAGATGTGATGATGGTGTCAATGTTAAACTTTGAGTTAATGAAATATTTATGGAAAGTATGAAATGATGTCTGGTTTCAGGTTCAAAATAATCCAGATGCAGGGGAAAGAAAGTGTGGAGTAGTAGGTGGAGACAAAGATGACACTGTCCCAGTGTATGTAATTGTTGGAGCTAGATAATGGATACTAGAGGTGCAGAACATAATGCTCTCTAGACCTCTGTATGTGGAAGTTTTGCATATTAAGAGTAAAATATATAAACAAAACCAGAAGCTTTCAAAAGCAAACAAAACTAACAACATTTAAAAAAAATTGAAAACCGAAGGCATCCTATCACCCTCAGAGAACCAGTAGGCTCCTCAGCTTTCAAACCTTCTGTACCATTTGGCATTTCTCTAGTTCTACTTTGGTCAAACTGGCCTTTTTGCTTGTTTCTTAAAAACCCAAAAACTCAGTCTTCGCAGAAAAGAGAAGACTGAGTATATGGCTGATCTCCAACTTCACTAAAGTCTTTTTTTTTTTTTTAATGGACACAATAACTTTATTTTGTTTATTTTTATGTGGTGCCTAGAATCAAACCTAGTGCCTCACATATGCTAGACAAATGCTCTAGCACCGAGCCACAACCACAGCCCCTGAAGTCTTTCTGAATATGACTTCCTCGGCCATGCTTCCTGGACCACTCCCAGACTCTTCACAGTGCTCACCAAGACTTGCCTTCACATCATGTTTACTGCCCCCAACACAAGTTCTTTGAAGGTACAGAACTGGACATTTCATATACACAGCACTGCTCTATTTTTGCAGCAAGATTTCTGTCTCCATAGCACCCTCCATTGCAATCTGACCCTACATACCAATTCAATATCTGTTGATTGATTTTAACAAGCATTAGAACTGATTTGGTCAGTTAACATCCTGCATTAGAGTTGGTGACTGAACTTCCTCCAAAGTGTGCTCCTTATAGTTACACTTTCATAAAGAAATTCTTTTAAAAATAGTAGTTTTGAGAAATGCTACAAACTGTATTTGCCATATTATATGATCTTTACATACTAAAGACTTAAATGTTCTAAAATCAATTAGTTCATTAATCTTAACCAAAATTTTCCAAATTTAATCACCAAATCTTTTCTGTTATATAACATATTACATATGGCAGGACAATGTCTTATGAAACACATAAAACTTTTAGAAATACTTTTTAAACTATTTCATAACACACAAAAGCTACATTAGTAGACAGTTATTTGCTTGGTAAAATATTTTGCTTCACCAAAGATAGGCCAGAGGGGCTGTGGTTGTGGATCAGTGATGGAGCGCTTGCCTAGCACGTTCGAGGCCCTGGGTTCGATCCTCAGCAAATAAAGTATAAAAAACATAAAAACAGTATTAAAAAATGCCAGAACACAGAAATATCATGCTTAACAATCTAATTTAAATCTATTTAAAAATTTCCAAAACTAAAACTAATACATAAACGAGAGAAAAATTTTATAGCATATTCACTGACATTGTTATTAGCTAGCTGTGTTTCATGTTTTTTCTTTTTTTAGTTGGACACAATATCTTTATTTATTTATTTTTATGTGGTGCTGTGGATCGAACCCAGGGCCTCGCACATGCCAGGTGAGCGCTCTACCGCTGAGACACAACCCCAGCCCATGTTTCATGTTTTGATTTTTAAAAACTAGATTTGAAACAAAACCAGACAAAACTTACTTTTTGGAAAGTAATTTAACCCCCATGAAAATAACAACTGCCTCAACTCCAAGAGCAGCAAGTATTATTCCATTATACAATACAGCTTGTTCTTGAGTCCAAGCATACATGTCCATTGTCAATGGAGCAAGGATTCTAAGAAAAATAAAAAATAAACCATTGTTATTTTATTTAAATCACAGTAATTGTTAAAATGAAGTATAAGCTTTAATGATACCTTCACATTCAAGTATTTGCATCCCTTTTAACAATGACAATGGCCTACCTATGTTATAAGCAAGATTGAATAAACACATCTTAAGCATATTTTGTTGCTACATACCTAAGCTTCCCTATTTATTAATATTTACTTTAATTACATAAGTAATATAGCTGTAGCTGTACTGCAGAAAGTCTAAAAAACAGGAAAAGGAATTAAACCAAACCAATCATAACCCCTATCATTCAAACATAACTAAATCATTATGATTACTCTTTGGTTTAAACAGATCTCTCTTCTCAGTGAAGCTTTGAGTCTGGGAGGGCGGGCCTGCCAGTGACTGGTCTCCCTTGAGGGTGTTCTTTCTATATGGTGACCAGTGTTCCTCCTTAAAGAACCTCTGCAAAAGTAAATTTTTAAGTTGTCATTTGTATACGCTGCAAGCTGCCCAGAACTGTTCTTATTTGTTTATAAAATAATGCCTATTATTTTAATTATCTTTATAAAATACACTATACTGCTAAAAAAAATAAATAAATTGCTTTATTTCCAGTGAAACGTTGCTAATAAGTATTAGAATCCTTTGGATTATTTTTCTCTTCCTCAGTCTCTTTTATCCCTACCTAAGTATACAGATTTCTCCCTACCTCTGAATTTCTCTCTTCCTTTATATGATTGTCTCCTTCCTTTCCAAGCTTCTTTTCCCACATTTTCCCTCCTCCTGTTAACTGACTACAAAATGGCATTTATATTTAAAATGTTTTTAAAAAGAACAAGTGTAGTTTAAGCTTTAAAATCATGTGAGTTGATAAAGAAAACAGATTGGTCTGGGCTGGGGATGTGGCTCAAGCGGTAGCGCGCTCGCCTGGCATGCGTGCGGCCTGGGTTCGATCCTCAGCACCACATACAAAAAGATGATGTGTCCGCCGATAACTGAAAAATAAATATTAAAAAAATTCTCTCTCTCTCTCTCTCCCCCTCTCTCTTTAAAAAAAAAAAGAAAACAGATTGGTAGTTTCCCAAAAAATTAAGCATGAAAGCCTGGTGTGATGGCACCGGCCTGTAAGCCCAGCAACTCAAGAAGCTGAGGCAAGAGGATCACACATTGAGGCCAGCCTAGCAATTTAGCAAGACACTATCTCCAAAAAAGAAAAACAGTGTGTGTGGAGTGGGGATGTAGCTCAGTGGTACAGCACGCCCCTGAGTTCAATCTCTACTATACCCTAAAGAACTGAAAGCCAAGAGTCAAACAAATATTCATACGTCAATGTTCATAGCAACATTATTTGTAATACAAAAAGTAAAACAATCAAAGTGTCAGCAGATGAACAGATAAATAAAATGTAACAATACCTACAATGGAATATTACTCAGCTTTAAAAAGTTAAGAAATTCTGATATATGCTACAACGCTAAAAACTGCTGAGGCTGGCTTTGAACTTGTAATCCTCCTGTCTCAGCCTCCAGAGCCGCTAGGATTACAGGCATGTGCCACGGCGCCCAGCAAGAATGTACTATCTTTATAGTCTAACAGAAAAGTATTTTTAAAATGAAAGGGCCATATGATAATTAAAGTCAATGAAGCCTACAGGAGATTTTATACTAATTTTTCTTTTTTCATAATCAAGGATTAAATACATCTAAAGTTGCCACACTGAACGCTGCATACATAAATATAGAGCTATATAGCTTAAAGTTAATTAAATCATGATACAAAATTAATATATACTTTTTACATCATAAGAAAAATATGCCCTACATTAGATATTTTATAATATCAGTATGTTTAATTAATACTGCATTAAGAAATACAAATTAATAAATAGTCTGATTTAGATGAAGACAGAATAAAACTTACGTTTCAAAAAGGGCAAATATAAATAAAATCACAAAAAACAGAACATTGGTAGCCACAACAGCAACTTGATCAATATTTCCTTGGGAATCCTGAACTTCATCTATTCTTGCTATAGGTAAATAAGAAAAAAATTAGATTACCTATATATATATATATACTAAAATAATGTGTTACATATAATTAATTCTATAAATAAATATTATTTTTAGGCTTCAAAGAAGTTTAAAAGTAACAGGATTTCTACGACACAAATATTTTTTCCTGCAGTACTGGGCACCATAATACTCACTAAGCTACATCCCGAGTCCTTTTTATTTTTCATTCCGAGGCAGGCTCTCACTACCTTACCAAGGCTGGCCTTAAATTTACAACTATCCTGCCTCAGTTTCTACAGGTCCTGGGATTACAGATGTACATCACAGTACCTGTCCAGGAATAATGGTTAAATCATACTTAAATTTTTAAATGGTACTACACAAAAGTAAAGTGAGAGCTGGGGTTGTGGCTTGGTGGTAGAGCCCTTGCCTAGCATGTGAGGCACTCGGATAGTCTCAGCACCACATACAAATAAATAAAAATATAGGTCCATTGACAACTTAAAAAAAAAAAAGTAAAGTGAACCCCCAACAGGAAAAATATTTCAATTTTTTTTGTGTGTTGGTGATCAAACAAACTAGGGCCCCATACACGTGAGGCAGGCACTTCTGCCTCGAACCCCTGGCAATATACTTCAATTTTCTATCTTCAGGGAACATTCTGTTTGGTATCTCTAATCAAAATGTATGTATTTTACAGAATTTGGTAATAAAATGATATAGAATTCTGTAAGAATGTATTTATTTAAATTTGCTTTAAATTTCAATTGCTGATTTTTTCTATCTTACTAAATCTGAAATTTAAAATGATTTCATGAAGAATTAAAATAGTTTTACTAAATCAGTCCCCAGTCTACGATTCACTTAAATAGATATGTATTTTTAATTTCAATGTTACATGAAATCAGTATTAATAAAAATTCTTATGCCATTTTAAAACACTGCCATTTAAAAAAAAAATCCTTGTTACTCATATCTTACAGAGAAATAACTAGTATTTGATGGGTTTTTTTAATTAAGTGGGAAGGCAAAGTGAGTGTAATGAGTTCTCATCTTGAACCGTGTAGTTAAACTGCACACTTAACTTGAGCTATTCCCAATGTCACTGTGATGTATGCCCCATTTACATCCATACATGTAAACCCATTATGCCATTTTGCAATTCATCCATGTACCCAGCATAAGCCATGTGAGTATGTCAAAATGTGTCACTTATGTACATTATTTTTAAGTGTGCATGTAGTCGCAGGAAGGGGTTGGTACAACTCTCCTATGACAGTAAAGTTTCTATCATTTTTAATGATGGAATCTGCCTTTCTACCTCAGCATGCGAGAGAAGGATATCTTCCTCCAATAAAAAGTAGATCTGGAAATAGTCTACTAGACTTGGGCGGAATTAGCAACTTGAGATATCTAGCTTGAGACCTTCCTTTCTTCTAACCATGCAGAGAGAACAGGTCACCTTTGTTTAGATCTTTTTTTTTTTCCCCTTTAAGTTGTAGTTGGACACAATATCTTATTTTTATCTATCTATTTTTATGTGGTGCTGAGGATTGAACCCAGGGCCTCGCATATGCTAGGCAAGTGCTCTACCGCTGAGCCACAATCCCAGCCCCTTGTTTAGATCTTCTTCAAGGTCCTTGGGGCCCAAATACTGTTTTGATTATTATTTTTTTGGTAGTGCTGGGGATGGAACCCAGATCCTCACACATGCTAGACAAGCACTCTACTCCTGAGGTATATTCCCCACATCCCTTGTACTGTTTTGGATAGACCTCCTTGATTTTCAATCACTACCTAGAAGGCAGTCTTGACTTCTTCAAATCAACTATCAGCACTGCCCCAAGCCAGACTAGAATTTACACTGTCTTAAAAAATACAAAGAGCTGGGGATGTGGCTCAGTGGTTAAGCACCCCTGGGTTTAACCCCCAATTCATTAATAAATAAAAAAACAAGAAAAAAAAAGAATTTTGAGGAAAGACTACATTAATATATTGATTTTGAATTCTATGTAAGTGGAAATTATCATCCCAGGATAAACCTCTATAAACTAGAATATTTTAAAATTGATTATGAACATTTTATCTAAACATGTTCTAAAATTTAAAAACAATTTTATATGAAAGTGCTTGGCAAATTAACACCGGGTCTTTTCCATAGCTTTGAAAATTCACTGAGGGTAGGGACCAGGCTACAGTTTAACATGGAAAGACAATCCCCAACAAGGACAGTTAGCACTTAAATAATAGTGTGTTTGGTAATATATATCCACTTCCTAGGTTGGACATTATTTATGAGACAAAGAAAGATCTAAAGGATGAAAAATGTACATTTACAAAGTATAATAAAAGAATGAAAAAAAAAGAGAAACCATATGGCAATAAAGAGAAACCATAAGGCAATAAAGAATTACTTGAAACAGAAAGGCACAGTTTTAGAAAACTGATTGTTCGAAAATAACACGAAATAATTCTTAGCAATTTTTTTTTGGAGGTGCGGGAACTGGGGATTAAACTCAGGGGCACTCAACCACTGAGCCACATCCCCAACTTTATTTTGTATTTTATTTAGAGACAGAGTCTTACTGAGTTGCTTAGCATCTCACTATTGATGAGGCTGGCTTTGAACTCTCGATCCTCCTGCCTCAGCCTCCCCAGCCACTGAGATTACAGGCGTGCGCCATGGTGCCTGGCTTAGCAATGGTTTTAACTCATAATAAGCCAACATGAGAGAGTCAAATAACTGATATGGGAAAATTTCTTTTAAAAAAAATCAATTTAGGTACCTTTCAGTTTTGAAGCTTTTTCCCAAACACCCATTATACTGTCCTCAGAAGAATAATCCAGGCAAACAACAAACAATCATTAGAAACACTTTGATAATGCCAAAGTAATTTACTCAAATAGGTGAACAGTACCTTCTTCAAAATTAATATTTTTACACTGTCGTCCTGAGTCATCCACTCGATGTTCTCTTAAAAAGAAAAATGTAAATACTGTATTTTGAAAATGATTAATATAATACAGAAACAGTTCAGATTTAATTCTAGTTTTCTATTTTTTTACATTCTGATATAGTTTCCTTAATGACTTCTGAGTAATGAAATTACTACTGATGAATACAACCAATAAACTTAAAAAGACAGAAGTTATAATTCATATCATACTAACCATAAAATGAAAAAAAATACCCAATGCATCCAAAAGCATATGTGATCTACTTTAGTCAGTATTTTAAATTTTCAGTGATCTGAAACATTAGATACAAACGCTTTTGGACAATTGAATAAAGCATTCTAAAGAAACAAAGTTAATAAAACATCTGTAATTTTCTAAAATTATCTCTAATATAAGAGACATACATTCCAAGCAACTTGTAAATTTAAGACACTTATCCATTCATCTACTTAAAATGCTGCTTCAGTGACATTCCCTTACTTAGAAACACGTAGTCAATAGGACCAAATCTTGAAAACAAATAAGATTAAATTTTTAAAAAGATCAAATCTTGAATATTCAAAGATCTTCATAATCTGTGCTCATTTATCAAGTTGTCTACTATTATAGTTGCCATCACTACATACTTTAACTGATCAAAGAATGTGAACACAACTATAATAAATATCAAAAACAAAGACTACATAGGGATAATTTTCTACCAAAAATGACAAATCTTATTAAAATTTATATCTATGAAAATTTATATCATCATCTCTAATTACCTTAACACAGTGATGATCAGAATAATGTTTAAAACTCCAACGAAGGCATTAAGTAAAGCTGGTGCTGTATACATGTCTATCTGTAGCTTAATCATATCCCATGTCACGCCCTTTTCTCCAATTAGAGCAAAACAAGTCTGAAAAACTTATTAAAATAAAATGTACACAAATGAATTATTATATGGGAGGCACAGGCTTCAAAAAAAGTAAGACATTTGTCTCAGAATGGAAGTCACATTAAGGAATCATCCATCTACATCACGCATTCCCCACAGCAGCAAGAAAATTGGTTCTTATTGCGGGGTGGCAACAACAATTCCCTTCTTCTATTGTAAAGCACATAAAAATAGATGAAGAGATGTGGCATTGAAATTTCATGGGGGTGGAGTAACTCGGAAAAAAAATGTCTGAAAAGACTCCTTAAGGAGACAATAATAAAAGAGTGAGAGAAACTGACGTATGTGCATCCACAAAGGACTATATCTAAGTTACTTGTCAATATCTCCTTTTTTTGCTTTTTGTTTTTGGAGGTATAGGGTGGAGGAGTGGGGAGGAGTGCTAGGCATGAACCCCAGCATTTCAAGGATGCAGAGCACATGCTCTACCATGGAGCCACACCCCAGCCCCAGGATCTTCTTTTCTCAAAAAAAATTCCAATTGGAAATTTAAGTTATACAGTTTCTTCAATAAATAAATTATAAAAGTTTAATCAGTTTCATTATAACAAAGAAAACATCATATTTTAGGTCAAATATTTTAAATATCACTATTTTTATATCCAAATTATATATATTTGATATAATTTAAAATTTGATCTGTGGCAAAACTGGACATCAACAGTACTGTGGTTTGCTTTCCTGTCTGAATTCTATATGAGGCTCTGTTAATCACTAGCATATAACCTTAGGGTGAGGAGGAAGTGAGATGCTGTACCTAAAGAACAGTGCCCAGACCATAGCAAGCATTCAGTAAATGCACCGCTTGTTGAGTGCTTACTACTGAAGAAGCCATCAAATCTCTTCAGGCTTCCATTTACTTATCTATAACACAAACTGTTTAAATGAGATAATCTTTCAAAACTTTGAAGGTGGTCAACAATATTCTATCTACACAAGGTATTGTGCTAATAATGAGGAGGCACAGTGAAAAATAAGAAGACCCAGGCTATGTCCTCGTGTACTTTACAGTATAGCCTTAAGGTTCAACCCGTCTACATTTGTGCTTATATTTGTTCCAGAATATTAAACCAAAATATTAGGATTCGGATAAACCTATGAATTAGACCCTATTCTGTTGAGCTATTTTTGGCTCAAGAAAAGGAAGTAATGGGAACTGAGGGTGGGGGTGAGGTGCTAATGATGAAGTAAACTGAGTTAGATCAAAACTGATAATATTCATAAATGTAATCAACAGCCAAAGCATAGACCAAGTATCTGGATTTTCAATATTTTCTGGACATTAAAAATGACGGTAATCATTATACAAAATACATGCATGAAGATGTGAATTTGGTGTCAACATACCTTATATACAAACAGAGATATGATAAATTTTGGTATAAAGATATATTAAGAATTGTAATACAAAAAAAAAAGAGAGCTCATGTATAATGGCATAATTTGGCATGAACATACTTTATATACAGAGTTATGAAAAATTGTGCTGTGAATGGATAATTATGAATGAAATGCATTCCACTATTGTCATGTATGTAAGAAATTTTTAAAAAGTCCCAATAAACAACAACAAAAAAATTTTAAAAAGCATATCATATGAAATTTCTGAAAAGCAGTAATAAAGAAAAGGTACTAAAACAACAACAACAAAAATCAGCCAAAGAAACAAAGACATATTACATACAGGGAAACACATTTTTAAAAAATCATAGATATTTAACATGAAATATATGAAATAATACACATGAAATAATCAACAACCAAAACAACATAATAACAAAAGAAACCAGTCCCAAATAAAGAATCATACCACATATTTCCAAGTATATGAAATTCTAGAATGGGAGAAAATAAATTATAATGACAGGGAAAGTGGAATAGTTGAAAATAAAATCGTGTACAGCAAACTTCTGAGATAATCAATGCTTTATATTTTGATTGAAACGACATAATTCATATATTTGTCAAAATATCAAAGTATACTTCTAATTGGGTACATTTTATTCTATGTACATTATTTCTGAATAAAGTTGATTTCAAACACACTGGAAAAAAATGACTAATTTCTCTACTCAGCCAAATGAATTTGCCTTGGGGAATTATTAAAATCATATTAATTTTTTTTTACACTTAGCAAAAGGATAGAGGCTTTGGAAGAAATAGTAAACACTTTCAACCGGGCATGAGAGTGCACACCTATAATCCCAACAACTCCGGAGTTTGAGGCAGGAGGATCACAAGTTCAAGGCCAGGCTCAGCAACTTAGCAAGGCCCTAATCAACTTTTCGAGACCCTGTCTCAAAATAAAAAATAAAAAGGGCTGTGGATGTGGCTCAGTGGTTAAGCAACCTGAGTTCAATCCCAATGCCCCACCCTATCCCCCAAAAATCCACAAAACGAAACACATTTTCATTTTCTTCAGCCGTAGAAAAGTCTTAAAACTATGGGCAAAGGGTTAAAGGGTAAAGAATCTTATAACTTTCCTCAAATACTTTAGTAAAAAGAATTGTTTCCAATAAATGGAAAAATAAACTCTTGCAGAGATGTCAGATCAAACTGATTAGTTGACAAGAGTCAGAGTTAGGTCCGAACCTGAATTTCCCATTTACTATCTGGGTAACCAATTTTCTTAGGCTCTCTCTGCTTTTAGCATCCTCATCTGTAAAGTGGGACAAATAGCATTTAACTTGAGAGAACTGGTGTCAAGGTAAAATGAGCCTTGCCTCACTGCCAGATCACTTGCCTAGCACACAATTGAACCTACCCTTTGGTTCAATCCCCAGCACTGCAAAAAATTAAGTAAAAATAAAAATTTAGTTTCCCTCATTTTGCCCATCAGCCAGGAGGTTTTATACTGGATTATATGTATCTTTAAAACACAAGGGTTTCCCCAATTCAAATTCAAATCATGACAAGTGAAGAGCACCTACCTGGACCTAGAATAAATCCTAATGCTTGACACGTGCTTGTATTGGCCATAGAACTTGTTCTTTCCTGAAGGGAAGTAGCACCAGCAATATATGATCTAACCACTGCAACATTTCCTAAGAAAAGACACAATAAACCACAATAAAAGAGAATATCCTTCAATTTATAACATGGCACTTAATTTGGCTCTACGCAAAAAAAGAAATGTTGGTCAACATTATAGTCACTGCTTCCTCTTTATGATCATACAAACCATTTAAGAAATGTTTATTGAACAAATGCATGAATTAATGGAAAACAGAATTTTTAGTAATATTAAAACAGTTTTGGATAGAAAAATGGCATTATAAAAATATCAAACTTTCTCCATTAAGCACTCAGAAAACTATGAGTGAATGGCATACTACCATTTTTTATTTGCATCTATTTTGAGACAGAAAGTTGCTCAGTTGTTCAGACTGCCCTTGACCTCTTACCTTAGCCTCACAAGTAGCTGGAACTATAGACATGCACCACCATACCAGGCTTACAACTATTTTTAAAGGAAAGTCACAAACTCTGCATGCATAGACCTGAAATATATGAAACGGGGGAAAAAGCCAATAACAATTTACCTCAAGAGTTTTATTGAGCCAGGTGTGGTAGGGCATGCCTGTAATCCCAGATGCTTAGGAGATTAATACAGGAGTATCACCAAGTTCCAGGCCAGCCTGGGCAACTTACCAAGACCCTGTCTCAAAATACAAAATATAAGAGGGACTGGGGATATAGCACAGTGATAGAGCAACCCTGGATACAATTCTCAAAACCCAAAAAACTTTTTCTGAGCACTTACTATGTTCAAGAGACTCTGCTAGGAGCCAGAGAAGATTAAAAAGTGTCATAACTATCTCTAATTGCAAAGAGCTTACCATCTGACTAGCAAGAAAGGATTAAACCATGCAAGACTATAAGAAAGTCCCAGAGAGAGATCAGAGAAAAGGAAGATCGAGGGATAGAGTGGTGTGGGAGGGCTTCACGTAAGATTTAGAAATTAATCTGCATCTTGAAGAATAATGATGGGAACAAAGGAGAAAACCTACAGGTAATGAAACACAATGAGCAAGGCAAAGTGACAGGAAAACATATTTGCCTCTTTGTAAGAAAAGATGTCTGTGCCCAATTGTGAGATACTAGACTAAGAAGAAATAAAGCCAGGCAAGAGGGCATAAACATTAGGATGAATGTGAAGTTGACACAATCAGACATATACATACAAACATATTACCTGCTCCAAATCCCACCAATCCACGAGCGGCCAACATGTAGTATTTATTATGAGAAGCTGGAACGTGGACATATGCATAGAGGCAGTTGGCTGCCACTGAAATAAAGATGGAGATGACGAGAGGTTCTTTCCGTGGTCTATGGTTAGACCATAAACCAAATATAGGTGAAGCTACCATTTGACCAATACTAAACGAAGCAATAACCCAGCCCAAAAAACTTGCATCAGCTGTCTGATCAATCTGCAAAAAAAAAAATAAAAATAAACACAATGCTTTAAGAATTGTTTACCCAAGAAAGGTAAAGTTTAAATACATTTGTCTGACCATGTAAGTCTTTCTATTAAAAAACAGAAATAATTCTAACATAGAGGTTCTGAACTCTATTACAGGAAAGAATTCAAACTTCTGACATTACAATTAAATGTGCTAACAATTCACTGTGTTAGAAACAATGAGGTGCCACCAGAAATCAAAAGCAAGTGGACAAGGCAAACTGTACTTCTGACAGAGAAGCAAGCTAAGGAACCTGGCCAGCAAGGACGCCTAGGTGGGCAGTCTGCCCGTTCATATACCTCAGACAGCACTACCTGCATTCTGATTGGAAGACTTGGGATACAATCTACACTATTGGTTTATTTTAAAATTAGGGAGAGCAAAAGGGAAAGACTATAATTGAAGTGGCTACAATTGGATCCAATGAAGGCTGAATACTATATTCTGAAAATGCACCACCAGACTTTCTATTTCTCACACTGTATACAGGGAAAACATAATTAAGGGAGCTTCATTTTTTGCTTAATTTTTATGGAAATAAGTGGTGCATAAAAATCTTGTTGAAAAGATAATTATACTTTATATATGTTTTATATATACATATAAAAATAATAACTTCATAAAAATAATGAGGTATTCCTTAATTCTTATAAATACAATTTTTTATATTTATGCTATCCCATGAGCAGACATTAGTGTGGTAAATCTATTACTATTATTTTTTACACTGGGCATAATGGTCAGATGGGTAAAACACAAAAGCTGACAATTCTCTTATTAAAAGAATTACTAATTCTTCCTTTCAACATACAGGGTCCATTCTGCTACTTAAAGAAGGTTTAGTTTTGGTTTTGGTTTTGATGCTACTAGGAATTGAACTCAGGGTCTTTTGCATGCTAGGCACATATTCTATCGATGACTTACATCCCTAGACCTAAGGAGGGTTTACTATCATGAAAAGTGAAGAGAGAACCAAATGACTAAAACTCAGAAAATACAACACTTTCAGAAAAATAGAAAACTTTCGTTTAGAAAAGGGACTGTGAAACAAATCAACATAAACAGTCACTTGGGGGAAACAAGAACCATTAAACTTTATAAAATGAATTTAAATAAATATAGAAAATCAACTTAAAAATCAAGAGCTAGGTGTGATGGTACATGTCTATAATCCCAAGTACTCCAGAGGCTGAAGGATCACAAATATGCAGCAGCCTCAGCAACTTAGTAAGATCATGTCTCAACATAAGAAATAAAAAGAACTGGGAATGTAACTCAAGGGTAAAGTGCCTTGGGTTCAATCCCCAGTCCAAAAAAAAAAAAAAAAAATTAAATAAAAATAAACTCCCAAAGTGTTGGGTACTGAAGTTCAAAACACTGTTCTCTAAAATGCAACAGTACTGACAAAGTCAAAGTTCTAGCAATGTTAATGCTTTGCTAGGAGAACTTAGATATGAATGTGTGTGTTTCAAAGCTCCTCACCTATTATCGTGAGATAATTGCTTAAATGTAACATAAACTCTATATCAAAAACTTATGACAGGCAATAGGGATACAAAAAATAAACACAGTCCCTACCATTAAGGAATGTCCCAACTAGGTTCTACTTAGCTCCATTTGAAAAATCCTGAGTAGCTGAGAAAATAAATAATATGCTTTATTATTTATATTATAATATAATATATTTGGATTTTTTGTTTGTTTTTGTCTTCATACCAGGCATTAAACCCAGAGGCATTTAACCACTAAGTCATATCTTCAGTGTTGAGAGCCACAGCTGAAAGGGCCCCAGCAAACTTCCAGCTGCCAGCAAACTTCCAGCTGCCAGCTGATGATTGGCTCACAGCAGCCCCAGCAAACTTCTAGCTGCCAACTGATTGGCTCCTCTGCGGTGATGCTCATTGGGCTGTTTCCCTGCCCTTTCAGACCATGGAGCTGCTCATTGGGGGAATTTTTTGGCTCCGCCCACACGACCCAGCCAATCAGCCTCAAGAAGAGGAGGAGTGTGGGAGGTGGAGAGGCTTGTGGGAAGCCGGTGGTGGCAGATGGGCTCTGAAGGTTTTTCCTGAGGAGCTGTTTTGTTTGGCCAGTGTGGGTTCTAAAAATAAAGTTCGTGTCTTTTGACTAGTGGCTCCTGAATTGTGCCTAGCCAGACTGCGGCACTTCAGCCCATTTTTTAGTTTTAATTTTGTGCGAGGGTCTTGCTAAGTTGCTTAGGGCTTCACTAAATTGCTGAGGCTGGCTTTGAACTTGTGATCCTCCTGCCTTCACCTCCAGCGCCTGTCTGGGATTACATGTGGGCACCACCAAGCCTAGTCACTTTAATTCTGTATCAGTCAGGTGGGGATAACCTCCTCCAGAGTTTTTATAAAAATTATTTGAGCCAACATATGTACAGTGCTTAGGAGCAGGTCACTATATTACATGCACTTGGTGACTTACCTATACAATATAAGGACAAATATTTCTTAGTGTTTTCTTTTAATAATATGCCAGTTTTATTATCATGCTATATTATCATAACTCATCAACTCCCTGACACAATGAAATAAGCTATCACTGTAATTCATACTTTGTGTTCTAAGAATGTGTCTTCCTAGAGGTCATCCCCACCTTTGGGCAACACTTCATTGATGCCTGTCTGTCACCAGGGGCCAGGAGACACATATTCAGAATAGAACCAAATTCTTTTGGAAAATTTGCTGCTTTTTCTTTATTTGTTTTGTGGGAGAAAAGTTTAGCCTAGCTTTTATCTTTCTGACAGATGATAAGCTAGATAATATTTTGCACACACTATCTTAAAAGCAAGATATCATGCAACATACTATCATAAAATAATTAGTATCCTGAAATTCAGAAAATGTCTGCCATTTTCTAGCTGTGTCACCTTGGACAAAGAACTTGTCTTCTCAGCCCAAATTCTTCACGTGTCAAATAGGACTAACAGTAACTACCTCCCAGGGTTGCTCTGAAGTTCAAGGATGATGTAGATAAATCTTAGTACTTTCCAGATTGGCTGCACCAATTTGCAGCCCCACCAACACTGTATGAGTGTGCCTTTTCCCCACATCCTCGCCAACACTTATTGTTGTTTGTCTTCATAATAGCTGCCATTCTGACTAGAGTGAGATGATATCTTAGAGTAGTTTTGATTTGCATTTCTCTAATTGCTAGCGATGATGAACATTCATATATTTGTTGACTGACTGTATACCATCTTCTGAGAAGTGTCTGTTCAGGTACTTGGCCTACTTACTGATTGGGTTATTTGTTTTTTGGTGCTTAGCTTTTTTAGTTCTTTATATATCCTAGAGATTAGTGCTCTATCTGATGTGTGAGGGGTAAAGATTTGCTCAGAAGATGTAGGCTCTCTATTCACATCACTGATTGTTTCTTTTGCTGAGAAGAAATTTTTTAGTTTCAGTCCATCCCATTTGTTGATTCTTGATTTTAATTTTTGCGACTGCTGGTGGGGCTGCAAATTGGTGCAGCCAATATGAAAAGCAGTATGGAGATTTATTGGAAAACTGGGAATGGAACCACCATTTGATCCAGCTATCCCTCTCCTCAGTCTATACCCAAAGGACTTAAAAATAGCATAATACATGGACACAGCCATATCAATGTTTATAGCAGCACAATTCACAATAGCTAAACTGTGGAACCCACCTAGATGCCCTTCAATAGATGAATGGATAAAAAAAATATGGCATATGTACACAATGGGATATTACTCAGCAATAAGAGAGAATAAAATCATGGCATTTGCAGGTAAATAGATTTAGAGAAGATAATACTGAGTGAAGTTAGCCAATCCCAAAAAACCAAATGCTGAATGTTTTCTCTGATATAAGGAGGCTGATTCATAGTGGGATAGGGAGGGAGAGCATGGGAGGAATAGACAAACTCTAGATAGGGCAGAGGGGTGGGGAGGGGATATGGGGTTAGAAATGATGGTGAAATGTGATGGACTTATTACCCAAAGCACATATATAAAGACACAAATTGGTGTGAATATATTTTGTATACAACCAGAGATATGAAAAAAGGTGCTCTATATGTGTAATAAGAATTATAATGCATTCCGATGTCATACATAAATTTTAAAAATTAATTTAAAAAAGGCTTAGTATTATACCTGGTACACAGGAAATTCTCAATATCATTATGAAATTTCTTGATTAAATTGATACAGTTTTGGGCAGAAGTTACATTTGTATTGCCAAAGGACTAGTTATCAGCTCACAAACTCAATAAATTTACATTTAAAAGCTGTCAAATGTCTACAGAAAGACTTGTAACTTTTCAAAATTCAACTTATTATGCAGAACATGCAGAATCATTACAAACAATCTTCCTTTGAGACTTTTGCAGGTTAAAAAGACTAGATAAGGGACTGGGGTTGTAGCTCAGTGGTAAAACATTTGCCTGGCATGTGTGAGGCCCTGGGTTTAACCCTCAGCACCACAAAAAAAGTAAATAAAATAAAGGTATTTGTCCATCTACAATTTAAAAAAAAGACTATATAAAAGAAATGTAATTTTAGCAAAGAAACAGTTGCTTCTAATTTGTTAAATATCCTGTTTAAATTCCAATGACTCTGCCAATATGGAAAGAATGCTTTGTGTCATGATAATAATTTTTTTTATATAACATAACTTTTAAAATTAACTTCCAAGGATCTGAGGATATGGGTCAGTGGTAGAGGGCTTGCAAGTACATGCAAGGCCCCTGGTTCAATTCCTAATACTACAAACGAAATGTATGCTACATTTGTCACAGATTATGAACCAATACTGATAATTAGTATTAATGAAAGTCTGTGCTTTATTCAAATTTTCCCAGATCTTACCTAATGACCTTTTTCTGTTCTAAGATCTCACCCGGATACCACATTATATTTAGTCCTCATGGTTTTTTAAATATATATTTATTTTTTAGTTGTAATTAGACACAATACCTTTTTATTTTATTTATTTATTTTTATGTGGCGCTGAGGATTGAACTCAGGGCCTCACACATCTAGGCAAGCACTCTACCACTGAGCCACAACCCTAGCCCCAAGTCCTCATGTTTTTTTTAGATTCCTCTGAGCTGTGACAGTTTCTCAGACTCTCCTTATTTTTTATGACTGATTTGTCTGATGTTTTCCTCATGATTAGAACAGCGTTATGAGCCTTTTTATGATATCCTTCAATGGTACACACCACCGTACAATGGAATAGCATTCTATTATACAAATGTACCACATGTTGCTTCTCTACTCATTGCTTTAAGTATCTGTTGTATACTTCAGCTTTTGGCAATTATAATTAAAGTTACTATAAACATTAGTATGCAGATTTTTGTGTGGACATAAATTTTCAAATCAGTTAGTTAAATATCTGGAAGCATAACTGCTAGATGCTACACTAAAACTATATTTAGGTTTTTTTAAGAAACTCCCAAGTGGCTGTACCATTTTGCATTCCCACCAGGAACACATGATAAATCATATTCTCTCTCTCTCTCTCTCCTTTTTTTTTTTTGGGGGGGGGGGGGGGGGGGGGGGGTGGGGATACTAGGTAGGGATTCAACCCAGGTGCTTTACCTTTGAGCTACCTTCCCAGACCCATTTTTTATTTTGAGACAGGGTCTCACTGAAAAGTATACTGAATAAGCATAGACTTTTTCCCCTTGTTATTATTCTCTAAATAATAGAATTTAACCTTCTCAAGTTTTCTATGTTTATTTTTTAAATATTTTTGTAGTTGTCAATGGACCTTTATTTTATTTATTGATATGTGGCACTGAGAATCGAACCCAGTGCCTCACACATGCCAGGCAAGCGCTCTGCACTGAGCCACAACCCCAGCCCTCTATGTTTATTTTTAATATGATGCTTTATAAATTTTTTTTTAATTTTTATTATTGGTTGTTCAAAACATTAAATAGTTCTTGACATATCATATTTCATACATTTGATTCAAGTGGGTTATGAACTCCCATTTTTACCCCGTATACAGAATGCAGAATCACATCGGTTGATGCTTTATAAATTAATAACAAAATCTATTACACATAAAAATAATAGAGTTTAACAAACATTTACATAGCATTTACACTTTATTAGATATAATCTAGGAATAAATAAAGTCTCTGGAGAATGTGAAGAGATTCCATGTAAATTTTACTTAAATAAATCATTTTACTTAAGGGATTTGAGCAGCCATAAATTTTTGTATCCTGGGGTAGGAAGTCCTAGATATCAATATCCCAAGAAAACCAAGGGAATACTGCATATTATCTATTCTATTCATAATGTTGCCCAACAATCCAGATTAATTCCAAGGGAAAAATATGAAATTATCCCTCAGGAATATCATCTGTATATTTTGTGGATTAAGACTATGTCCAGCTATAATCCTGTCTTCTTAGTATAGCATCCATTTTACTCCAAATGTGTTCTGGTTTGCCCAAAACATATTCTGTTACTTTACTTACAAGGCTCTTTTGAGGAACTATGTTCTAAAGTTATTCTAGTAGAGATTAAACTACAGAATACTAAAGAGCTCCTCTAGAAAATGTTCAGCTACTTAAAACTTACTACGACTACAGTTACTTATGAAAACAACAGATAGAAATGTACAAACCTTTTGGAGATATGGCCATATTGACATTATCACAATAGAAAACCCTGTAAAGAGGCAAACCTGGTTATTTACAATTATAACAATTTAATCACTATTACAGATATAATTTTTGGAATTACAGCATGGATTTTAAAGTATCATTCTAAACCTATAAATTTGTACACACAAATGCATAATTTATCAAAAAGTGTCATTTTTAATTATTGAAAGGAAAATGAATACTAAAGACTGAAAAAAAACAGAATCATAGTACATGCCCATAATTAAGACAATAAAAGCAGAGAACCTATTTCTCCTCCCTCATGTAGTCTCATCTCTAAATGGACATTACTAAAAGCTTTAAGTGTTTATAGCAGACATAAATAGAGGAAAGGCCACATTGTTAGACAGGAAGTGGCAGGCTTTTAGCCTGTGTTCTTTGGGATAGAGAATTCACTGTAAGGGAAGACTAGGAAAAAGGAAAATGGTCACATACAGGGAGTACTGGATATAAAGAACCAAGATTATTCATAATGTACATATCTTTTAAAAATTCACTATCACTACAAGCCTTTACTGCTTAAGAACTTCAGTGATAAAATGCCAATGCTATTTATCAATTTTACTTGTTTGTTTCTCTCTCTGTATATGTGTGTGTGTTGCTAGAGATCAAATCCAGGGACTCACACAAGTACTCCACCACTGAGTTATAACCACAGCCTTATTTGTCAATTTTAAAGGTTAACCATATCAATCAGAAATTCTAGAAAGCCTATTTGTAAAAAAGTTTAACTGAGATATAATTCACATACTATACAATTCACCCATTTAAAGTACACATTGGGTAGGCGAGTAGTGCAAGCCTGCAATCCCAGAGACTCAGGAAGCTGAGGCAGGAGGATGGCAAGTTTGAGGACAGCCTTGGCAACTTAGCAAGAACTTTAACAATTCAGTGAAACCCTGTCTCTAAATAAATAAATAAATAAAAGGTCTCAGGATGAGGGTTAAATTGACCCCTGGGGTTAAATTCCAAGTACCAAAGGTAAATAAATAAAAAGTATTATTATCCAATGCTGAATCATGCATAGGACTGGCAGGTGAGAAAAAAACAGGAATATACAAAAAAAAAAAAGTCTACTAGAATGACCTACATTAAATTTATCTTCTAAAAGAAACCACTTGTAAAAATCAATGCCTACAAATTTAAAGAATCTAAACTTGGAAAAAAGTTAGTTCTCTAAAACATTTCACAATATTGGTAATTCTTATGTTTCCTCATCCTTAATTCCCCAGTACTGGGAATTAAACCCAGGGGTGTTCTACCACTGAGCTACATCCCCAGCCCTTTATTTTTATTTTGAGACCAGATCTTGCTTAGTTGCCCAGGCTGGCCTCGAACTTGTGATCCTGCTATCTCAGCCTCTTGAGTCACTGGGATTACAGGTGTATGTATCAGCCCTCTTATTTTTAATATGGTTACAGATATTGATATTCTGAAAAGATTTCCTTATAAAATTTTACTTTTAAGTAACTATATATTTATAAATAATGATACTACATTAAAATTCATTAAGCAACACCAATCAATATTCTCATACTTTACTATTTGTATGTTATGGCAATGAGAAAACTAAATTAAGGCTCAAAGATAACAACAACATAAATTAAAAAAAAACAGTTAAACTAACTACATCAAAATTTAATGACACTTCATTCACGTAGTCGCAGCTTTTCAGGAGGGTGGGAGGTTGGGTGGGAGAACGATTTGAGCCCAGGAGTTCAAGTGGGAGTTATTTAACAAGTATAAAGTTTCAATTTTATAAGATGAGTATATTTTAGAGATTGGTTACATAACAATATGAATAAGATATGCTTAAACCACTGAATTCAGATAGGGTAAGATGATAATTTTTATGTTATGTATTTTTCACACCCTAACAGGTAATTTTAAATGAGGTAAAAATTAATTTTGAATTTCTTAAATTTTTTATAATGTCTAATACTTACCTACACTGCTGAGAAACATAGTAAGATACAGAATCCTAATAGATCTCCATCGGCTCTTATAATGCTCTTCAGTTTCTATAATGTCCCATTCTCTAAATGTTAAGGATAAAAAGTAATATAGGTTGAGCATCCTAAATCTGAAAACCCAAAATCCAAAATCTCTAAAATCTGAGACTTTTTGAGCACGAACACGACACCAAAGTGGAAAATTTTACACATAAACCCCACATGATAGGTCATAGTCAAAACATAAACACACTAAAAATACTGTATAAAATTACCTTTGAATATTCCACAATCTGGAAAAACCTAAAACCTGAAGCATTTCAGATAAATCTATACAAACTGAATATCCTTGTCTCATTATGTGTTTGGCGTGTGTGGTTCTAAAAATAAAATTCATTTCTTTTGACAAGTGGCTCCTGAATTGTGCCCAGCCAGACTGCGGCATTTGATGGCCCGCACAGGGAAGCACTCCTCCGGTGCGCGTTGATGCTGACGAAGTAGCCTGAGGCCGTGGCCAGAAGAGTGGCCAGGAGCTCAGCGACGGTCACCATGGTGGGGCTGGGGCCAAAGCCAGGACCCAGACCCGGGCCTCCAGAGCCGCCACCACTGCCTCCACAGCTGCCGGCTGCCTTAGCTCCGCCCCTTCCGCTTTTTTTTTTTTAAAGAAATGAACTTTATTTTTAGAACCACACGCGCCAAACAAAACAGCTCCTCAGGAAAACCTTTAGAGCACAACTGCCACCACCGGCTTCCCACAAGCCTCTCAACCTCCCCCACTCCTCCTGCTCTTGAGGCCAATTGGCTGGGTCTATGGGCGGAGCCAAAAAAGTCCCCCAATGAGCAGCTCCATGGTCTGAAAGGGCGGGGAAACAGCCCAATGAGCATCACCGCAGAGGAGCCAATCAGTTGGCAGCTAGAAGTTCCTGGGGCTGCTGTGAGCCAATCATCAGCTGGCAGCTGGAAGTTTGCTGGGGCCCCTTCGGCTGTGGCTCTCAACAACTATGAGCAGATCTTTATGTGTTAATAATTTTCTCTTGCTTTAAGTTTGCAAATGGTATGACAGAGATGTAATTTACAAATACTGTTTTCTGCTGTACTAATCATATAAATGAGCAAATTTTAAAAATTTCCATGGATCATATGTAGAAACAGTAAGTATAATTTACCCTTTATTGTATACAGATACTTAGAAGACAGAAGATAGCTTTAAAAAGCAAAACATTTGCACACCGACTATTTTGCTATTGTTGGCATATACAAATCACAAGGGGACGTAGGTTAATAGCAGTACTGTGTTTGCCAAAAAACTTTGAATTCATTATTGAAGAACAAAACAGAATCCATACTCTAAGAGGACAGGAGAAATGTGTGCTCACTGAGGGAACAGTATAATGATTTAACATCTACAGAAATAAGAAAAAAGAAACTGATTCTATAAAGATCTGATCAATCAGGACAGAAGCCCCAGTAATATTGTTTTTCTCAGAGACTGAAATTGCAAAGAAAACTTGGAAGCACCTATAGCATTTTAGGTTACTCTAAGAGAGAAATAGCAAACTATATTCTGTAGGCCAAATCTAGCCCACCACCTTTTCTGTATGACTTATGAGGTAAGAATACTTTTTACCCATGGATATTTTTTATCAATTTAATGTCTGAAAACACTAATTTTGAACTCCAATTAAGGAAATGTCATTCTCTTAAAATGCTATTCCTCTCATTAATAGACCAATGTTACAAAATATTTTATTCACTTATATTTAAAATTTTTTACCAAAAACTTTTGTAGAATTTGTTTTTTTGTTAGTATTTATCCTTATATTCTTGACTTTTACTTTAGGCCTGATAAAGCCTAAAATACTTCCATCTGGGCCTTCCCAGGAAAAGGTTATCCATCACTGTTCTCCTTAATGAAGCTCTATAAAGGAGGTCCATTGGGAAGCACTGGAAACTCAAGAATGGAATTGGAAACTAACCCCTCCATGTCAGCAAATTATAACCAACCTTATTAGACAACAAGGACTATGGTTAACCAGACTCATGTCTGTGCCAGATAGTCAAATTGAACAAGGCCTGACAGGTTCAATTTGTTAAGGAATTAAATTATGTTTTTAAACATAGTATACTTATTGAATTATTCTCAAAATATTCTTTTTATTTTTAAAATGTTAAATCTTAGCCAGCCACAGTGGTGCATGCTTAAAATCCCAAGGACTTGGGAGGATGAGGCAGGAGGATCTCAAGTTTGAGGCCAGCCTAGGCAAACTATTGCAACTGTAATTCAAAAATAAAAAAAGAAAGGGGCTGAGGATACAGCTAGTAGTAGAGCACTCCATGTTCAATTCCCAATACCATAAATACATTGCTAACTCTAGAACCTCAAACTGAAGAATTGTTAATGAAGGGAACTTTGAATTAGATGGACCCTAATGAGCATCAGACAATCACTTGGATGAAATCAAAGCTAAGGAAAAAAAATCTCTTTTAAAAGGCTTATTTGGACAGAGTCATAGAATGTGCAATATACCATAAGAACACATTTAATATGGTTAAATGTTGAGTTATGACTCAAGGAGCAATCTGTTTGGAAAACAGACAAAAAAAACAACAAGAAGCAAAAGTGATTCTGAGAAACTCAAATGCCACAAAGTCCATGCACTCAAACGTGCACTTGACTAACAGGAAAGATCTTTAGCCCAAAATCAGAGGAAGTACACAATTCTATTAAGCATAGATACCTGGTTTTCAAAGCCACAGAAAACTAGAAGCCCTCAAATAAAACTAGAGAGAAGGGAGGTTGCTGAGAGCAACAAAAACAGGGGTTGTTGACCAATTACACAAATGAGATGAGGGATATTCCACAAGTAACAAAATAGGCAGAAAAACTAGAAAGCTGACATAAATAATCTTAAAAAGTATAGCAGTGTGGAATAAATTAGTAAGCAGTTTACTGAAACCCAAATGCCTTCAAAGACTTACAGGACATCATTGTATTAAAACATACTTCAATGCTGATATTCATTTTAATGATCTCAAGATAAAATCAAGTAAGATAAAACTGCATTTCATATGCTCTGTTTAGTAAATAAAGAACTGGAGGGTTTCAATAAAAGAGATTAAAACATTTGGTGCTGAAGAAGAATTAAATGAGCAAAAATCAAAATTTAGACAGCTTAAGTCTATATATTTATTAATTTACTTAACAAAATAATTATTTGTTTTGAATGAAACAATACTGTTTTATTATTTAAATAATACTATTTAATTCTGTTTTCCTAAAGGCAAAAATACATACTTAACTCTGCAATTTGACAAAAAGTATACACACTTCTGAATAGCAAGAATTATAAAAATCAAAATACTAACACACGGGTTGTGGTTCAGTGGTAGAGCGTTTGCCTAGCACTTGTGAGGCACTGGATTCGATTCTCAACACCACATACAAATAAATAAAAATAATTTTTAAAAAATGCTAGCACGTTATCCCTTAAATATGTAAACATGGGTTTTCATCTGTACATTTGGCGTAGGACAAAAGGGGAGCCCACTTATTTGCTACGAAAGTATCAAGAAGTTATCAGACTATTAAATGAGTCAATACTAAGACCAGTATCTTCAAGTATGGATTAAAACCATCATTTTGTGAAATGTGAAAGTGATCAGTTCTAACTGGCCATCACAGTGCTGTGATTTGGCCATTGCAACTTTACTGCTGTTAAAAGTCAGAGAGGCAGCTTGGGTTTCTCATACATTCTGTATCAAACTCGAGTTCTGTATCAAAGTCGAGTAGACAAGAAAAAGCTCTCAGGCACGAATGCCTGACATAGGATTATCAAGAGCCTCCAGAAGCCCCCGGTAGTCTAGATGTCACCCGCACAAGGACACTTACCTAGCAGTGGGAGTCTGGCCCAGGAACAAACGCCAACTCCAGCAACCAGCTGCGGTGACCTCTAACCCTCGTCTCGGAGCGGCTTTCTGCTCTCAGTCTGCACGGGTTCTCCCTCCCCGCCCCTCCCGGGTGCGCCTAGGGGCGCCCTAGCCTGCCGACCCCGGACGACCAGTCCCCACTATTCTCAAATAAACTCATTTTTTTCTGCAGCGCCTTCTTTCTGGGTTTCTTGCTAGGTCGTAAACCCGAACCCAAGGCTGGCCACGCCGCGGTCTGACGCCCTTCCCCACAGCTGGGAGCAAACCCCCGCTCCGGCCGAGCCGGCTCCCCAGTCAGCGAGGGCGCGGCCCCGGGAGGTAACAGCGGGCCTCCACAGCGGGAGGGTGAGAGGTCCTCCCAGCTCACCTGCTTCCGGATGGGTAGTCCCCTAAGAGCGGCTCCCGTTCAGAATCCTCGCCCGGGCTCGCCATAGTTACAGTCCCCACAGCGAGGCGCGCGGCCAGCTCGCGCGACACCTGACCCCTCGGGTTCAATCCCGGAGCTAGCCAAACAACCTTGCCAGTGCGCGTGCGCGCCTAGTGCCGGAAGTGGGCGGGGCGCCAGCGCTCAGAGGCGGGGAGAAGGGGTAAGGCTCCGGGTCGTCTGCCTCCTGCCCGCGTCCGCACTCGCCAGCTTCCCTGCCTCGCGGGGTAGAGCCGGGGAGAGCGGGCGAGGGTCCAGGCGCCGCCCAGCCTGGCTCGAGCTCCTCCCTCCCCGCGCCGCCTCCGGGTGCCACCGCCACTATTCCTGGAGAGCCTTCGGTCGGTGCTGCTGTGGGGCTGGCCGAGGAGTCCCGGGAGGGGCGGCGGCGCCAGGACGCTCGGCCAGCGAACCGTGGGCTTCGCCCGGCGGCCAGTAAGTCGTCGGCCGAGGCCGAGTCCCGCGCCTCTCGGCGCGCCGCCTACGTGCGAACAGGCAGGGACACCAGGCGCGGCGCGGGGCTGGGGCGGCGAAGAGGGAGGCCGAGGTGCGGACCCCTCTTCCCCAGCTGCCCGCTGGGAAGGCGCCTTGCCTAGGGCTGGCGAGGGCCGAGGCCGAAGGGGGCGTCCCGCCTCGGTCCCGCGGAAGTCCCGCGGACTAGGGCCGGAGCCTTGCGAGGTGCCACTCAGCAGGGCCCGCTCGGGTCGCTGGGGTTTGGGAAAGTGCTTAGCAACGAAAGGCTCCTTATCACAAAGAAGATGGCATTTTTAGGAAATACGGGTGTTCTCACTACATCTAGATGCTATTTCCTTCCCGGTCTTTACGTATTAACATCTTATTCCTACAACTAGGCCTGTAGGCTAATTGGTTGCAGTAGCCCTTGTTTGTCCCGTAAATTAACATTTTATTAGAACTAGTGATTTCATTTGATCCCAACTAGCCTATGAGATAGGAAAAGCAAAGAAATTTTCTATTGTATGGAGCACTAAAGGTCCAGAGAAGAGACTTTCCCGCAGTCGCTCAGTGTGGAAGTGGAGCTCACTGGTCCATTTCACCTAATTTTTTTTTAAATTATTTTGGTTGTAGATGGACACAGTACCTTTATTTTATTTATTTATTTTTGTGCGGTGCTGAGGATCCAACCCAGTATTTCACACATGCTGAACAAGCGCTGTGACCACAGAGCTACCCCCCAGCCCCTCAACTAATGTTTATAAGCTCACATTGTGCCAGATTCCACATGTTATGTGTGGCATTGCCATCATCTCTGAGCTTTGCTTCATTTGGGAACTTCTGGGCACATTCCACTGGTGAATAGCTAAACTTGAAGTGTCTTCTGTTCAGAATCATCTGAATCTAGACCTGATTAGTTGGTACTTGTTTGGTTCGGTCTTGCAAATTCATTTATAATAGCTGTAATTAGTTCCAACAAAATTCATAGGTAGGAAGTTTAGCATTTTCTAGCCATGTTTTTTCACTGTCATCCATCATTGCCTTTCTTTAAAAAAAATTATTAGTTATTGATGGACCTTTATTCATTTATGTGTTTATATGTGCTGAGAATTGAACCCAGTGCCTCACACATGCTAGGTAAGCAAGCTACCACTGAGCCACAACCCCAGCCCCATCATTGCCTTTTTTAATCCCTGGAGGCTAGGGCAGTGTATGGCACATATGTAGTGGACAAAGGAATTTTTAGCCAGTATTGCACTTAACAGAAAGTTTGCTACAGGTATCTAAGCTGAAGGAATGCTTGTTGAATTACCTTACTTCATTCCTACATCCATACATACATAACCTGCTAAAGTGGGAATTTTCTCAAATACACAGAAATTGAAGGTAGGGAGATTAAGTTAATTTGCCTAGGGTCACACAGCTAGTAAGCAACAGTTTAAATGAGAAAAAAAACAGCCTTTCTGACTATAAAGCCTGTACTCCTCACTATCATGCTTCCTGTGAAAAGAACAAGAAGTATCTTTTCTCATATCTCTTAAAATGTCAAAACATATTCAATTTTTATGTTAATAAAATAATTTGCTATTGTACATTAGGCCAAGTATCACTTAAGTGACTTACTCAAGGTCACACAGCTAGTGGATTGACCCAGGTATTCTGCTCCTTTCCATTGCTGTGTCCAAGAGATGACTTCAGACCACAAAAACACATGCAATGAGTACTTGCAGGACTGGCAAAATCTAAATAAGCTCTAAGTAACTTTTAGGAACACACAGCATTCTTTTTCTTCCTGGTACTGGAGATTGAACTCAGGGTGCCACCACCGAGCTACATCCCCAGCCATTTAAAAAATTAGGGCTGTGTTTAAATACTTAGGAATGAAAGTGACAGGAGATGAGAGTACTAGATGGCATGATAGACCAGGAGTGCCACCTTAGCAATAAAGCTCAGTTCTAAGAAAGGCATTTCATTCCTTGGCACAGTACTAGAACTTCTGTTTTTGTTTCAATTTGTTTTTCCCTTTCACAATGGCTATTTAAAAACATAGATGGCAGTTGTTTCAGTTTGGCCTGATACCTAACTTGAAAACAGTGGGTCTCACTAAATAGCCCAGGCTGGCCTTAAACTTCTGATGCTCCTGCCTCAACCACTCAAGAAGTTGGGATTATAGGAGTATCTGGAATTATAGGCATGTCCCACCTCGCCTTGGCTAAGTAGACAGTTAAAAAAAAACTTTTAGCCCTTTGGAAAAAGGAGATTAGATTATTTCCTGAACGTTTCACATGAGGTTATGAAACAATCCACTTAGTAGATTTCCTTAGATGACCCTTCAAAGTAGATACCCACCACCTCCTAAACAAACCTTCTATTTTCCTAATTTTCTCCAGTGTAAGGTTAAAAATGATTAAACATGTTACACAATGGTAGTAGATTTTTTTTTTTTGGGGGGGGAGAGTTTTTGGTGGTGGTGTTGGGAGTGAACCCAGGATCTTGTGTATGCAAAGCAAGCATTCTACCAACTGAGCTATATCCCCGGCCCCCTGTAGTAGATTTTTAACATTGGATATCTAAGGTATCTAAAGCCCTTCTTAGCTACTTAATCTTGTATAGAAAAAAGGTGATTTAAAAGTGAAATTACAAAATTAAAAATTAGATGTCTTTTTTGGAGGGTGGGAATAAATTTCTTTTGCATGGTGTTGTTTTTTAAAGTATCTATGCCTTTGAGGTACATATGTAACACATAAACAACATAAGGATAAAAGTCCTACAGAAATTAGGGCTGTTTAAATACTTAGGTATGAAAGTGACAGGAGATAAGAGTACTAGATGGCATGATAGACCAGGAGTGCCACCTTAGCAATAAAGCTCATTTCTAGGAAAGGAATTTCATTCCTTGGCACAGTACTAGAACTTCTATTTTTGTTTCAATTTGTTTTTCCCTTTCACAATGGCTATTTAAAAACATAGATGGCAGTTGTGTCAGTTTGGCTTGATACATAACTTGAAAACAGTGGGTCCTGTTTCTGCCGAAACTCATTGGTGTTAGTCCAGCTAGTGTCAAGGCTTTTAGTGTCTGGCGTGGTTCCAGATGGTGCCTCCTTCTGGTAAATTGGAGTTGTCTTTATTCTGAGCTTGGGTTATTATCTGCTCATGGTGATACTGGATACCCTGAGCACAGCCAGCCCTGCCTAAAAAGACCTGCATGATTAGAGGGTCAGAAAAACCTGGCATTTTATATTTTGGGGGCTGAAATAGAATTTAAGATTTATATAATTCCAAACCCAAGAATCACGCCTGGGTAAAAAAAAAAAAATTTAATCATTTTCTTTTCACTAAAATAAAAAATCTAGGCTGGGATTGTGGCTCAGTGGAGTGCTTACCTGGCACGCATGAGGCACTGGGTTCTAGCCTCAGCACCACATAAAATAAAATAAAGATATTGTGTCCACCTATAACTAGAAAATAAATATTAAAAAAAGATCCATGAGAGCAGGAAAGTACTTTGATCATCCTTGTAACACAGGGCCTAAAATAATGATTGGCATTATTTCTTAAGCACTTAAGAAGGAAATATTTGTTGAATGGAAAAAGTAAGCAATACTTTCTTAATAGTTCAGGAACTTAAATTTTTATTAAGCCATCCACGATGATTTAGCTCTGGTGAATTGATGATAACTTATAGGAATCTAGTAACCGGAATACCAGTTTATGTGTATTATGCCATAGATATGAATAATATAAACAAAGCTGTATATGCAGTGCTGTTTTTTCTCTAACATTATGTCAACACCAAATTTTTATCAAGAGTAATTGAATAACATGAAACTAGAGAGTGAATAAGTAATGTTAAAATAATACTGTACTCTAGCTATACTTTGGATTTGCCTGATAAGTTCATCATCAAGTAAACATTTGTGAGATGGTATGAATGATTTGGTTTGCTGGTCCAGTCCTAAAAACAACCAATTGCCAGCCCAGTTGACAGTGGGGTAGATTGTACACCTGGGCAGACAAAAAACATTAAGTTTAACTTGAAGTTTGTTAAAAATTAAATATATATATATGTGTGCGTGCATGCATATATGTATATATACATGCGTATGCAGACAGCAATGATGTTCACAAAAAAACATACAAAACGATTAGTACTTAATAAAGTTCACTGATTGAAATGTAAATTTCCATTTTCCATTTATCTAAGTAGAATAAATTCTGAACCTAAATCAGGTTATACACACAAATTGAAACCACACCTTTCAGTTAGAAAAGATGGAGGTGAGTATAAAATAATCTTTAGAAGTAATTGAAAAGAGAGAGGTAAATGGTAGGCAGGTAGTAGCACAGATTAGTACTTGTCCTTCACTGTGGTATACAAGAGGAGTAGTTATAGTGTGGTACTTAGATCTTGAGCTTTGTGTAGGAGTTAGATTATGGCTATTTTCTACTGACTGTGTGACATTTGTTTCCTCCTCCCTGTAACCCAATCTTTGGGAGGTTTAAAAGAGAAAGTGTATGTGTTGTAGTTTTTAAAATAGTACCTGGCTGATAATATAATACTATGTAAGTATTATTTCCTACTATTTATATCCAATAAATATCAGGTACCTGTCAGTCAATGAGCAGAGGATAGAGAGCTCTTGCCCTAGCAGAATGCAGCTTTATGAAGGTTGCAGCTTTTCATTTTCTCCACTTCTGTTCTCATTTTTTCCAAAATCTCATGTCTTACTTTCAAAGGAATAAATTCAAGGATTTACTCTAAATTTTGAATTTCACCTCATCAAAGAAGTAGTTAGAAAATTGACCTGCTATTTGCATTTTTTTTTTTTTAAATTTAAAGTCATTTTAAATTTTTCTCCTAGATGCTGTTTGCTACTAATGGGGGTGAGCAAGTTAGATGTTCTATACCGGAGACTTCTCCTCACAAAACTTTTTATCAGAGGATGGGGAAGACCAGAAGATCTCAAAAGGTAATCTTTTTTTTTCCCCCTTGAATACTTATTTTAAGTTTGTTGCTTTAGTAACATTTACATTTTTACTTCAATTTTAAAATCCTTTACGCTCAAAAATTAACTGTCCAAGAAATTAAACATTTAATTATATATGTCTTAATTGAAGTTTTAGCTTATAAAAGGCTATTTTTTAAATAATTCAGATTTTAAAGAGCTGTCAGAAACACAAACTAAATGTTTATATTATTTTTATTCTTGTTTTTGCAGTACTGATTATTTAACCCAGGGTCTGGTGCTTGCTACATAAGTACTTAAATCAATGAGCTACAACCCCAGCCTTTTTTTTTGGAGACAGAATCTGGCTAACTCACCCAGGCCAGTCTTGATCTTACAATCCTCCTGCCTCAACTTCTTAATAGTCATCATCACTGCATCCAGCTACAAGCTAGATTTCTAACTTCAGTAATTCATTAGGCAATTCGAGTTCTATGTATTTCCTTAGGGATTGACTTTTCTTGAATAACTTGAGTCTACCCATGGCTGTAAAACTGGGGATTCACTGTAGCTCATGGGCAAATCTGGAATTAATTAATTTTCAGACTTGGTGCCTTTCATTTTGTTTTGTTTTGTTTTTCTTTTTCTTTTTGTTTTGGGTACCGGGTATTGAACTCAGGGATACTTGACCACTGAGCCACATCCCCAAACTTATTTTATATTTACATACAGGGTCTCGCTGAATTCCTTAGTGCCTTACTTTTGCTGAGGCTGGCTTTGAATTCACAATCCTCCTGTCTCAACCTCCCCAGCTGCTTGGATTACAGGAGTGCACCACTGCAAGGGCTTCATTTTTAATCTTTATGTGTTCATTATTTTCTGCACATTATTGTTCCTCCAATTTTTTTTTTTTTTTTTGAGATGAGTGTCCAGTTTGGGGAAAAAAAATCAACTGACCCTTTCCTTAAAAGATTAAAAAATTTCAAAATGGCTTATGAGCCAGGTGCAGTGGTGCACGCCAGTTATCCCAGCAACTCTGAGATATCCCAAGCTGAGGCAGGAGGATCAGGAGTTCAAACCCAGACTCAGCAAGTTAGTGAGGCCCTAAACAACCCAACAAGACCCTCTCTCTAGTAAAACATAAAAAAGGGCTGGGGAGGTGTTTCAGTGATTAAGTGCCCCTGGGTCCCATCCCTGGTACCAAAAATAAAATAAAATAGAATGAATTGGATTTGCTAATTTTTTTCCTTTTTGTTTCCTTTTCTATAATAGACTCTTTGAATTCAGAAAAATGATTGGAAATCGAGAAAGATGCCAGAATCTGGTTTCAAGTGATTATCCAGTATACATTGATAAGGTATTCAAATGAAAACAATACATTTATAGAAGTTCTGATTTAGCATAAATGTATGTGGAGAATAGATGGAATGTTAGAGTATAATAACAATAAACCCTAGTAATGAATGCAGTGGACTTCCATTCAGAATGCTATTTGTACCCTAACCAGATGTAGGGCATTTTTTTTGTTTTTTGTTTGTTTTTTATTATTATTATTTTTTTTTTTTTAGTTGTGGATGGACACAATAGCTTTATTTATTTATTTATTTATTTTTATGTGGTGCTGAGGATCAAACCCAGTGCCTCACACGTGTGAGGCAGGCGCTCTACCACTGAGCTACAGTCCCAGCCCCTAACCAGATGTTTTTAATAATTCTATTTATATATATTTGGAAGCATATATTTGATACTTGCCTAAGTACAAAAAAGTATTTAGGCTGAATCTTTCAGAGTCTTATTTTGTATCCTTAGGCTCAAGAGGATTAAGGTAAATTATTCAACATTAAAGAAGAATAGTAAGTATTAAAGTGGAGTAATCTAGTTGGAGAATCACAACATGAAGAGTTATTATTAATTGTTGAGAAAATGTTAGAAAATACTGTAAAATTAGATAAAATGTTTTTGAAATCATTTAGTTTTTTAAGCAACTACTTGTTTTTCTATAAAATATTTCTAGATTTATATATTGGATACCTGAGATGATGTGGAAAAGGGATACAAATGGCTGAACATCCCATCCCTCACTCCACTGCTGTATTGGATATCTTTAGAACTCTTCCTTTTTTAAAAAGTTTCCCATGGTCAGTGTGATGGCCCATGACTAATCTCAGTGACACAGGAGGCTGAGGCAAGAAAATGACAAGTTTGAGGCCAACCTCAGCAAGTAGTGAGACCCTGTCTCAAAATAAATTAAAAAAGCTCAGCGGTAAAGTACCACCAAGTTGAGTCCCCAGCACCAGAGGGGAAAAAAGATTTCCACTGCTAAGAACAAAATTTTTATGTTGCAGATATCTTCTTGATATCATAACTGTTCCTTCATAGTTTATGGATTTAAAACATTGCTTCCTGACTTAAATTTTTTGTTCTCTATTTTTTACTTTTTTTCCCCTATTGGAAAAATATATTAAAGCCTTAAAACAAACTAAAGAATACCAAGTAAAAATCAAAAAAACTCCTTTAATTTCTGCTTTCGACCATCTACTTCTCCTTCCCAGAGGGAATTACTGTTAAGATTTCGGAATATATTCTTAGAGATCCCCCTGTGGTTTTCAAAATTAAAATGTAATTCAAAGTGTACAATTGAGTGTTTTAAAATTTATTAGCAAGATGTACAACCATCACTCTTTTCACTAATTGCAGAACATCTTCCCAATGTGTAATCACTAGTTGTCATTTCCCATTCCCCCTTTCCCCTACCTGCTGGCAGTTACTATGAATTCTCCTAGTTAGGACCTTTCTTTCTTTCTTTTTTTTTTTTTTTTTTTAATGTTTTTTGAGTTGAGGATGGACCTTTGTTTTAATCATTTATTTATATGCAGTGCTGATAATTGAACCCAGTGCCTCACACATGCGAGGCATGCACTTTACCACTGAGCCACAACTCCAGCCCTAGTTAGGACCTTTCTTATAAGTAGAATCATATAATGTGTAATTTTTTGTGTTTGGCTTCTTTCACTCCCCGCTCCCATACTGGGGGTTTAACCCAGAGGTGTTTAACCACTGAGCCATATCCCCAGCCTACTTATTTTTTATTTTGAGATAGAAAGTGAAATTCTGAGTTGTTGAGGCTGGCCTTGAACTTGCAGTTCTTCTGCCTCAGCCTTCTTAATTGCTGGGATTATAGGCATGAACCACCACACCTGACTTGTTTTGTTTTTTGCCATACTGGGGGATTGAACCCAGAGGCACTCTACTACTGAACTAGATCCCAGCCCTTTTTTATTTTTATTTTTTAATTTTGAGACAGAGTCTTGCTAAGTGTTCAAGGCTGGCCTTGAACTTTTGATTCTCCTGCCTCAGCCTCCTGAGTAGCTAGGATTGCAGGCTACTGCATCCAACTCAAAAATTGTTCTTATGATTCTTCTTAGATTGTTGAATGCTGTTGAATTTTCTTGACTATTATTTTACATTGAGTTATTGCCTGTCATTAAATGTGATTTATTATTTATTTTCCAAACTAGACTATAGTAAAGGATCTAGAAGAAAATAATGTGTGTAGGTAGAAGCTAGGTTCAGAAAGCACAGTGGAGCTAAAAGTAAATAGAGTAAGCACTGAAAATAATTTTTAATTTAATAAAATTTTGTATTAGAAAAACATCCATGATAGAATAAGATAGATATCTTAGTCTACTGGAATACATCTTTGATTTCTTTTCTTTTAGATTGAGGAGCAGTCAGACTGTAAGATCCTAGATGGACACTTTGTTTCCCCCATGGCCCACTATGTGCCTGATATCATGCCAACTGAATCTGTTATTGCACGGTAAGAATTTTTGTTCAGGAAATAAAATTAGTAAGTTATTCATGTTCATTAAAATTATATCAACACCATTATATTTCATAATATTACTTAATAATAAGGCAGATCTAAACCATTAAATGGCTGAATTTAAAAGATATTTTAATTCTTACAAGAACTTATAGTATTATATGTACAAGGATATTAATTAAAGCATTATTTATAGTTGTTCTTGCCCTAAATGTTCAATAATAGGGAAATAATTATCCATAGCATGGATACTGAAACTGAAATGGAAATATGGTCACAATATATTAAAGTTTAAGAAGTTACTACAAATGATTGTATAATTCCATGTTTGTGAACATACAAGCATGTATATTCTCTGTCACACAGAGAAGTTTTCAAGGGAAATATACTAATGTGCCATCTCTGATTATCTCTGGGTGGGAGATTTTGGATTTAAAAAAATTATAGTTTTACCTGGGGAAATTGGGGATAGAGGGTATTTTACTCAATATTATAAAGCCTACATATGACAAACCCAAAGTCAGCATCATAATGGAGAAAAGTCAGGAACAAGACAAGGATGTCCAATATGACCATCCCTATTCAAAAAGTTTTTGAAACTCTAGCTAGAGCAATTCGGCAATAGAAGGAAATTAAAGGGATACAAATAGGAAAAGAAGAAATGAAATAATTATTATTATTTGTGTGTGTGATGCTAGGGATTGATCCCAAGGCCTTATGCATGCAAGGCAAGCATTCTACCAACTGAGCTATATATCCCCAGTCCTCAAATTATTTTTGTTTGCTGCTGCCATGATCCTATATCTAGAAGATCCAAATATTTCCACTAACAGACTTCCAGAGCTGATAAATGAATTCAGCAAAGTAACAGGATACAAGATCAGCATTCATAAATCAATAGCTTTTCTATATTCCAGTTACTACTGGATTCTAAGAAAGACATCCAAAAACCATTCACAATTTAAAAAAAAAAAAACACCTTTGGGAATTATACAACACTGAAGAACACTGAAAATAGACATTGAAGACCTTAGAAGATGGAAAGATATCCCATGTTTTTCAATAGGCAAAATTTTAATATTGTCACAATGGCCATATTACCAAAAGCACTATACAGATTCAATGCAATCCCCATTGAAATGCCAATAACATTCTTCACAGAACTAGAAAAAAAGAGTACTAAAATTCATTTGGAAGAATAAGAGAGCTGGAATAGCCAAAGTAGTCCTGAGCAAGAACAATGCAGGAGGCATCACAATACCTGATCTCAAATTATACTACAGAGTAACAAAAGTAACAAAAGCAGCATGATGTTGGCATCAATATAGGCATGAAGACCAGTAGAATAGAATAGAAGACAAACCTATATACTTAGTCGTCTGATGCGTGACAATAGTGCCAAAAGTATATGTTACAGAAAAGACAGACTTCTTAACAAATGGTGCTGGGAAAACTGGGTATCCATATGTAGACAAATGAATCTAGATTCCTATCTCTCAGGCTGTGCAAAATAAAACCAAGAATCAGTAAGTGGGATGGCAACAAATTAAAAAATCAGCACAGCAAACAATCCTATAGCTAGAAGATCCAAATAATTCCACTATCAGACTTCTTTATGCCTAAAAAGAGCCTACAGAGAGAAAATCTTTCTCTGACAGGGAATTAAAACCCAGAATATATAAAGAACTCAAAAAGCTTAACATCAAAAAATAGCTCAATCAATAAATGGGCAAAAGAATTACACAGACATTTGTCAAAAGAAGCAAGAACATATGGCCAAAAAAGGTATAAAACATGTTCAACATCTTCAGCAATTAGAGAAATACAAATCAAAACTACACTAAGAATTCCTCTCACTCCAGTGGCAGTTATCAAGAATACAAATAATACTAAATACAAGGATGTGGGGGGAAAGGTACATTTATACATTGTTGGTGGGACTGCAAGGGCCTAGGTTCAAACCCCAGTACCACCAAAATGAACAGTTAACTAGGAATGGAACTACCAAGTGACTCAGCTATCCCATGCCTCAGTATTTATTCAAAAGAACTACAATCAGTATCCTATAGCAATTCATCCACTTCAATGTTTATAGCAGCACAGTTCACAATAGTCAAATTATTTACCCTTCCCGGATGTCTGTCAATAGATAAATGGATTAAGAAATTGTGGTCTGAATTCATAATGGAGTTTTACTCAGCCATAAATAAGAATGATATTATGGCATTTGCTGGCAAATGAATGGAACTAGAGAACATAATTGTAAGTGAAATAAGCCAAACTCAAAAAATCAAGGTTGAAATGTTTTCTCTTACACGTGGAAGCTAGAGCCAAATACGGGAAAGAAGGGGTGGGGATAGAATATCATAAAGATAGAGGAAAGATCAGTAGAGTAGGAGGAGATTAAGAGGGAGGGAGGATGGGAAAGAGAAAATGTGGAATGAATTTAACAAAATCATGCTCTTAATGTATAAATATACCACTGTGAATTCCACCTTCTGTTTATCTATAAAGCACCAATCAAAAATAAATAAACTGGGGGCTGGGGTTGTGGCTCAAAGGTAGAGCGCTCACCTAGCATGTGGAAGGCCCTGGGTTCAATCCTCAGCACACATAAAAATAAATAAATAAAATAAAGGTATGAAAAAATAAATAATAATGCACTAGTGAAAGAAGAAAAAAATCAGTTTTAAATTTCTACAATGTACAAGTACTTCCTTTAATAGAAAGAAAAAGGCATTCAATTGAGGAAGTGAAAGAGCTTGTAGTAACAGATTAGATTAGACAGAGCACATGATTTTATTAAATAAAACTCCTCAGGATAGTTTGTAATTAGCATATCAGTTTGTGAATGTAAATGGATATTGTAAGATCTTTAGGTTGTTAGTCATATAATAGTTGAAACTCATCTTTTTTGGACCTTATTTAAACCTTTAATTTGCTTTGTAGGAACTTTCATCAAGGTCACTATAGAGATTAGTTTTTAAATTGTTTAAATTCTAAATAATTGGGGCTGGGGATGTGGTCAAGCGGTAGCGTGCTCGCCTGGCATGCGTGCGGCCCGGGTTTGATCCTCAGCACCACATACAAAGATGTTGTGTCTGCCGAAAACTAAAATAAATAAATAAATATTTAAAATAATAATAATAAAAAAATAAATAAATAAATTCTAAATAATTGAAACTAGGTCTCTCCTTGGTTTTCCATTTTATGATTTACCAAATACTGTTATAAAGCAGCAAGATATTTTACTTTTCCTGCTGCATTATTGATAATAACCCATTTCTTGTTTCTGGGAAGTGTTTTTTTTTTTTTTTCTTTAAATGTTTTGTTTGCGATCACAGTCATACAAATAGATGTGTGTGAAAATCATTTGAGAAGAGATTATTCTGTATTGGAGACCTACCTAAATTTTCATGTGAGTGCAGTGGAATTCCAGTTCATTCCAGTAAATCAGAACCTAATAAATGAACCTATAAAGTATGAACTAGCAGCAGGGCAATTTTTAACTCTTGTAGTCAGCTATTCCATTAAGTCTAAGGTATTATTATAAATGTATTTTTTTCTTTAAATAACTTCAAAATATAATGCAAATGTCAAGTAGTAGAAAGAATCAGAACTTTGGAATTAAACGGATAAGGGATTGAACTCTGGTTCCACTAATTATTGATGTAATGACCTTTGGTCAATTACTTAATGTCTAAACCAGGTTTTATAAAGTAGGAATACTACTTATCTCATAGGGTTGTTAAAAAGAATGAAAATTATGTTCAGGAAATATAAAAAGCATTAAATAAATGTGCAGCTCTTTAGCCTATGAACTTAATATAAAAGGAAAAGAAATTTTAGGTTTCTGTATACCGTCAGTTCGTTCTGGAACTGGGTCCTCTTATAGATTCTCTACCTGATCTGGAAAATTACATAGATTGTAGGATAAAGAAAGGGGGGTTTCTGTGATGCAGTTCAGCCACCTGCTGAGCATTCACGAGACCTGGATCCCCAATACTGCAAAAAAAAAAAACAAAGAGGGAATCATGTCCTTTAACTCAGTGTTAGAAATAATCTCAAAATTTATGGAGAGTTAATGATTCTTTCCAACGGTGACAAGAATAGGAAAACAAGTAACTTTTATATCTCTAGTGGCGTATTTTTCACCATAGTTTATTCTGATAAATTACCAAGCAATACATATTGACATCTATTTTTCCTTTCTCTCTTTAATTTTTTGATAAGTAACTTAGCTCATTGTATTATCATTTTACAAAATGCAAAGAAGAAAAAAAGTTACTGATAATTCCAACAAGGAAGATCATTGCTCTTTTATTTACATTCTTCTAGTCTTTTTAAAATTTTTTTGTAGTATTGGAGATTGAACCCGGGGCCTTATGTATCTAGACCAGTGCTTCACCACTGGACTATATCCCCTGCACTTTTTTTGGATTTTTTATTTTATTTTGAGACAATTTCCTCTAAGGTGCCTAGGCTGGCCTCAAACTTGGCAACCTTCCTGCTTCAGCCTGCCAAGTAGTTGGGAATACAGGTGTGTGCCATCGCATCTGGCTATTATCATATTGATAGTGCTTGGTATTCCACATGGTGGCTTCTACCATGATTTTCTAGTTCCCTATGGTGACTATGAAATTTCAATTTTTTTTTGTTCAGATGCCTTAACACTGAACATCCTAGTATACATCTCTTTGCCTAGCTAATTTTTTTTGCCATATATGTAGGAAAATATTAATACTGTTATGATAAACTTATGTGTACCCACAAGGAGAAATCCTTTCATCTTGTCAATTAACTCATTATTCATGATTTTTTTTTCCTCTGAGTTTCTGCTTTTACTGAGGCAGAGGGAAAGATGCTTCAGGAAAATAAAGGGCGGGAAATCAAATATTCCTTTTCTTTACTAAATGGATTAAGACTGCTCCTAGGATCCAACTGTAGTGAGAAAATATATATAGTTATAGTTTGGTTATAATTATATATAGTGG